TAAATTCTGATAAGAGTAGTTGAAATATTAAATAAAGTGGAAATAAGTACACTCATGCCTACATTTTGCATAGAATTTGTGCTAACCCGTTTTAAGGAAAATTTTGTGTTAATCATGGATAATTATAGAAACATAAGTTAATGATAATATACCTAATATTCCCATTTTTTATCTATTATTGTTTGCTATTAGTACTTTAGTTTTAAATAATATAATTTTGCTAATTATAGATTCTACTTTCTGCTTCCTTAGTATGGAAGATTTAAGTGATATCTTTCTTTATTTTCCCAAAATTTGTTTATATCATTATTAATTCATTTTTCTGATCTATGTTAAGTAATGCATTGTGGATTATAATGAAGAACTTTGTGAAATTGTTCTATGAACATGTAATTTTGCATGTCTCATCGTTTCTATTTTTATCTTTTTCAAACATTTAAGGTCAAAAACAAACGAATTTTTCATTTTATTTACTTCTGTATTTGACAATATTTGTAAAAATTATGTTTTAATATGAATATATGTTATTTTTATTATATTCACTATAAATTTGCGTGTGCTATAAAAGAGGCACTTCTTAAAACAAGAGAATTATCACCAGATATACGCATTATATTTGTTTAAAAACAAATTTAAAATTGTGATATATTTCATTTTTCTTATTATTGTGTTACATATCTATAAATATATATAGCTCCTTTTATCTTAACACATTTTCTCCTACAAGCACATAATGCCTGAGGTATAATAGTTCCACATTTCCTTATATTTTGTGTACATTATAAGCATTTTCTATTTAACTGTTTTATATTTTTTTCTTGTATTTGTGCTTATAAATTAATCACACATATCTAAAATGTTGGAAAAGAGGATTCGGGGCTATCCTATGCCTACGGCATTTACAAGAATTGAAATCAATTTTTCGAGAATGTCATCAGTTTTATGAATTTAATCCTCCAGTTTTAACACCAAAAAGGACAGAAAAACTAACTTCATTGAGTAAATATCTTATAAATGCAATGAATTTTAGAATCCTGCTTACAATTTTTTGTCATAGTTTTTAAAAAGAGACATACACATAGGATCATTAATAACAAATATCAATGTATTTTTCTCAGTATTTCAATTTATCTACATACGGTATTCCATTGTAGGTCTAATAATTTAAAATAATTATTTCTTTGTTAAGGAGAGAAATGATACACCCCAACAAACTTTTTTCCCTTATCAACAAAAATACCATAAGACTCGATTAAATTAACTGTTTTATAAGCTAATATGAGGAAATATCAAACTTTATATATCCCAATAATATTTTTATATTCCTTCTTGGAAAGTGCATATATATAATTTTCGTTTTTATGAAATTAATTTTTTGTGAAGTGTTCTTTTAACATAGATGATAATCTTTCTAGTCTTCTTGGGAACCTTTTACTTCTTTCCAAAATGGAAGAGTGGTACTGTCTTTAAATTCAAAAAAAATGCTCTGATGAAGAGGGATAAAATTGCGTGCGATTAAATATACACATATATTCACATAAGTGAAATAATCAAGTTTTAAGGAAGAGACAAAAGAATTCGTGTGTTTCACGGATACATTCATTTCTTACTAACGAGGAAGCATTAAACAAAACAAATAGCACTAAAATGTGTGTCCTAATTTTTAGCATGATTAACGACGACATACGAATTTTCGACTTGTACATTCCATCGGGGTTTTACTTTTTCACCATAATTTGATTCTCAATTAAGAGAAAATTTTTCTATTTCTATACTTTTAATTAAGCAAATTTACTTGTGTAGCATGTCTTGTATATTCAATAAAAAAAAGAAAGATGGAAAGAAGAATTTAAACAAATCGTAATCAGATAAAAAGGTGATAAAAATGCATGCAAGTACATTTAGCCTTAAATAATCTACCATCACATATATTAGTGAAAAAATATTGTGTTCTATTTTTTGTGCAGATAAAATGTGCGATTAGAAATACAATTTTTGCAAGTTACATATAGCATTGAAAAATTGAAGATTAGTATAATAGAGAAATTTTATATAGCATATTTTAATATGCACAATAATTTATTTATCATTTTTTTTTTTTTAACAGTTTTTATAAGACTATCAACCGCTTTAGCATATGACACGTGTTAGAAAAGTTAGAATATATATCCAAATGTATAAATCCTCATGCATGAAAACTTTCAAAAAAGTATTTATATAAAGAAATATGGTAATATAATTTTATTTTTTCAGTAATAAATTTCATTTATATGTGAACTTACTACCTGAGAAATGTCCTATTCTTTGCATTTAGCAGAACTAATTTATAAATTACAAAATTTGCAATTCTTAAATGAATTATTAGATGATACCATAACTTGTGCCATATTTGACTATGTGTAACGAACTTTGAAATGGCAGCACATTTTAAAAATTTTAATTTTCCCTGCATAGAAACATTACACCGTGTTATTTGAACACTTGTTAACATTTTAGGACCTATTTTTTTAATTTTTAAACTTATGTCTTTAATACTGTAGTAAACACTGATTCTTATTTCTACGAATTTGCAAAAATGGTATTGAATTTTTTATTATAACAAGAATGCATATATGTCCATAGTATGAATAACATTTATTTAGTTTATTCGTGTGTGTCGTGCAGTAACGAAAGGGGCTCATGCAATTGCCTACTTTGAAGCTACCATTACTATTGGTAATTTAAATGGTTTAAATATTTTCAAATCTTTGCCTTTTCCTTTTTTTAAGGATGTGTTAAAGGTGATGCTCAAAAAATAAACTTTGTATAGAAAACCCCTCATTTTTGCTTCTCCAGTAGCATCTTATGAGAGCATGCACTTTGAAATGTTAAAACTTATGTCTCAGCAAAATGCTTTGTTAGTTTTACATGATTGATAATGTTGTAGGATGGAACTCATTTTATTACATCACACCTACAATTGCACAAAATTTTATATATCCGATATGACAAAAATGTATTTTTTTCTACTTCAAGAAAATAATAAAATCAAGATTTTCCCCTATCTGTTGGGATATCACTTGTTACACATATTTTTCATATACAATCGTTACTTTATTAATTTGGGCATTTTATATTTTTCATCAAGTAAAATTAGACTATTCTGCATAGTCGTGAACAAGTGTATGTGCGTACGTATTCATATATATATATGTTTTTCACTCGTGCAGGTAGGAGCGTATAAAAGGGAAAATGTTTAAATCCATTTTTTAAAAAGGGGTATTTTTTTTTTTCAAATATTTTTTATTCAGTGTTCATTTATACCTCTGGAGGACAATATATTTATGCATGCCAATCTCGACAAACAACATTATCGCTTGAGAATTCTCTAGAAAAAAGATTGCATCAGTTGTTCAATTTGAATGAAATTTTTATAAGCGATTTTTTTTTTTTCTCTTTCATCGATTTCACTTCAAAATTTATGTATTTTTATGAAATAAATACAAAAGTCACGAAGAAAAATAAGGGTTGCTTTTAATGTCGCATATAAATCATTTGTGAAAAAATATAAGGTGTAATTTTCGAATTGTTTGCTTTGTAAAAAATGAAAAGCATGTGGAAATATGACGATAACACACATTTTGTAAACGCAATGCTCTGGGAATTGATGGCTTGTTTTTTTGTCTTAAAAAGGAACCACAAGGAAAATCCTCATTTCTATATCATTTTGTTTTAAACGTATGTGATAGGATCAATTTTTAAAATGATAATATGCAAATATATATATATTTCTCTTTCAGTAAAATTATAAAATGAATTAAATAAAACCAAGCTCCTTTTATACCATTACGTTTTGTATCCAATTTTTTTTTTTTTTTTTTTTTACTTGTGTATTCAGCTGTAATGAGCCATCTTTTGTTGTCCCTCAAAATGTTGTAACAATATGTGGAAAATTTACACGTTGCAGAAAAGCCATGGTTTATATACATAAACAAAAAAAGCTTATTTGTTTTTCATTTAAAACATTTTTCATTTATGTTGCATATAGTATCGATATTTTTTCCTTTTAATAAATACTTTTCCATCGTATATTCCTTTAGATTGCAATTTTTAAAAAAACCTTTATTAATTATTCATTAAGCACGAAAAAACAAGAATAAAAATTTTTCTATATAGCGAAAAAAAAAGATAAATAAATGGTTACATAATTTGGTTAAGTAAGAGCTTTCAAAAAAAAAAAAAAAAAAAAAAAAAAAAAATCCATATAATAATATCCCCCACACAAATTTTGCGCTGTCATCCATCAAAAATTCGCAGAAAAAATCATAGCCCCCTTCAAGGGCCAATTTTATGGTGTTACAAAAAAAAATAAAATATAATATTTAAAGGAAAAATTAAGTTTATGTCGCTTGTGTAATTACCAAATGAGCATTTGCAAAAAAATCATCATCCAAACTATATGAAAAAATTTTAAGGAGGTATAAATATATGACGCATAAAATTAAGTATAAGAGAGGAGGAAATAGCGCATCATGAATACGGCACTTTTGTAGGAAAACATGTATATATTTTTTATAATTCTTACAAAAGTATAATTGGGAACATCTATAATTAATGTATTTTTATATGTTTAAATTATCAGTTTTTAATTTTTCGGAAAAATGAGAAATTAAAAATTTTAAAACTCAAAATATAGGAAAATAAAATTAAAATAGATTCACAAATTAGCAGCAGAGCAAGTTCAGGAGCTCCAAAATTGCCGAACATTTATCCAAGTAAGTTTTTTATGTGACACATACTTGTCGAGTAAAGAGCTGCGAATAACTTACAAGTAAACTTAAGGAAATTTATAAAAAAATATTGAAGAGTGATTAGCAAATTGACAACTCCGGTATATTACTTAGTTAGGTGTAAGGAAGGATTTTTGCCCACGTATTATCGAGAACTTTTCCCTCCCCACTGGTTTGGGGAAAAGGCAACCCACTCAGCACGTACGAATTTGAGGAGGGTATAAGAACAAAATGTTGATACTCGTAGAAACAGCAGCAGGGTATGGATTATTCAAAGTTGAGAACAACAAACTAATCGAATCAGATGTAAAAGATATTGAAAAATGTTTTCGAAACTCTGAGGAAGCGAGAAAAAATGTATCATTATACAGCTTTAGTAAATTTAAAAAGTTTCAAAATGCCTTTGATGAAACGAGCAAATTAATGGAATCCAAGTTGGGAAAAGGACTGAAAAAGTTTTTAAAGAAAAATATAGTGAAGCCAAAATTAAATGAAACGCTCGCATTATGTGATAAAACATTAGGAGGACTAATAAAAAAAAAATATAATATAAATGTAACTTATACGAATTCTACACAGGAAATAATTCGAGGAATTAGGACACATCTATATGAATATCTAGTAGGTGTACAAGAAGAAGATGCAAAATTGTTAAAATTGAGTTTATCTCATTCTTTGAATCGATTCAAATTAAAATTTAGTGCAGATAAAGTCGATGTAATGATTATACAAGCTGTTGGATTGTTAGAAGATTTGGACAAAGAAATCAATGTTTTTTCTATGCGTTTAAAAGAATGGTATGGGTGGCATTTTCCAGAATTAGGTAAAGTAATAACAGATAATAAAATTTACGCAAAATGTGTTAAGTTAATTGGATTCCGAAGTAATGCAAAAAATGTAAATTTGTTAGAAGAAACAACAGAAGAAATTCAAAAGGAAATAAAACAGTTAGCAGAAATTTCCATGGGTACAGAAATAGAAGATGATGATTTAGTTTGTATAAACGAATTAGCAGATAGATTATTAGAATTAACTGAATATAGAGAATCTTTAGCTACGTATTTAAAATATAGAATGAACTCCATTGCACCGAATTTGACCTATTTAGTCGGTGATTTAATAGGTGCCAAATTAATTGCAAAAGCAGGTTCCCTGATGTCTTTAGCCAAACATCCAAGTTCAACTTTACAAATTTTAGGCTCAGAGAAAGCTTTATTTAGAGCCTTAAAAACGAAATCGAAAACACCAAAATATGGTTTAATTTATCATGCTACTTTAGTAGGACAATCAACACCCAAATTGAAAGGAAAAATCAGCAGATCCTTAGCAGCCAAATTGTCCTTATGTACAAGGGTTGACGCTCTTGGGGATTTTTCAGAACCATCAATCGCTATAACATGTAAAACACTTTTAGAGAAAAGGTTAGAATATATAACAAACAATCTGCAGAAAAAAATGAATAACCCAAAGAATTCTAAATTGCAATTCCAAATGCAAATGCAACAAAGCAAATATAACCCAAACCAATCCAACGGTGATCAGAATAACAATAACAATAATAATAATCAATTTAACAAGAAGAAGGATTTCCGATTTAATAAGAGAGAAGCTGATTGGAATAACAAGAAGTTTATTAAGAAGCAAAAGAGAAAGTGATGAATGACGCAGAAATGCGAAGTGACTAATGAAGAGGAATGTGATAATATAATACAACATTCTGGGCAGAAATTATCCCATCATAATTCTTGTGTATCTTTTGGTTTCATGATTTACATCGGTTAAAATTAGAAACTCCGGTAGCGTTATTACTTGTCTATAATTGCTTTTAGCGTGGTCAGTAAAAAAGGAAATTTATATCTCTGTTTTAAAACTTAAAAAAAATACAAAATCACACAATAAATACATATAAATATGTATTTTTTTTTTTTTAATTTTTTTTTTTATACCTCTTTAATGTTTCACGTTTTAATTAACGTGTAAAATATTTTTAATCTAACTTATTTATTTAGCATTCACACTTTTATAATTTTACCCTTTGCCATTTATTTTATTAACATTCTCTTTTTCTTAACACCAACCATAGAATTTGTGTATAACAAGTTTTATTCTGCCAACTCTACCTAATGTATCACTATGTTTTTGCCGTGATTACATGCCTACGCTATTTTTACATCTAGTTACACAAACATTTCTTGCCTCATTTTGAAATTTATGCACATGTATATATATACATATTTGCGATAATTAGTAATATGAAGAAAAATAAAAAATAAATAAACCTACCTTTCCAAATTGTAATAAGTATAAAACGAGAAAAAAAAAAAAATATATCCATTTTTATCAATTCATTTATATTGTTTATTCTTAATCATTTAAAGTGTGTGTATTATGCCTGACATGCTTGACTTAAGTGACTTTTTTTTGTTGTTTCTGTTTCTTCCCATTTTATGAACACATTTTATATTATATATTCATTGGAAAACTTACACCTTAAGTCAATCAAGTGGTATATTTAGTACTATCATGAATTAATATACACATGTACTAGTGGTAGATACGTTCACGAGGTTTCTAAAGGATTTGTAAATTAAGCGCTTTATGAACACAATCTTTTTCCCACGTCTTCACAAGTTGCGGTAGCCATATAACCTCATATGAAATCATATTTAAGAGAAAATAACTTAATTTTCGTGCATAACATTTGTACATAATTTTGATCTATTTATAAAGACCATAAAGGTGTTTAATTCCTTACTCTACAATGCGTAATGTGGGCAATGATGGATAGTCCTACACAAAATAATTTTTGCAACCATTCGAAATTTAATGATACTTCTTTTTTTTTTCCGTATGTCTCTTTTTTTTATTGAGTGTTTTTTGCATGTTGTGCTTTTTATATTTATTATTTATTTTATTTTACTTGCTCTCATTTTAGCCATTCTTAACTTGGCGTAAACAGCCAACTTGCAAAGGCGTGGGAAAATTATCACCCCTTAGGCGTAAATTGTCGAAATATGATTCTTGTGAACCTTTCCTCATTTAGCAAAAATAGTTCAAGCATAAATTTACATATTAACGCCCTTTCCCCTCTTAAAAATTGAATATGCATGTATAAGAATACCCTATTGCTTGGGAAAATAAATTAAATTTCATTCCTTTTTAACTTTTGTGAAAAATATTATAGCTATTTATATTTACCCCTTTATAAAGAAACCTAGCAGGTGGGCGCTGAGGGCGCACAAAAATAACAATAGCCCATAAGGGGTAATGAAAAAAAGGTGCAATTCTTATCAAAAGTAGTAACACGATAATTTAAGAGAAAAATGTGTAAAGGATTATGCACACTTTAATTGAATACCTTTCACAATGGGGCAAAATCTTTATAGAAATTAATTGTTCATGTGTGCGCATATTTTTTTTTTTTTAAATATGTTAAAAAATGCATGAAACAAAAAAATATGAATTATTATATGTTAGAACTTTTGCTGAAATGTAGAGAAGAATGAACGATTCCTTATACAGTTGTAGCGAAGTAACTTTCTACGACATTGATAATAACTAATGTACTTGTAGATATTACATTCCATTTTTTTCGTCCATTTTTTTTTCTTTTTTTTTAATCCTAAAATGAACCTACAACAGCCAAGTATTGAAAATTTTGTAAAGATTTAAAAAGAGTAATTGAAAAAAGATTATGAAATATTTTTATTTACTTTTTCATCTAAAAAGGTATATCCTATTTCTATTCTTTACATGCTTTACTTCTGTGCTTTTGTGACCGTTTGAAAAGGCACTGCTGAAGAGTGCTTAACATCTCACAAGCACACTTACTAGCGTATTAATCAAACCTTATTGGTCGGTCAAATTTTTAAAAAGTCGTTTACCCCCCATTTAACTAATCCATGAAAAGTTTTTTTGTGTCTCCACATTTAGACAAAATTATGTGGAAAAGAAAAATAAAAAAAAAATATTTTTTTTTAAGTTGCAAACATTATATACTTATGTTATTATCTTAATTTCTCTTAAAAATCGTACAATGATTTCCATTTTCCAACAAAAATATTCCCGCACATAATTCCACTTAAATCAACACTATAAAGGGGCACAAAAAAAAAAAAAAAAAAAAAAAAATAGTAATCCACAATATATTTTTACACAAGCTTTGATAAAAAAGCAGCAATAAGGCACACTTAATTCTACTTACACAATTCCTTTATGTACATAAAATGCACTTGCATAGAAATAGGAAAAACTGCATGGAAATGTAGAAATTTTGGTAGAAATAAAAAAAAATAAAAAAATACGTGATTATAACGTACCCTGTTCAGTACATACATATAATATTACGCACAAATATTTTTCTTCATGGTTAGTTAAGTGGAACTTGTCTATTTGTGTACACGATGGTAATAGTAAACCATATGGACGTAAAAGAAAAAGTAACACAATTGTGCATATGCTAAAATATATATATAAATGTGTGTAAATATATACATACATATATATAAATTAAATATTTACTTAAGCACGCCAACAGTGGATGTATGTAAAACCTTCAATGAACTAAACCTTGCGAATTTTTATCCAATTAAAGTAATGTAGAATAATAATAACCTATATACATATGTTTACATATTATATCGATGGAATTTTATAATTTTCACAATTGTATGAAATAAATTCCTATCAAAGTTAAAACATTGTCCACCCTTTTCTTTTTTTTTTTTTTCGGTCTTCAAGTGATAAAAATGGGATAATTGTGCATAACTAATACACACGCGAACGAGCTTAAAAAATGTATATAATGTATTTATATATTTAAATATATACATGTACACACACGCAAACATACATACACATGCTGTTTAAAAGAAATAAGTTATACATCAAGCGCTCTTTGCATTTGTAAAGATATTTTCCTTAGCTCTACCTATGGTTTATTTAAGCTAACGTTTTTCTGTCCCCAAATAACACAGCTTAAGAAATAAAAAAATATTCGCGTACATGTACGTGTGTTTATATATATTTATATATAAGTACGCAAGCATACATAAACATATATATAAAACTTTTTTTTTTTTTTTTTTTTTTTTGACAAATTGTTATTACTCCCTACTGCATAACCCGCGATTGCATTTCAAAGAAGCTTGCCTTTTATTTACTTTTTTTTTCATTTTATTTTTTTACACACTTAAAAAAAAAAAAAAAAAACAAAAGGAAAGAAATATATTAAGGATTTAATCCCAGGTTCTTTTAGTTTTTATTTTTTTCCATTTTTTCTTCATATTTATTTTACTAGGATTTTATTCATTCACATATATATTTATCTCATTTATTTTTATCATCTTATTTCTAATGAATTCATTTTTTCTCCCCTCCACCTTTTTTTTTTTTTTAAAGTGTTATAAATGACACAATTTCATGTAATATTTTATATTCATAGTGTTAGTTTTATATTCACCAAGCATATGTATGTATATATATATATATATACATAACACATTATATAATACGTATATAAGCACGCTTACACAAAGGTGTATACATACGTACATACATTTACATAGCCATAGTATTACACCCCTTTAAATTAACTTAACAAATAAAAATGAGAGAAATAGTTCACATCCAAGCCGGTCAGTGTGGTAATCAGATAGGTGCTAAGTTTTGGGAAGTCATATCCGATGAACATGGGATAGATCCAGTAAATAAATAGCTGCTTTCATAAACACACCCCTGTGTGTGCCTGTTCATGTGCTTAAATGTATTCATATATATATTTATACTGATGTGTATACGCACTTATATGTATATATATACACATATCTATTTTTCCATCTCCCAGGGAAGTGTACATATATAGATGTACACCTACATGGGAATGTAAAAACATCAAAAAGTTACACCATTACACATCCTATGAATGATTCGATTCTTGCGTTTACTCCTATATATGCATATTTGTTATACGTTAATTATCATTTTAAATTAAGAGAAATTAAAAATGGAAAAATATGTCCATGTGTATAGTGGCATTTTCCATAGATCCATATATCCTTTTCATCTTAAACGTAAAACGTGTAGTGTTTATCTTTTTGAACTGCATCAATATGTGCTACACTTTAAGTGTATGAATCTTTGCACGTTTCGAAATTATTCCGACACGTTACATTTTAAACACTTAAATACGCAAAAAAAAAAAAAAAAAAAAAAAAAAAAAATTAATATAAAACTTGTTTATTTTGTTTCTATACAACCCAATGGAACTAATTCGAAACGCATGCACTTTGAACATTCATACTATTGCACCTATGAACATAATATAAATTGTGTATGCGAATCCAACTAGAGATATTATATACATGTGTGTGTTCCGTTAAAATGCTTTTTCTTTTTAAGACATTCAAATATTTCATAAATTCACGTACACCTTTTTATGTTTACCCCTTTAGAGTGGTACCTACAGAGGAGACAGTGACTTGCAATTAGAAAGAGTTGATGTATTTTACAATGAAGCAACTGGTGGTAGGTATGTACCAAGAGCCATTTTAATGGATTTAGAACCCGGTACTATGGATAGTGTTCGTGCAGGACCATTTGGTCAATTATTTAGACCTGATAACTTTGTATTTGGTCAAACAGGAGCTGGGAACAATTGGGCTAAGGGACATTACACCGAAGGTGCAGAATTAATAGATGCCGTTTTAGATGTAGTTCGAAAAGAAGCAGAAGGTTGTGATTGCTTACAAGGATTTCAAATTACACATTCGTTAGGAGGTGGTACAGGTAGTGGTATGGGTACCTTGTTGATCAGTAAAATTCGAGAAGAATATCCTGATCGTATTATGGAAACCTTTTCTGTATTCCCATCACCAAAAGTATCAGATACAGTTGTTGAACCATACAATGCAACCTTATCTGTTCATCAATTAGTAGAAAATGCTGATGAAGTTCAAGTTATAGATAATGAAGCCTTGTACGATATTTGTTTTAGAACATTAAAACTAACAACTCCAACATATGGTGACTTAAATCATTTAGTTTCAGCGGCTATGTCAGGTGTTACATGTTCATTAAGATTCCCAGGTCAATTAAATTCGGATTTAAGAAAATTAGCTGTTAATTTGATTCCATTCCCACGTCTTCATTTTTTTATGATTGGATTTGCACCCCTAACGAGTAGAGGTAGTCAACAATACAGAGCCTTAACCGTACCGGAGTTAACTCAACAAATGTTTGACGCAAAAAATATGATGTGTGCAAGTGACCCAAGACATGGAAGATATTTGACTGCTTGTGCCATGTTCAGAGGAAGAATGTCAACTAAGGAGGTAGATGAACAAATGTTAAATGTGCAAAATAAGAACTCTTCTTACTTCGTTGAATGGATTCCACACAACACAAAGTAAGGCCTCTCCATATTCTTCAAATCTTGCGTAGGAATGTGCTCCGAAACGCTCTAAGAAAAATGTTCCAATTTTATATATCTTCCTGTATATATATATACACGTGTGTATTTTTTTGTATATGTATAGCTGTATTTTTCACATTTATGCCTGATATAGACATTTGCACAAGAGCAGTGCCCCAATTAAACTCCATACAAGTGCTACTCACAAAAACGCACCTTCATTTTTATTTCTACAGATCTAGCGTTTGTGATATTCCACCAAAGGGATTGAAGATGGCAGTCACATTCGTAGGAAATTCTACAGCTATTCAGGAAATGTTCAAGAGGGTGTCAGATCAATTTACAGCTATGTTTAGAAGAAAGGCATTTTTGCATTGGTATACTGGAGAAGGTATGGACGAAATGGAATTCACAGAAGCAGAATCAAACATGAACGACCTTGTTTCAGAATATCAACAATACCAAGACGCAACAGCTGAAGAAGAAGGAGAATTTGAAGAAGAGGAAGGAGACGTCGAAGCTTAAATAAATGTATCCATACATATAACATACTTGGTTAAGCTAATTTTAAAAAGGCATATAATAACGAAATATATAACGTTATTCCCTTTCGTCGCCTTTTTTTTTTTTTTTTTTTTTTTTTTTTTTTAAGGAATTTATGTCAGGATTTTTATAATTTGAATTAATATTTTTTATATTTATATTGGTTATTTAGAGTTCTATCATACGTGCGAAATTGGATAACTAGAATTTATTACATTCTTTTGGACTTTTTCTTTTTTTCTTCGACACTCGAAAAGTTTATAATATATATATGCACCTTAAAAAAAAAAAAAAAAAAAAAAAAAAAAAGACAAAAACTGAAAAAAATTAAAAAAATTAAAAAAAATTAAAATTAAAACAGTCATATAGTAATTTTCCATCTTTTCTTAAATATTCAACATTTCCACTGGCAGTTAATATGATTTCGATATTGTGTCATTAGGTAAGAAACTATTGGTGTCAACCATAATTCATTGAAGCCCCCTTAAAAAAAAGTCTAACGGAGTATCATATACACGTTCATATATATGTATATATATACCTGAAATACTAAAATTGAACGTACTTACAAATTTCACCCAGAATGTTTCCTTTTTTGTATTTTTATGAGTGATGTCTCTTTCGCCCAGCAGATTCATTTCTAGCATGAATCCGATTAATGTTTGTAAAAAAAAAAAAAAAAAAAAAAAAAAAGGAATAGAACGATTTAAAAATACCTGTGACTGAAAGAGAAACATCAAATATAGAACTTCTTTGAATTACGAAAAGTGGGAATGTGAAATTGGCGCAAAAGCAGAGTAATTAAACAGTATTTCCTATGAAAAAATAAAACGAATTGCTATTGATCTAATGTTTCCATTCAATCATACCATTAGTTACATTAAACGTAACATACCTCATTTACCTATACTTACGCAAGATATATGTGTAACCACTATTTAGGCCTCATTTTTAGTAGTGATCCATATTTTTACATAGAAAAGACAATACTTAACAACTACCTAACATATGGTAGTATCGATGACAGTAACAATACAAAAAAGATAAGCCGAAAAAATGAAAAAATAAAATAGCCATTAATCCAATTTTTATGATGATGCACTTTTAAAATAATCTTAAAGAATATATATATTCGCTGCTTCGTGTGGTTTACGTTAAATTACAGAAGAGAAAAAAAAAAAAAAAAATTGAAAACGCTCTGAAGAATTTATAAATACACTAAATAGAACGACAGAGAAGCAAAAATAATTCAGAATACTGAAAAAAAAATTTGTAAACAGAATAAGGACAAAAAAAAAAAAAAAAGAATTAAAAAGGTCACACATAAACAATTTTTGTACATCAAAATAATGGCTAATAAGACGAAAAGGACATAACAAAAAATAAAATTAAATTAAAAATAGAATAGTGCACCAACAAAAGCTGTTTAGTTTAAAATAATTTTAAACCTTTATACGTAACTATAATTTTAACATGTGATGAATTATGTGTAAATGAAATCAATAAAATATTTCAATTATAATAATTTACAATTTTGTGATCATTTGAAGAGTATATGTATTCATAGATATATACACGTATCATATTCTAAGAGTCATCAGATGAAAAAACTTTTAGAATATTCTCAAACGAATAAAAATCTATACTATTGAATTTATCTTTTATAACCACTTTATAAGAAAAAATATACGAAAGTGTGCATATAATAACGCTTAATGATAATTTAAAACTTTTAGGGAATTCTCATTATGTGTATATGTCCTACATGATTAAAATGTTCGGAAATATCTTATACCATATGTCAAACTTAATATTTCTTTTTTTTTTTTCATATTATACAACAAATGGCATTATGAGATATAGATATGAAATCAGATATTCGGAAAATACTTAGTAAGTACATATATTTTCAAAATTTTTTGAAGCTCCTTTTATGCTTTTACACAATTTAGTAAAAAGTTCAGAGTCGTTTATCACCTCCTCGGGAGAAATATCATTGAGTGAAAAAAAAAATTCATTTGACTCTGTATTTTCACTGTTGCATTGGTCATTACATATTCCTATACTTTTCCCCATAGTTGGGCTGTTACACCTATGCAAGATCCTGTCGTGATGTTTACTAACACCATGATTGGTATTTATAATTTTGCCTATATTCTGATGTCTTTCCAAAAATATATCAAGACTATTACTCTCGCTTACTTGGGTACTCCAATCCAGAATTATATCTTGACTTCTACTCATACTGATGCATTTCCCCTTATTCATATATGCACCTTGGGACATACCCATGTCCATGTTTTGGCTTCGATCCACGTCTTCGACATTACTCCTACTCATGCTAACGCTTTGACGTCTACCAAAATTTCTGTTCCGGAGGTTCTCCAGATTTATGTCGAGACTGTTATCCCCAAATAAATCGTAATTTGAAACTTCTGTATCATCCATAAGGTAATCGAAATTCATAAAACCCATATCTAAAATAAAATTTTCCATGCTTTCTTTCTTGACATTTGTTTCATTTTGTTCGTGTGCATCAGAATACGTCTTTTTCTGTGAAGTGGGCCAAGCATTAACTTTGGAAGTTGCTCTGTTATAAATATTTAAAAAATTTTCATTCAACTGGAATAAACCATTTTCTAAGGTAGGAGTGTTATCAAATAAGCTCAAGTTTGTCGTCACATTTTGTGGGGTTTCTTCTTCAAGTAGTAGGTTAAAATTTTTTTCTGTCGTATGATCAGTTCGTGCGATATGTTTTTCACTGTTCCAATATTTTCTTCCATTCTCTTCCCATATATTTCCTTCGTATTTACCTTTACTTTTGCCTTCATTGGGACCCCACTTTTTTCCCCATTTTTTCCCATACACTGTGCACAATTCTTTTTTTTGTTGTCCTTTTTGCTTCATTTTCTGTTGATGTTTTTCTACACATGAATTGTCATTTCTATCTGTAAGCGGCAATTGTGTCTCTACATTTTTCATTTCGTTTGGTACTCTTAGAGGTCTAATTTCTTCAATACCATGAGCAAATCTACATTTATCTTGATTCATACATTTTTTCTTTTTCCAGAAATAGCATAGAGTGGTTTTATAAGTAGCCAGATTGGTACTTGGTTGCAACGTTTCAATTCTATGGGCATATTTACAATTAGGGTTAAGACAGGGGACTTTTTTTTTTATACTTTTGCATAATTTAGTATTTTCTAAATTTGGTAGAGGTCTTAATTCCTCCAGTACATGAGCATAGTTGCAGTTACCTTTATTCGTACATCTATTTTCTAAAAAGTGTCTACAAATTTTTGTTTTTGAGAATTGATGTTTTATTTCTGCCGATTGATTCATCTTGCAGCTCTTAATATGGATATATGAATGCATACAAGTGCACAGTGCGATATGTGAATATATATATATGTATATATTTGTGCGTGATGTGTAGAGTCGAGGTATGGGAAAGCCTTCAAATGTGTGCACGTATTCAGAATGAGAAATTAAATAAAATGTAAACGACGATAATTTATGGAAACCAAGTATGAACTGTGTACTGAATTAGTACATGCACTAAGTATAGTCGTAAAAAAAACTCACAAATGTATAAATGAAATGAGATAAAAAATATATAAAAATCATAATCAGTACTGAAGCATAAGAAGCAAAACTCTGTACATGTTAAGTAATGTCTTAATATGAAAAAAGTAATCCTTTGAAATATGAGTTTTAAAAATGATTCGATATACACTATTAATCGATTCTACTAAAAAGTGAAGACAAGTAAATTTTCATAGGAAAAGTAAACAAACGCTTCTTATAAAAATGTATAAAATTATGACATGCCTATTAAAAATTGTTTTTTTAAGTTTTACAAAAAAATGAAGTTTAACAAAAACGCTACAAAAAAATGCCTATAATGTGAAAAGAAATCATTTGTGTTTTGATTAAATCGTTATTTATAAAAACCAAAAGAAGAAAAGAAAAAAAATAAAAATAAATAAATAAAATAAAAAAAAAATATATATATTGTTGCACATAAATGTGTGTAACAATTACAAACGTTTTTATGAATTAAAAAAGCCAAACTTAAAAAAGAGCGCACAAATTAAGATCAAGTCTTAAAGAAAAAGGCTCTTTTTCTTGATCACTATTCATTCGGTTTTATACACATCTCTGATCCAAAATGATCAAAAGGTCTATAAAAGTCCGTTCTGCAAAGAACAGAACAAAATTTTATTTTTTTACAACTCCTATATAAATTGGGACAAAAAAGAAGGAAAGGAAATGAAATACAACACTTTTTTTTTGTAACATATGGATAAGACATTTTATGCCGTAATTTTTTTTTTAAATTATCATATTTTTAAATTTTTTTAAACCGTAACGAGGTGCATGTCAACATGAATATTGCTCCATTTTGGTGCAAAAATGTTCCGCATGATGGCAAAAATAATTTCGAGCCAAAAAATAAAAAAAATAAAAGTGTCTAAATATATACACTTGCGAACATGAATTACACACACAACTCAACATTTTAACAATAGCAAAATGAGACAAATTTCTTTTTGAAAGAACCCTATTCATAAGAAAAATACGCATTTTTCGTAAAGACATGTTTTTCACATGACCCTTTAGCCCTAATACCCAAACGTGCTCAAGCAAGACTCAAAAGTAAATTATAATTTTCAACACCTGGTTGTAAAAAATGTAATTGTGAAAATTATGCATTCATTTTTCATATTCAAATTACATCCTTTTCCTCTTAAAAATTATTTGCAATAAGGGCACACATAAAATTTTGTTCACAAAAAAAAATTGCTTTCATGTTGTGAGTATATAGACATATTTTTTCACGCCACTAAAGTGGTTTCACCAAGCAAAGGGTTTGCGTTGCAGGTAAAAATTGTTGCATGTGCAATTGTTTCTTCTTTCTGTGGATAGTCTTTACATATATGCAAATATACGTGTGTTATATATACATGCCTATATAAGCACAATGACATATATATTCGTGTTGTAAATGTTCATGGAAACACATAAATGATAATGAATTTAATATGGGTCGAAATTTATGTCTATTAATGTTGCAACACATTTTTTGATATGAAAAAAAAAAAAAAGACACTTATATTAAAAGGTCTAACAGCAAGACTATTGTTACATGGGAAAATTTTCTGTAATTCCCCAAATTTTCTCCCTCATTGTGTTAAAAATTAAAAAAAATAAAATAAATGTATAATTAACCTTTTATTAAACAATAAATAAAAATCCACAATGATACTTAAATTAAACAACAGAAAGGGATTAACAAAGGAATGGTGTTAAACCTTACAATCGCATGGAGTTCGTGACAAAACGATAAAAAAAAAAGGTGACCTCCTCTTATTCATCCATACGACAAATAAATACACCTTCGTCACTGTTATTTCAATTTACATATATTTTTTTATCCTTATTTTGTTGTAATTATAAAATTTCAAGATTTAGCCATAAGTTTGCAAACATATACTTGCGCGCAAGTTGACATATGCATACAACCACTACACTAAGTTTAATTAAAAAAAAAAAAATATGTCAAGAGACTTTATGATGTCAGCTATGCATTAAAATTAACAAAAAAAAAAAAAAAAAATGACATGGCTGTAAAGCACTTTAAAGATGGGATGGCAAAGTGTTATAGAGATTAAAAGATAAAACTTTTAAATTATAGAATTATAAAACGATAAAACGTTAAAATTATAGAACTATAAAGCAATGAAACGTAAAAACCATAGAACTGTAAAAAGATAAAACATTAAAACCTTAGAGCTCTAAAAAGGTAGAATGTTAAAATTACAGAACTTTAAAACGATAAGCGACTAAAATGATAATACGAAAAAGGGAGGGAGAGATTAAATGCAAAATAAAATGAATGTAATAAACGAACGAATTAAATTTAATGAATTAAAAAGTAAAAATGTAATGATATGCTCATGTATGAGTAAGCATTTTTATACATGCTTCCTCTTTACACATGCGTGCTTAACACATATGTTCGTGTAAAACATTCATAGGGGCTTGTGACAAAAAAAAACGCCTAATTTCCATGCGTGCATAATAAAAGAAATTATAATATGCGAAACATGAAGAGGATGTACACTAGTTCTCAATGTAATATAAATTCAAACATATGTGATAAATAAATGTTACTAAAGCAAAAGACACTTAAAAAAAATAAAAATAAAACATGTATAAGACACAAAAAATTAAAGTAGAAGTAAAGGAAGTAATAAAAACATAATCTGAGTGCAAATGAAATATGTTATAATCATAATTATTTCCAATAACAAAATTCATAATATGATTGTAATTTACTGGTATGTAGGAAGTTAAAAGTAAAGAATTAGTGACAAAATATAGTCCCATTAGTTCTGATATTAAGAGAATCCACATATTTGAAAAGAGTTTAAAATAAAACGAAAAGTAAGTAGATATTTGAATAACTTGTTGTAAAAACTTCTTCATATTAATTGCTACTATATACGAAATGTATGCTAATGATATATAGGGTCCATAAATTATTGGGATATTATATTTTATATTGAAAAATAAACAAATTTTTTCAATAATTTTGGAAAAGGGATCTCTTATATATATTCTTATAAATATAATATTTAAAATAGACATAATAATTTTATAAATAACTGTTAAAAACATAACTGAATTTAAAAATACGTTAATCTTTCCCAGTAGGCAATTTTTATTTTTTTGAATTTCAAATTTTCTACTTAATATTGCATTTAAGGAATAATACATACTTGTGTTTGTATATACAATATTTTCAATTTCTTTTTTCAATTTATTATAATTTTCCAAATCTTGAATTTTGCGCATATCTTCATTGCATGAATCATACATGTTATCATCCTCATTTGTCTGACAATCGTTCAGTTCAATGGACTCATTTTTAAGTTTACTGTTATCCATATTGTTTTTATTTTTTAAATGAAAATTCTTTTCCATTTCATATAAAAACTGAATACGTTCCATTTTTTTCTTTTTCTCATTGTATTTTGTTTTTTCGAATTTGTTCACTGGGAAGCTTATACTTTTGAAAAAAAAATTCTCAATCATGTTGTCTTCGATGATCACGTTTCCTTCTTTTTCTTCTCCTCTTCCACCTATGCTCATTCTGCTCTTGCCACTTATTCCATTTTGGATATCATTATCATTTCCTTTATCACTTTGCTTGAAGAGGTTTTTCTCTGTGCTGTTGCAGTTATATCCTCTGCTATTACTATTGTTATCGCTATTCCTATTACGAATTATGCATTCGCTTTTCAGTGGGAGAGATGATTCACTGCCGAGTAAAACATTAAGGGAGCGACATTTCCTCAGGTGTTCCTCTTCGTTGAAATGGGACCCAGGTTCACCATCAAATTTGACGTCTTGCTTTTCGTCAAAGGGAATAGGACAACTATTCGACCTTTTCAAAGGGTGCACGTTATTTTTATTTATATTTTTATAAAAATAATTAATTGTAGTTGATTCGTGATCGCTGAAATTTCCACTTTTCTTCTTATTTCTGGATTGTTCAAAATGATGAGTATTAAAAGTGCTGTATTTCTTTTTAATCGTGTTAGAACACCTCTGTTTATTATCCAAATGATCAGAATCAGTGAATTTCAGATGAGCGCTGTTGTCTGGATAGTTTAATAAATTGGTATTTTTAAAGTTACACAGATTTCTTAACCTATTAGTAAAACTTACAAGAAGAGACGCTTTTTTCAGTGAATTTTTTTTCTTCCTCATATTGGTTGATCTATTTGTTCTGCTACTACGTTGTTCATAATTGTGTTCACATTCCCTTTTTGATAATAACAGTCTTTCTTTTTGCCACTCTACATTTGTTTTTTCTGTTATCCCCTGAGGGGAAATATTCCTATTAGAGCCTACAGCACCTCTATGAATTGATGCCTTTTTCGCATCGTAAATAAATCTTTTGGAATGAATATCAAAATTACTTTGTAATTTTTGAAGTTCCTTCTTTTTAAACATGTAATTCGTAAAATTAATTAAAATACTTTCTTCTATGTTATATATCTGTATTTGTATTTTAGGAATTTGTAAATAATATATAAAGGTAATAACATAGTCATAAATAAAATACATGGATGAGATTCCTGCGACAATTGAATTTGTCGTTACACCTAATGCGCATATATTTATCAGCAATTCTCCAATTATAAACTTATATAATAGCATTAAATAGTGTAGAATCATGAAACACAATATGCTGACAATACTATAGAACCAGTTAACGCATTTTTTAAGTTTTGATTTTTTTTCATCCTTTGCTTCACTACGATCGTCCTGTTCTTTGTTATAACATTGATGAAGTTCTCTAAATTCGCAAGAATAGTAGTTAAAACATTTTTTCTTTTTTTCTAATAAATAAAAAATGGTCTTATTAAAAATTTTATTTTTATTTTTCTTCTCCATATATTGGTTATATAGTATATATTTCCTTATACTTAACGTATTATCATCTGCAATAACATAATTATAATTTTTTTTGTAAATCATATTTTTTAATTTTCCCAAACTTAACCAAAGAAAGGATAAAAATATTATACTTCGAATCAGAAAAAAATGCTTCTTTATTTTTTTGCTAATTCCATTTTTTTCTTTATATATGGTACTTATTTTTATATAATATTTTTTTATCAATTTAATATGCGAATGAGAATTAAATTCTGGGGAAAGTATTTCTTTATAATTTCTCGAATCAAATATTGTGTTGATAAATTCTACTGGTATAACTATATACAACAAGAATACTAGTATACATATATCAATGTGCCAAATGTAAGTAATTATAACATTTGACACTATGCTGGATAATTCGAATAAAAAAAGGGAAAATATGGACATACAAACTAAAAAAGTTATAAAAAAAATGTTTTTATTAAATTTATTCGAATGATTTAAAATGTCTAAATACCTCAGTAAATAATAAATGGACACCTTGTAAAATATTACATGTAGCAAAATCATGGCTATTATTTCACACACAAATCTTATATTCATTTTATTTTCGTTCAGAACAAGCACAAATGGTGGAAAAAAAGGAACAGAAACTCAAAATGCATCATACACGGCTCATTTATGTGTACAAGGATCAGGATGTATGAATAATCTCGTCATATACGTGCAAATTTGCTATATATATGTACATATGTGGGTATATGCATACGTACGCGCATACACCTGTTTACGTGTTAAGCACATCCATACTTATGATGATTATACAGTTTTCCAATTTTTACACAGCCAAAATTTCCTTTCCTCTTTTTTTTTTTTTTCCCCCTCCTTAGCTCTTTAAAAAGCTTTGCTTTGAGGGGGACATAAAAACAAGAGTTTTTAACTGTACACAAAGGTGTAAATACGCGCAGACGCAAAACCATGTGTGCGTAAATTCATCCGTGCGTGAATGCATGAATATATGCGCAAAAATGCTAAATATACAGTATAAAGAAATGGAAAAATTTAAATGCATTTAAAAAAAAAAAAAAAAAATGTATGAGCTGCATGTTTACACAATATAAGATGCGTTTTCATTTAATTCCACAAAGTGGACAATGGGGAAAAAAAAAAAAATAATAAATTTAAGCTCACAAAAAAGAAATAAAACTAATAAATTTTAAAAAGTGTGCTAAAAAGTTTGTTAAAAGGTGTGCTAAAAAGTGTGCTAAAAAGTGTGCTAAAAAGTGTGCTAAAAAGTGTGCTAAAAAGTGTGCTAAAAAGTGTGCTAAAAAATATGCTAAAAAATGTGCTAAAAAGTGTGCTAAAAAATGTACTTAAAATTTATAAAAAAAGGGTAATGCAAAAAAATATAATAAAAAACAGTGAGAGAAAAAAAAAATAAAATTGTGACAACCTACTTATGTTAAAAAGGAGAAGTTACACAACTACTTTAGCGTGTGTGTACTTGAACAAAAGTGCCATGTATGACTATGTACTATACATATCTTAGTCAACGCATAGGTTCACGTAAATTCTTCAGTATTTCTCAAATACATTATCTTAATTTGTATTTTTTTTTTTTTTTTTCGCTATATTTTATTCGTTGTTTAATTTCAATATACATCTTGCTGTATTGTTATTTTTAATGAAAAATTTCAAGTTGTTTTCATTTCTTTGTTCGTCGCTGAATTGTGCATAGTTATATTTAAAAGGTTATATTAAAAAGTTTAAAAAAATATATATATTAAATGCAATACAGATAATCAAAAAAAAAGAAAAAAAAAGAAAAAAAGCGCAAGGTATTTTAACATACTTTGCGTAACAAGCTGTGTTCAAAGTTTGCAAAATCGTCCAAATGGGACATATAATTCAGAGGCGCAATTTCACTTATTGTAAATAGATTAAATAGTCGAATAAGTTAATTTATTTAGGTATAGTTCTTATGCAAGGGTTACATAAAAAAAAGGAACGATTCTTCTGAGTAATGAAAAGTGTATACTATTTCATCCCGTGTGTAATATGTTGTAACAAATGTGGTTACTTATTTGTTTTGTGGCTTATGTGCGTTTTTCTCTACAGCACAGTGGAAAAAGTAATCTCTGTTGGTATTTTCCCCATGGAAGAAACTTATAATATGTTAAAGTAAAATAAAACAAAAAAGTTAAAAAAAAAAAAAAGCACGAAGTAGAAAGGAACATTTCTACTTTGGTGTTACACTGAGATTCCAAATGGTAAAATATGTAAATATAAAAAAAAAAAAATGCAGCTAAAAGTAGAGCTCATGAAAAAGTTGTTCTCAGAAATTGTTCTTCCAAAAATGCAAAGTTGTACTACATTTTTTTTTCTTCTTCCCTTGTTACAAACACTTTAATAATTTCTATAAAGAATTGATGAGTGAAGGTAACAGAATATTACGTGGGTACAGAAAATATCAAAATGTATGTTCAAGTGTACATTGAAATATGCGTACATACATATTTATGAAAGGCATGTATTTAAAAAGATTTAAAACTTAACATGCACAGGAAAGAACGATTGGGACAAAACAAGCAATTGCGCAATTATGTACATTATAGGGGGGAGACACACGTTCGCTATCAGAGAACCAAACGCATACATATTTATACATATATATATATGTATATATATAATATATATTGTGTGTATTTATTTGCAAACATGCCTATGCACCACTTACACATGTATCCTATGCAATGGAAAAAGGTTAATGCATAATCGACGTGATAATTTTCCCTTAAAATTGTAACACGTTAACAGCATGTAAGTGAACAGTTCTCTTAATACATCACTGTGTATTTTTATAGCACTGTTGAAAGCTAGGGAATGTGTTCATGTATAAATTATGTTTTATTTTTACGTAACTTATGTAATAATACCACATATATGTATTTTATACAGGGGCTTTTTTACAGTTCTCCTAAATTGCTTTTTTTTTTTTGTTTTTTACCGATAAGGGGGCTGAATTATCTTTAAACAAAAATGTTCGTCCTTTTGCCATTCTAAAATTTCCCCCACCCAGCCTTTGTCATAAAAAAAAAAAAAATTAAAATAAATCACCTTTTTTTAACCAATATAATAATATATATATATATTCACATGCACACGTACATTCATATGCATAATGGAAGCATAAACAAATGCACATAAATTTGAATACATCTTTGTGCGAAGGGATAACACTTGCATATGCATGTTTTACCTCCCGAATTCTACACGCTTATGAAGGAAAAAAATAACAAATGATATGTGATTGTTGAAACGGGGATTGTGGATAAACTGAAAGAGGAAGAAAATAATATTAAATAAAAAAAAAAAAAAAAAAGAAAAAGATAAAAATCGAAAGGTAAATGAAAAACGAAAAGAGAAAAAACGTAAGAGCAACAGTTTAAACGATCATCTCTGCAAACACGAATGAAAACTTTGCTTACTGAAAGAGAAACAGAAATCGACATGAATGATTTATGAAAGGAATATATACACCAAAAAGTACATTTTCCGAACATTCGCATGCATTTGCTACTTTGTGCGTATATATTTACTTATTTAGTACATACCTCTTTTTGCGTGTAAGCACATTGCAAAAAGTCACACATTATATATATATTAACGTAGGAGGAAAAAAAAGGGATAACTGAAGTTACAATACATACATAGTATACGTTTATAAACACATATTATATACAAGTTAATATATATTAATATTTTTACCCCTATCTGTAAGTGTATATACGTAACACCATAACCATGGGAAACGCACAAGGTGGAATGAACAACAACCCATACGGATTTTTAGGTAAAAGGAGACTTTTGATTTTTAAATTTGCTTAGGCTAAAAGATGAAATATCATATGGAGACTTGAATTTATTTTTTAACCACACCTTTAGAGAGCGTGTTAATACAAGTGCATGTATGGGTATATAAATAAGCTCATATACATGTAAACATATATATATATATATATATGTGTGTGCGTTAAAAGACGATTTAGGATGCTCGAAAGCTTGTGTAAGTCTTCAAAATTACATATACTCGAGGGTGAACACTTATATGCATTGAAATCACAATCACCAATTTCTTTCGTATTTTTTTGTAGGAAAAAAGGATGATAAAGATAAAGGAAAAGACAAAGATAAGAAAAAGTTAGAAAGTACACCCCCCTCGCATATAGGAAAAAGAAAGAAAAAAAAAAAAGGAGCTACTGGACATTCAAAATTACCTACTGTTACACCTAATACAAAATGTAGATTAAAACTTCTAAAGTTAGAAAGAATAAAAGATTACTTATTACTAGAAGAAGAATTTATTACAAATCAAGAACAAATAAAAACTACGGATGATAAGAATTATGTAAAATTAAAAATTGATGATTTAAGAGGTTCACCAATGAGTGTTGGTACGTTAGAAGAATTAATTGACGAGAATCATGGTATTATTGCCACTTCAGTAGGACCAGAATATTATGTAAATATATTATCATTTGTTGATAAAGATTTATTGGAACCTGGATGTTCTGTTTTATTAAATAATAAAACGAATAGTGTTGTTGGTATATTATTGGATGAAGTTGACCCATTAGTTTCAGTTATGAAAGTTGAAAAGGCTCCTTTAGAATCCTATGCCGATATTGGTGGCTTGGAATCGCAGATCCAAGAAATTAAAGAAGCTGTAGAATTACCTCTAACACATCCAGAATTATATGAAGATATTGGTATTAAACCACCTAAGGGAGTTATATTATACGGTCCACCAGGCACAGGAAAAACTCTTTTAGCAAAAGCTGTAGCAAATGAAACATCGGCTACTTTTTTAAGGGTAGTAGGATCAGAATTAATACAAAAATATTTAGGAGATGGACCTAAGCTTGTTAGAGAAATGTTTAAAGTTGCTGAAGATCATGCACCATCAATCGTTTTTATTGATGAAATAGATGCTGTTGGTACCAAAAGATATGAAGCAACTAGTGGAGGAGAAAGAGAAATCCAAAGAACTATGTTAGAACTATTAAACCAGTTAGATGGTTTTGATTCAAGAGGAGATGTTAAAGTTATTATGGCAACCAATAGAATTGATTCCTTGGATCCAGCTTTAATTAGACCAGGGAGAATAGACAGAAAAATACAATTACCAAATCCGGATACCAAGACAAAAAGAAGAATTTTTCAAATTCATACAAGCAAAATGACCATGTCACCAGATGTTGATTTAGAAGAATTTGTAATGTCAAAGGATGAGTTATCTGGTGCAGATATTAAGGCCATATGCACAGAGGCAGGTCTCTTAGCGCTTCGAGAAAGAAGAATGAAAATTACACAAGTCGACCTTCGCAAAGCAAGGGATAAAGCTCTATACCAGAAGAAGGGAAACATACCAGAGGGTTTGTACTTGTGAGTTTTGAGTGCATTGATGGACGTGAATCTTCTTATGTTGTATGTATTTATGATTCATGATTCATGCTCATTTGCGTGTGTAACTTTTGTGCTTCTATCTGTCCGCAGCATATAGCAGCACGAAACAAAGTGGAATATTTTTCTCACAAAAAGAAAAGCTAGATGCGAGTGGATTGGATCTCAAAAGTTCGCGACCTCCTGCAGCAGGAAGCGAATCAAATTGAATGGATCCCATTTATAAGTTCTGAATTTTTTTGTAATACGAATACTAAGCATGTGTGCATTTGCGTATATGCATTTATATTCATTACATGCATATGTACAGCGGTACGTATGTATATATATTTTTTTTTCATTAAAAAATACCACAAAGAACACTTTAACGAACAAATGAAAAACATTTTTTAAGATAAATTTTGTGAAGTTCATGTACGAAACAAATTTGTGCATAGAAGTAGCACCCTCTATTGAAATTCCATGAAAAAGATTATAGAGGGGGAAGCTGTGCTTCTAATGAAAACACGTGTGTATATGTACTGGGCACTTCTGCTGTAAGATTATTAATGTTTGTGATATGAAGAAAAGAGGTATGCACTTAAATTGCTCATATTATTTCCCTCCTCATTTTATGTATAACTCTAATTATGTTTATAATAATGTACCATCTTCTCGGAGAATTAAATTTTAAACTTAGCAATATTAAAACATAAAGATAGGAAAAACTACAGTATGTGATTCTACTTAGCTTGATACAATTTAGGAATTCTTGGGCGGTAACTTCACCTTACCTCCGAGAAACTGTTGGACTCGAGTGCTCAAAATTTTTGCGTGGTTATCATCTATTAGCATCAATTGTCCTTCTGTAAATGTAACCAGGTGAGGTACATACGTTAAGGGAGTACATATAGATGCACATTTTTATGATTAAATGTAAGTGTTTATAGATTTGTTCACCTGTGTATATTTTTATGTATCAAATTAACCAAATAAGAATATAACGTAGAAAGTGCTCGGAAATATATACATATATATATATATATATACACTTAACGTGAAAAAGTGTTTATATCAAATTTGTACTAACTTGGCAAGAAGAAGTATAGCACAGCCAGAACCGTGTCAGGGTTAAACAAATCCTGCGAAAGAAAAAACAATTCAAAAGAGGAATTTTTGTTAATAACAAAGGAATTGTAAAAACAATTTCGATCGCAATAATGTTGATGATAGTAGTGAAAATTTTTATATTTTATATTCCTAGACACAAGCAGGGACATCGGAATGTTTTGCGCAATTGTCGAAGTTCGAAGATAGCAATTATTGTGTTTTTATGTAAATTGCTTAACCACGTCATTTTTGGAATTTTTTCTCTTTTCCATATCGTGATGTTCCCTCATGACATTTATAAATGTATGCAGGAAATAATCGGCCTGAAGGAGAAATATTTTTGTAAAATATTCTTATATTACTTAAAAAGGGAATTTATATTTGTGTGTCTTTTTATTTTCTAACCAGGTGAATATTTTCATGAGCATAGAGAACTAAGGTGTAGCAAATTCTGTTAAATGTTAAAGGGGAAAGTGAAAAAAAAAAAAAAAATAAAACCATTTAGTTTAAAGTTGTAGAAAAACTTCCCTTCAAATGATAAATAATTGAGATGCAATTAGTACTTGTTTAAAACTTTCCACAGAATATTTATCTTATTTTTGAAAAGGGATGAATCAACAATTCTGAAGAATCCCTCATTATCTATTTTTACTTCATTATTAACATTCCTACAGTGCCGAAAAAGTGTCAATACATGAGCAAGCCATATAACATCCATGTAGATGTTGTTACAATTTAAAGTACATAAATATACACGTTTATTTATTTTTCCTTATTTTTATTTTTTGTTTGTTTGATTTTTTTTTTTTTTTTTTTTTTTTTTTCTCTCTTTTTATATCCTCTACTTTGAGAGAAAAGAACCAAGTAAATCCAAATACTTTTCCCTTTGACTTTTGTTGGTATTATCAGATTTGGCTTTACCATCTTCATAATAATTTATTTCATCAATGACCCTCGCAACAATAGTCTAAAAAAAAAAAAAATTATGTGTACACAAAGTAGGCAAGTCGTTATATATATATATATATACACAGAGTTGTAACTCTATTTTTCTTTTTCCAAATTGTGTACATCTGTTTTTCAGTTTTATACCCTTTGTCTTATGCAGTCATCCTCGTCATTATTCTCCATACTATAATACGAACTAAAATAAAATTTCTCAGCACATTCGGAAGAATGAATTATTATCCCATACACCATTTTTTACTTATAAAAGATGGGAAAAAAAAAAAAAAAAAGTTCCTCAGTATGGTGTAACAGAAACTAACATTTGGCAAATGAGTGTAGGACTAAGTGCCTTTTAGTAAAAACTTTTAATTAGAATAAAATACAAAAAGTTGGTATTCGATTTAAGGTACCACATGGAATTTACATGCACGAAAAGAAGCAAAAAAAAAAAAAAAACACACATGGCTACATATATTCATATATATATTTGTGATCCTTGGGATGTTCCTATTTAACAAACTACACAAAAATGCATCCCCGCTATGGCATTTTCTTCTTTTTTATTTTCCTATTTTTTTCCTATTTTGCTAAACGATAAGATTATTACAAATTACCCAAGTGTCATTTTATAAACAGTGCCTACTTCACGAGGAATTATTCCCATTTCTTCGTTTTAGTTCCGCATGTGTTATATACACAATTTTGTTTGTATTAACATATCAGTACACATGTTAATATGCATAGAGTTTTTTTGATCCACTTACCCTCACTTGTTGATACCAATTAGGGGGACGTGTAAAAATACACGACATTATATGGGAAGGATATTTTCTTTCTTTTGTGAAAATATAAAAATTCAACTGTTTTTATTCAATTTTGTGTCATTAGCTACCCAAAGGAAAGAATTGAAGAAATGAAGTTTTACATTCGCCCATATACATATCTGAGTTTAGTGTATTGGTTACTCCTACAAAAATAGAAGAGATATTTTTCACATATTAGATTTTACAGTATGACATTATAATATATGATTGATATGTTTTGTAAGCATAAAATTAAAATTTATAAAAGTTGATACTAAGTGAGTGGAACTTTTATACCCTTAAGATAAGCTTCTTCTTACTCGATGTAATTCAAAGGGGGAAAAAAAAAAAAAAAAAGTGTTTCGAAAAAAAGGGAAAAGTCACATAAGTACATGTGTAACCAGAGAAAATATATGATGTGTATGCACAACTGGGTATGTATACATGTATTGACCTGAATTGTCACTTCCGATGAATACCTTATTGTTTAAAGCCAAAAAGGAACAACTTTTTATGCACTGGTGTAATCCTCAGAAAACGGTTTTAGAATTTTTTTACAAGAGAAGGAATACCTTTAGGGATACCATTACAACAGGGAACATACGAACACACACGCGAACAAACATAGAGGAAAATATAGGAAAATATATAAAAACCAAAACACACACACATACGTAGGCTTGTGAAAACTGAAGGGAGGGACTGCTATATATTATGACCATTAAAGGATTTGTCCAATTTGTAAATAAGAAAATTCCGAATACCATCAAAAGAATAGATGATATAAAAAGTTTCACGGGGAAAAAATTCATAATTGATGGGACCTTTTTCATATATAAGTTTATGTACGTTGCTTGGAAACATATAATTAATGACAGAAATCGTGAACGAAAATATAAAGCTAATGAATTGACAACACATATACTAGTAAGGCAATATATTATTAAAAAAAGTATAGAATTATTGAAAAGTCAGTATGAATATTTTAAATCATTAAAAATTAACACACTTTATATTATTGAAGACATTGGGGCTAGGTATGAATTACAACCACTGGATTATAAATGTAAGAAACATGTATGGAAAGAAAGAGATTCTCTGAGGAAAAAAAAAAATCTCTTTGACATTTTAAACATAGATATGTCCAGAGGTGGAGGTGGGAAAAATGGAGAGTCCCTGAGTGACACTATTGTTGGAAATTCTCACAAAAATGGTGGAGACACAATACAAAATACTAACACTGGTACGAACGGAGGCATGAACAGCAGCACAAGCAGTAATAAACCATTTTGTGAGCGTAAGAGCAGTCTCAGCAGTATGTGCGAAAGTAAGAACTCGAAAAAATGCAAAATGGAAATTATTGTTGATGAAGATGGTATTCACGATATATTTAAAAAAAATATTTTTATAAAAATTAATTCTAAAACAGCGAATGATATTTATAATTATTTGTCCATAGAGAAAATACCAATTTTTATAACAAAAAATGATGCAGAAAAAGAATGTGCAATTCAATGTTCTCATGAAAAGGATATTGTCGTGTCCGATGACACTGATGCTTTGGCATTTGGAGCCCCTAATTTAATACGTTTTATAATGAATAAAAAAAAAAGACATATAATTAACAAAGATGAGCTTCTTAACGAATTAAATATAAATTATGAACAGTTCATAGATTTTTGTATATTATCTGGCTGTGATTATAGCGCTAAAATACCAGGCATTGGCCCTGTGAAAGCGCACGAAATTATTAAAAAATACAAAACTATAGAAACATTTTTAAAGTCTAATACTTTTAACAAATATAAAAATTCCAAATTGTTCAATCAGAAACTAAATGGAATATCCATGTCATTTAACGATTACATTCTTAACGAGTTTACGTATGAACAGGCAAGGAAGGTCTTTTTTAATTCCTACTGAGTTTTCTCGTGCATTTTTTCGTTGATTTGTTTTTTTTTTTTTTCACAATAATGCTATTTTTTTCATTTTTTTATTTTAAAAAAAAATAACATTTAAACATACAGGAGTTATAAATACTACGCTACAAAAAGTTTTAAAAATTTTTCATATTATCACTACGCTACTTTCATTTTTAAGATGTTTCAACAGAATACACATTGCCCCTTTTTTCTCTCATCATATTTTTTATTCTGTTTTTTCTGGTATATATCGATAGACAGTGCATTAAACAAATTTCAATGTTTATCTGTTCTTGTTCTGTATAATGGGGATTGTTTGCTTCATTATTTTTTTTTTGTATACTTTGGAAGGAAAAAGTTTATGATGAAAAAGATCTAACTCATTGGGGTGTAAAGCAGAAGTGATATATATGCTTATATAATTCAATGTGTCTGTGTCTCTACTACAGGTGAACAATTTTACATGAAGAAAATTGCAGAATTGTTAACTTTTTCTAATTGGGTGATGATATGCTTTTTTGGGCATTGTCCTCACTTATAATGTTGGACCGATTGAAAATATTTCCGATCACTTTTTTTTTTTCCCCTTCCGTCCCTCTCATTTTTTCCAAATTGTTGTAATAACTCAATTATATGCATTTACTTTTTTTGTTCTTATCTAGGGCCCTTTTTCACGTTGTATACTCCATGTGTAAATTTATAAAAAAACATGGCCATACTGAGGATATACTTTTATACTCTACTGATTAACACAAGAAATGAATAAAAATTTTTATTATTTCTTTTTAAAACTGATTAATTATGAATTATTCGTAATCTTCAAATGATAAAAAAAATTGTTACTATGGAGGAAATTTCTAACCGTTTTTCAAATTTCAGAGATATCATGGACAATACAAATATTTATAAATAGGTATTTCTTTTATTCACTAAATGAGAAATGTGGTTATAATTTTATAAGTTTAAGGATTCCATTGGGAAATGCAATGTGTGCATATACCAAACACATGGGCACTGCACGTGTAGAGGCGAGGGGGATATATATATCAAAATGAAATGAGAAAAACGGAAAGAAAAAAAAAATGTGGACAAATATATAGAGTTAAAAAATAAAGGAAACATCAAATGATACGGTTGGAACAACAGGTTCGAACGAAAAATAGTAAGTCTTGTTTTGTTATATTTAAAAAAAAAAAAAAAAAAAAAAATGCACAAGCAGACATCCGCACGGCATAATAGACTATAACATATATGTACGTATATATTCTTCTTCATAATTATTTATATACAGTATTTTCATGCATGTTTTTATAAGGAATGTAAATATTTAAGAATGTGAATTTTCACCAATTTGGCGAGAATTTAAAAATATGTGTATAACTTTTATGGTCAGGTGTGATTTAAAAAAAAGCATAAGCACAAGGGGCTAAACAAGAACGGGTAAGCACAAAAAAGTTAAAATTTAAAATTAAAATAAATTACATAAATGAAATAAATAAATAAATATAATAAATATAATAAATATAATAAATATAATAAATAAATGTGTAAAAAAAAAAAAAACATGTAAACAGACGGGTGAGCTACAAAAGGAGCAGACGTGGTGGCGAAAAAGAAATCATATTCGAATTTGAACACTCTTTTAAATCTCCATTTAATGATGCGGACAAATCAACTATTAAGGCAGGAATTACAATACCAGTCATTTTCCATATCGGGGGGATTGTCAATTGAATACTTGCAGCAAATCCAGTGAAACCATCTTTCACATTTATCACAACCAATCCAATTTAAACCATCAGCCGGTGAACCATCACTTAATTCTTCATAAAAAGATTTACATACTGGACAATAAATTTGTTCTTCCTTTATTTCTTCATTATTTTTTACATTTGATTTTTCTTCATTTATTTCATGTCCATTAATTTTTACATGCTCATTAATTTTAGCAGGTTCATTAATTTTAGCAGGTTCATTAATTTTAGCAGGTTCAATAATTTTTGCATGCTCATTAATTTTTACAGGTTCATTAATTTTTGCATGCTCATTAATTTTTGCATGTTTGTTTTTCATATTTTGTTCTTTTTCTACATAACGTTTATCCTTTCTTATGATTAACTCGTCCAAATGGTTTATTGTTGTATTCATATCAGCATCAATGTTATTCGGTTCATTTATGCTCTTCTTGCGGACACTGGTTAAAGGTATGGGATTTACCAATTCATGGGGAATGTTTAACAAACTATTCATGTTAGAATCATCCAAATCATCTGTATTCTGTGCGTTTTTATTTTTTCGATGTTTTCTTCTTTTTCTTCCATCCGATTTTGCGTTCACTTCTACGTTCACACCCGATTGCTGACAAATATTGGAATCATTCAAGATGTTTCTTCTTATCACTTCATCATTCTGTTGGAGAAGGTATTTTTTTCTTTTTCGTTCAAGATAATTATGCTTATCAATTTTATCTGACCATACATTGGGATTGGGGTTAGCTGCAGTATGTGCCATGTTTTTACCCATGCTTTCCACATTTCTAATATCATCGTACTTGGCATTAAAATATGGGTACATCATGTTATTAGGAATCATGTTCGCACCATTATAATATGATGGAGTTATCATCATGTTTTGATTTTCGGGAACATTTCTCATTTGGTGAATAAAACTATTGTTGACTATGTTGTTAATTTGAGGATATCCCCTTGAATTAAAAAAGGATACATTTTGAAAAGATCGAAGTTCTTCTGTTTCATTTTCTGACAACAGAGATACTGCACTTTCTGTAACATTATCATCAATAAATAATATATCATTCTTATATTTTGACTTATTATTTGATATGGCAAAAGGATTTTGTACACAATCTGAGTCTACACTTAATGCAGTACTTCTATCATGTATTAACATATTATCTATTGCATCTTTTTTCCCCATAATTAATTGTGCAATATTATTTTTTGTATTTCGTGGATCTTCTCCATCCATACTTTTCGGTGTATATGATGCAGTCTTTGAATGCTGTTCAATTAGAAATCTCAAATCTTTGTGAATAAACGTGTCATCATTAATTCCTTGATTCGTTGTACTGTCATCATTGTTGTAAATATTTCCTGTCAAATTATCATCATTCAATTCATTTCTTATGCTACTTTTTTTTTTATGACTTCTTCTAATATCATTCGATGACATATTGGCAGCACTTTTCCTCATAATATTGAGTTGTGTTTTTTCAAAAATTGCGTTAATACATGGGTTTTCTTCTATTTTTATAGGTTTCATTAAATAGTTTACACAATTTTTATTTAAATTATTGAAAATATAAGTACCCATTAGAAAATTATATAAATGGTTGAAGGGATAATTTAAAAAGTTCTCAAAGAAAAATAATTTATTTGTGTTTATAAAATTGATTAAAGTATTTTTTTTAAAACATTGAAAGGTGTGTTTAAAACAGTATGCTTTTTTAGGGTTATAAATATCAACTCGACCAAAAAAATTATCCATTTTACATCCTAACAAAATTCCACATGATATATGGAATGACACATCACAATCTGTATTACTACATGTGATAACTATCCCGTGTTTGATTCTACAATAACTGCAAACCTTTTTAATTCCCCCTGTTTTCATTTCATGAATGTTCATTTTTTTAGAATACGCTGTATTTACATATTCCTGGCATTTGGGATGCATAAAAAATAATTCCTTTTTTGCCTTATCTTCAAAACAATTTAAAAATCCATCTAATCTTGGGCAGTATGTACAGAAAGCTATTTTTTTTTTAACCTGAAAATATTGACATCTTGGACATACAAATTCGGATTCATTATTGTTCTTTTTAGTGGTCTCCTTTACTATGTTGGATTCGTCCTTATCCTCTTCTTCCTCCTCTTTCATTTTATTCGTACGATTATTTTTCGACAGACAACTGTAATCAAGATGTTTATTATTTTTACTTTCCATTTTTTCAATCTCTTCTGCATTCTTCATTGTGTCCTCTCTTATGCTATTTCCTGCATTTTCGACAATCTTATCACAATTCACATTTTTCTTTGTATCCATAACAGATGCAATAACAGTGTTAGAATCATCATTAAAATAGTTATTTTGGTTCCCATCGGGCGAAGTAACATCACATTTATCCGTTTTGATCGAATCATTTAAGTTTTTCTGTTTGTTACAAATATTTGTATGATCATCATGCATTTTATTTTCATTATTTGCATTAGCTTTTGTCGAACTTTGATTATTTGTTGTGAGTTCGGTTTGAAGTTTGTGCTTATTTTTACAGGGCCTTCCAATTTTATTAGTTCCAGGTGGATTTCTAATTCGTACGCTCTTTTTAACAACTACCTGATTGTCCGGTTTATATTTTGAACGATCGTTAAGGTAATTTTTCATGATATCAATGTTCATTCTGTGGCAACAGAAGCAGCATATGAACACATTACACAAAAAGCACTTTTTTAATACGCTTAGAGATCCTAATCTCCTTTCTTTTTTATTTTCAAATTGTTCTCTCAAGTTGGAACCATAAGAGGGGTTATTATTATTGGCATTCCTACGCGTGTTGCCACTCTCGTTGATACTGTTACTGTAGCTATTGTTGTTTTCTAAAATGTATATGTCACTTTTACCTCTATGCGTTCTTTCCTCCTTCTCCCTAGGAATATAATTAGATCTGGATAAGCACACGCTGCATAACATTAAATTTTTGTTATTCAGCAAAGAAAGATATTGGATGAAAAAGGAAAAAAAAGTATCATCATTTGGAAATTTTGTGATGCTGATGTGATATTTCTCCAGTATAAGTTCTGATAATTTCCTTAACTGAAAATCATTAAAATGGGGATACAATAATAAAATGTTTTCGAAGTTTTTTAATTTCTTATATTTATCACTCAGGATAACATTGTTTAATTCTTGTAAATCTTTCTGCAAGTACAAGAAATCATGGGTTAATAATTTTAGAAGTGAATCTTCATCCAACAGATTTTCATTATATATATTTTTAAAGCTGCTTATACTTATTATGTTATTGCATTTTGTACTGCTAATTTTGTTTATGGCTTCAATATCGAATATATCAATGTATGCCTTCTTGGATCTACTTTTCTCCTCCAGTTCCAAGAACATCTTCCCTTGTTCTTCATCCCCGTTAACTGTATTTGTATCAGTTCCTTCATCCCTAGTAGTCTCTTCAGTATCATCATTACTTGCCACGAGTACACCTTCATGATTAGTCTTATTCTCATACGAGGTCACAACATCAGTTTCCTGGTCTTTCCTATGCATTAATGATGCCTTCTTTTTCAATTTGTTTAAATCTGACATGTTAATGAGAGAAATATCGTTTCGTTCTTTTGACAAATGTTGATCAAATGCTTGATACAAATCATTAAAATCATCAATAATTCCTAAATTGGATTGCATATTTTTACTATACTTATCATAATTAAAATAAACAAATTTTTCAAAAATGGAAAGAGAAGATAAGGATAACAAATTAAATAATTTCATGTCGCTAATTTTTAAATATGATTGTAAAATATATGCATCAAAAACTTTGGACATATTTACTTTATCTTCTAATTTATTTTTATTAAATTCTTTTTCTCTAAGAATTTGATATTTTCTTAAAATCTCTGTTGGTGCTTTTCTCTGGGAATGATTGGAACAGAACAAAACTAATTTGTTTGATTCGTTCACTTCAATAAGATACTTATTTGAAGATGTTGCACAGGATATGTGATAATACTTATAACAATCCGCAATGTTACACTTGATTATTCCTGTATTACTTGTTCGTAAGCATAAGGAACATTTATATTTCGATTTGTCCCTATGATTGATTTCAATTTTGTCGTTAACGACACAATTACTTATTAATGCACAACGAATATGACACCACTGATTTTTTTTTTTTGTTCTTTTTATTGGCCCCCCTCCTAAATAAAAAGAATCAAATTCGCAAATACAGCATGTTGGTATTTTAAAAACAAATGAAAAATTCTTGCTATAATTATACTTCAGCAGTAGGTTATTTTCATCCACATATTTGTCAAAAAAAGGAAAATTCCGATTGATGAATTTAGAAAGGTCATTATTTGTTTCACTAAAGTATCTTTGTGCAATCGTAGCTTTTTCCTTATGGCTTATTTTTTTTCCAATATCGTTATTATCATCCTGATGAATAAATTCCATAAGTTTGGAGTAATGATTATTGTTTTCCAAATTTGAATGATTTGCATCAAAATCATTTTCACTCTTGACGTGATTACTGTGCATGGAACTATACATATTCAAGCTAGAACTAGTGTTACCTAAGATACCATTTGCTTGTCCCCAATTGCAATTGTTAGTAGCTGCTACATTATTTTCTTCATTCTTGGTATTATTCTTATTTTGCATGTTAAGTAGTTTAATTTTATTCAATTTCGTGCTTCCCAATGGCCTACCCCTTTTTCTGACTACCACATTAGTGTTACCATCAATGATATTGTTATTACTCCTACTAGTACTATTGACATTTCCTCCTCTTTGTGTTTTCAATTTATTTCTTCTTTTTAACTCTCTTTTGGATATTTTGCTATTACGTGAATTTCTATCTTTCCTATTTCTATCGCATTTTTCATCTTTTTCCTTTTCTTTCTCATTTTCTTTTAAATCATCAAAGTCACTTTCTTCCAAATTTTCATTGATAAAAAAGGGTTCTTGTCGAAACATTTTAAGGTGTTCTAACTTTATGGAGGAGGAGGGGTTAGGGCTCAACTCAGTTGTGTTTACCCCTTCACTCAATTCCATAAAATGACGACTTCCCTCTGTTCCACTAGGTGCAATCACCTTAGTCACTATAATACAATTGAAAAATATTTTATACTTGTACAAATGTGTATTTTTCATAATAATATTTTCAAAAAATTCATGTGCATTATTTATATCAAGGTTGTATTTTTCCTTATAAAGGTGAATATCCCTATCGATGTCGAATAAGAGCAAAATCGACTTGTATTTGTAAATGGCATTAATGGAATAATCATTATTATTTATTTTAATTTCTTCTGGTGGAGTGTATGCAGTTAATTCATTTTTTATATCATATGAAAATGCACTACTAAATTCATCACATGATTTAGCTAAATATTCCATATCTTTCTTTTTTCTTGGTCCACTTAAATGTCGGATAATTCTAAAAGCAGTAGAGTCATCCATAAACAAAATTTGGTTTCTTAAACAGGAACATAATGGACATATCCATTGTTCATCATCAGAATTTTTATCATTTTCTTCATCACACTTATTTTCAATGTTTCCATTTTGGACTTGATTATTTGTTTTACTCAACGACGTGTCAATTAAGCTGTTTTCCATAAATGGTACGGATACACTGTTTCTTAATACCTTTTCTGAAAGATTATTTTGCATATTATTTTCTCCTTTCTTACTTAGGATATCTTTAAGAGCAAATTCTTCCTCTCCTTCATTATTATTTAGGGTTTCCATTTTTTCTACTTTAACATTAGTTTGGGTTGCGTCACAGTTAAATATGTTCGCATGATTATCCGTTTCTTTACCTATGATAGCCTCTTCTTTTTTATCCTCTTCTTTTACACTTTTAGTGTATATTTCTCCATTATTATATGCTGAAAAATTAGTGTCAGAATGATCAGTTTTCATAATGTCCATTTTTATCTCTCTCTTAGCGAGAGAATGTTCCCCAATATCCGATTCAAAATACTGTGGTTGTATTCCTTCATTCAATGTGCCATTTTGTGTGGTCGTCTCATCATTATGCTTCATATGATTTTCCTTACTTTCATTGAGCTGTGTAGCACTAAAAAGACTAACAGGTGAATTGAAACTAACATAACAATCAGATAACAGGGATTTCATAATATTTAGATTTACTTTTTTGGCTCCATTTTTCTTACTCAAACTATTTTTAGTAGTACTGATTTCGTTATCTTTACTCGTAGGTTCTTCGGATTCATTTGGATCCGATTTCTGTGCACTTCTTTTAATAATACTATTATTTTTAACATTCCTCGAACCTGCACAAGATGAATGCATAGGGGTATAGCAACAATCACAAAAAATTATTGGATTATCTTCCCAATCTTCCCCCAAACTACAAATGCTGCATAAAGCTTTTTCTGTCCAACTATTTGGGAGCTGAGAACTGCTGCTAACTAATATTCTTAATTTTAATAAATCTACAATCTGCTTGGACAATGTGTATGTATGTTTTGTGTTTAACTTATTTTTTAAATATTCATTTATGTAAAAATTTATCATTTTATCCTCGATAGAATACCAATATTTGTATGGTTTCTTTTTTTCGTTCTTTATGTTATCTAATAGTTTGATCAAAATTTTCTTCTGTTCCTTTATGTTGTGTACATATCGAGAAAATAACACGCATATTTCTTTATTAATATTCTTCATATTTTTTACATTCTGCTCATTTTTGGAGCGAATTGTGGTACCACTTGACTCTCCTCCTCCTTTTGTGAATATATCTATGTCGTTTTTACTATCTCTCCTGCATTCTTTATACTCATTTTGATCTTTATCGCTATCGTGATTGCTATTTCTAATTGAAAATACAGAACTGACAATCTTCTGCACCTCACTAGATGGTGAATTATTACCCAAAATGTCAACTGCAACCATCTTTTCATTATTATTACTATTATTCTGTTTCAGTGATGATCCTGTAGAAGTAATACTTATCTTCATTCCGTCCATTCCTAAGGTGTTACTCCTTTTGATAAGCTTCTTCTTACGATTCTTTAATTTATTGAAATTTATACAATATGCACGTGCTTTGTTTGTAACAGAATTGCTATTATTATAGTTCACATTCAAAATGTTCTTTCGATATTTATCTAGGTTTATATTTGTTAATATGAATTCAAAGTATATATTCGATTTGTACTGATTTTTTTGTAAAGAAAAAATAGAATTATTAAATGGGACAGTGTAATTATTCGGAATTGAAAATCTAAATTTTTTTAAAAATTGAAATTTATAATATTTGTTTTTCTTTTTTAAAAATAATTTCTTCTTAACTATAGCTTTTCTCTGATTTTCTCGATAAACATTTTGTTTTTTCCTTTTACCATCTTCATTTCTGTTACTATTCTCAACAAAACGAGGATTATATTCTACAAAGTCTACCTTACCATTTTGAATCCTCGATTCTTCTGCATTTGCCAATGACTCTTGAGATAAATCATTCTCGCAAATGTTATGAGTGGGGGAACATTTTAATGATTCTTCCGTATTACTGCTAACCACGAACACTAATTTATCATCAATATTTTTGTTTAAAAGGTTGAATTTTCCTTGTTCTGTTTCTTCATTTTGAACGTTCTTCTCTTTATTTTCATTCGTTATGTCACCTGTTTGTGTGATTTCAGATGTAAGAAAATGTTCTTCCTTTATTTGACCATTATCCTCACTGTCCTCGTCCTTTAGATGTTCACATATGGATTGTTGATGCTCTTCTTCTCCTGCTTCGACTCCAATATGTTCTATCTGTGCCAATTCTGATTTGCTTGATTCTTCTTTTGCTTCACTGCTATCCACATTATTCACAAATGAATCATACTTATTTTCATTGTTCACCTTTTTTGACTCTGCATCCGTTAGCTCCAAACTGTATGATCTATTATCAATTTTGTAATTTTTTTTGTATAAATTTCCTAAACATTTATTGAACGCATCATGTTCTATTTTATCGGTATCAATTTCCTTTTCTTTAAGTAATATATCAGCATCTTTGATAATTTTTTTTTTTTTTTTCTTCTTTTTTTTCTTTTTTTTTTTTTTCATTTTTCCGTTACATTCATTACTTGTTGATAAACGTTTTTTTCTCTTTTTAATTCTCCTACATGATATTTTTTTATTTATATCTTTTATGTGAATATATTTCGATTTGGCATTTTTTAGCTTCAAATTTTTTACCTTATAAAGTAAATTACTATTTTTTTGCTTCTCCCAATATGGTAAAATATTGCCCAGGATAATAGGAAGAGAGGTATAATTCTTTAGTTCATCTAAAATGCTGTTATAACATTTTTCCTTTTTTTCCACGGACATTTGTGGGGATAATGTATTTCTCCTATCCGCAAAAGTTATTTCAGTTAACAATTTCGCTAGTGCTTCCTTTTCGTATAGATCCATTTCCTCTTTTTGTGATTTTTTCTCAGAATGTTCATAAGAATCACTCTTTTCCTTATCATACACCTTGCCATTAACGTTATCATTATCGGTATCCTTATCGATCCTATTGTCGTTGCTACTTGATTTTATGACCCCTCCCACTTTTCCTCCTTCTTTTCGTCCCTCTCCTGCTTGTGTTTTCTCATTAAAATTATAATTTTGCGGGATATATATAGAAATGTGGAGACCATTGGGAATTGGTTTGTTCTGAATATATGGGAGCTTTCCAACTCCATCGTACTTCTTATTCAAAAATGGATTAAAAAAGTTTGATTCATTTTTCTTATTTCTGCTAGGTCTACATGCTGTGTCTTTTTCCTCATGTAACCTGGAATCTTCATCATTTTCCTTATTTTTTTTGAGCTTCGTTTCAAATCCCTTTTTCGGGGACTGATTCTGATTTATAAACTTAAATAATTGATGATCATGTTTCTCGATTTGATTTTCATTTATATGCAACATCATCCTATTTTCATAATTCATCAAATCAGTTTGATTATAAAATCCTTTTCCGTATAATGGTTGGGGATGTGGCATGAACTGCTTATTGAAAGGCAAATCGTTTCTGTAATTTCCAATTCCATTATTTATTCCCAACTGATTATTTTGCAAAGGATAACTCTGAGTAGATAATTTGTTATTTCCAGTCTTGTCAAAAAAGAACATTCGATGATAATCATCATTCCCATGATTCATGTTATTATTCATGTGTAAATATTCCAAATTAGTAACACTTCTATTATTGTGTATGTCATCAATTATTGGAAAATTTTTCATATCATTTATGTTGTTACCGTTTCTATCAATACTATTAATAGGGTTGACGAACCTTTCATTGTTTGCACTTCTCCTATTGCTGATGTTTTTATTTTCCTTGTTTTGATTTTCAAGAAGTGCACTGGGTTCAGCACGTCTGTCAGATTCATAGATCATATTACGAGTCATCTCGGTAAGTGCACAGGGAAACATATTCATTTCTTCACTCATTTTACTATCGAAATAACTGTTCATGAATAGGAAATTATTGTTATTCATGAGCATATGTATATTCATACTCATGTTCATATTCATATTCATTCCCATATTATTCGTCTTATGAAATGAATTATTATTAACAAAGCAATTGTTAAAATGGGGATAATTATTTGGAGCATTTTCAAAATTTGGAAACTTATTTATATGGTTAAAATTTCCCATAGTTTCTAATTTTTCTAAATTGCTAACAGGGTTGCTCTTATTATTGTTGCTCTTATTACTGCTGTTGTTATTACTGTTGTTGTTATTACTGTTGTTGTTATTACTGTTGTTATCCCTGCTTTTCATCATGTCAGAATTGTTATTCTTGGCATTTTCATCCATTTGATTCATCATATTATAATTAACCGAATTGTTCTGATTCATGTTTTCAGACAATTCGTTATTATTAACAGAGATGAAATTATCTGTATGAAGTGGCTGGGCATCATTGGTTGGAAATTTTATTTTATTTACTTCATTTAATTTGGAATTCACAAAATTGTTTGAATCATTTTTACAGTTAGATGGGATATTCATCACATTACTACTACTGTATGTTGTTCCACTGGTAATTATTTTTGTATCATTATGATCCGCTTTATACTTTTCACTATTATCAGCATTTTTCTCTGTATTGATTTTATCATATTCGTTTATTTCGTTTAATGTACTAACTGTACTAATTTTTCCATTGTTAAATGAGGATACAATATTAGCATCAGGGGTCACATTGTTCAATGTAGATCCTATATTAACATCTCCAGATACTTTATCCAACTTAAATTCAAACATAGGATTCAGTTCTTTCGTGTTGCTTTTGTGTTGAATCTGACTCAACACGCTACCACTAATGTTAGTGTGATTATAATTGTCATCCCTATTATTATTGCTCTTACTATTACTGTGATTAATGTTGCTATTATTTTTCGCCATTTGACTAATGTTGTTATCTTGAATATTCACAAAGGGATTACTCGGGTTATCAAAATTCACATTCGTTCCTTTCATATTATGAATTGCTGGTACAAGTGTTGTAGCATTATTCATGTGATTCATATTGCTCAACTGTGTACCACCCATCATGTAATACGAATGTTCCATATTATATGGATTACCATTTCTAAAATTTGGTTGAACATCAAAAGTGTTACCATTTCCTGCAATGTAGGGAAGATGATCATGAACATGGTAATTCCTTGCTATGAAATTATCACCTCTCGGATTATTGGTTGGAATATAATTAACATTTTTTCCCATATAAAAAGGATAACCAGCTCTTTTATCATTTCTCAAATTTTGGTGATGTAATGTATTCAATAATAATTGATTTTTTGCCATTGGCATAAATTCAATTATACTTTTTCTATCATCACATGTTAATTCATTTTCATTATTATTTAATTTTTTATGTATATCGTTTGCATAAAATTTTTGGTTATAATCACTCCAAATTTCTTCCTTTTTTATTTCTTTTGTAAAATCCAAAAGGGGATTCAGAATTTTGCTATTTTCATCCTTTTTTTCATCCTGTACATTTTTAAAAATAAAATTTTTATTTTGTGATTGACATTCAGAAGTGTTGGATGTGTCATTATTTTTTTCTTTGGGATTTAATTTTATTTTTACTGAACTTGTATAACAATTAATATTTTGCAGAATTTTTTTATTAATTTTTTTGTTTTTAATTTTGTTACATATGTAATCAGTGCATTTAATATGATCTTCAAAAGCAGAAATTAATCTCTTGTCAAAATTTGAAAAGTATTGGTTATCGATATTAGTCCAAAACTGATGTTCATCTGCATTTTCGTTCTTTATATTTCCTTCCCTCACAATATTCAACACATCGTTGTTTCTCCTTCCATTAGTTCTTCCTCTATCCATCCTAAATGTGCATAACACTTAACACAATCAAACTTATATTCCTTTCTATGAACAAAATATATCACATGCGTGTTCATGTACTACTTGCGTTAGTTCTATAACACTCAAATGTACCATTTGCATAATGTCATATGTTCCTTTGAATATATCCGTACGTACGTACATACACATATGAGCGTGCATATATATATATGATCGCTATTCTATAGGCATGTGTGATGTGCTACACACCCTACCTAACAAACACATGTGTATGTATAAAACTAATTATTCTTCATACTACCATATCACGTGGTGATATTTCATATATGGTTAAGTCAGATTTTTAGTTCCCTCAAATGTACTTCATTCAAATGTAAGTACATACAATTAAATTATTAACAAGGGAACTACGTCACAACTGCGTGTATAAACACAACTCTCCCCTCATGCGTATATTCATATATACGCACTTGTACACAATTAAAAAAAAAAAAAAAAAAAAAAAAAGGAAATAAAAAAAAATTCACAAGGTGTGTATGTGTTACTATGATAATACTATAAAAAAAAAAAAAAAAAAAAAAAAAAGGATTTGGAATATCTTTTTTTTTCCCAATTTTTACATATATATATATGATAAAAATTTATTTTTCATCATTTCTGCAAATTTGCGCATTTCCAAAATTTAGATAAACTAGGTAAAGTAATAAGCAAAGGTGAAAAAAAAAAAGAAAAATGAAAGGGTAAGGAGGAAACAAGTGGGCATGTATTTTCTACTCAATGTGTATACGCACAAATGTGAGCATTTACATATGTACAATTCTGCATACATATGAATAATGAAATGCGAATGAATAAAGGGTTTATACACATATGTATATGTATCACTTTAAAATGCTCAAGAACAAACGTTTAACCATGGGGATATTTATAAATGTATTCACATACACACATGTATGTATTTATGTGTATATATATATATATGTAAAAATTTTATACATATATAAAGAAGCATTATATGCGTACACTTTCAAAACATTTCCATTTTAAAAGTCGGTTAAAACTAAGAATCTCATTTAATCGCAAAAAAAAAAAAAAAAAAAAAAAAAAAGAAATGCAATGGAGCAAACTTAAAAATTATAAAATTATCCTTCAAATAAACGCAAAATCGCGTAAAATAGAATGCACAATTTTGTAAAATCTTTTATGAAATGAACTTTCCTTTTTTTGATATATTCCTAATGTGCGTATATAGTATATACTATATAATAAAGTTCTTAAAAATAACCCAAAATGTAAGGCGTACGTAATTTCCATACATAAATATATATATGTATATTCAAGTACTGCATCATATATAATATCTCCAGGAATTATATATGTCACATGGTGAATCACAAGATCCCTGCCAATGTAATAAAAACATGATGACAAAATATTCAAATGGAAGTTCCTGATGTTCAAGCGGTAAATGCGGCTTGCATATACATGCACGAATAAACATATAAATTAGGGCTTAGGGGATAAAGCAAATATGTGAAATTACATATTTACTCGACATATATTTATGCAGAATATATTTCCATAGTAATGGTACATGTATATATTATATGTATATATACCTAAGAAAATGTAAACAAAAAAAGGCTAAATTAAAAAGGGTTAAAAATGTGCTATGCTTACGCGAAAGAAAGAAATCAGGTAAAATGAGAAATATTTTATGTTAAAAGAATAAGAAATAAAGTAATATAAAATAATATGAAATAAAATAATGTAAAATAAAACAGTATAATATTAAATAACGTAAAATAAAACAATATAATATATTAAATAAGGTAATATTAAATAAAATAATAAAAAATAAAATTAAAATATAAAGCGAGGCTAAATATTTGATAATTACGTTCATAAAATAACAAGGGTTAGCAAAAAAAAAAAAAAAAAAAAAAAAAAAATCAAATTCTCAGGTGTTACTCGCGTAATAATAAAGAAGTAACGAATTATAAGAAAGTTTAGTTATTCACGTTTTTATTTTAGGGTATAATGATGTATATCAACGGTTTGTAATAGAATATATATACATCCATATATATTACGTATATATTAAATATATACACATGCTTCTATTACTTGCCGTTTTAAGAATATGGTGTTGTCAGCATCTTCCAAAGATATGTTTCTCTCCATGTTTACATATGTATCTCTGCATGCATATATTTTATACAAGTATAAATCCCTAAGTCATAAATGTAAAAAAAAAAATATATACACTGAAGATCTTACTAAAAAATGTTAATATATACACTTTATATGCTTTTACTGCAAAAAAAAACATCCACGGAGAAGAACTTCCCGTTAGAATAAATGGTCGCTAAAAGAAGCATAAAATGGAGTTATAATTCTGTTTACAATTTTGAATACAATTTATTTTCACAATTTTGTTCGCAACTTCGTTAACAGCTTTGATCGGATTCTCCTTTACATTTTCTTTCACAGTTTCGATTGCATTTTCGTTCCCAGTTTCGATCGCATTTTCGTTTACAATTTTATCCACAAGCTTGTGTATGTAATTCTTTACACATCTTCTTTTTCGTTCATTCCTTTTAACCTAGAAATTGTCCTTTTGCAATAAAAAAAAAAAAAAAAAAATTGAGGAAAATAAAGCAAAATTAAAGAGGAATATATAACAACACATATCATGCATATTCCTAATTAATTTTCGACCGTTTTTGTATACTTTTTAAAAAATTGCTTATTACTACAGTGAATGAAAAAGTAGTAAGGAGTTTTCAAGGAAAAATTTCCCTATATTTTATATTATGGACATAGGTGATTTAACAGTATAACATTTACATGAATTAATATGAACGTGAATATAAAAAAGCATATCATATCCACATGCTACTCAAAAGAAAATAGCAAATGTGTCACATTAAAGGTAAAGTGCGTCTTAACCTTCTTCCATTATGATATTCCAAAACAAAAGTTATGTGTATAAACATGGGCATAAGCTATTGTATATATGTGACGAGGTAACGTACTATGCTAGATAAAATATTGATTCTGCACACAGTGTAGAAATATATCCGACTATATGTTTATTTTGTTTTCTTGCTTGTCACTCCCACATTTAAAACTCGAGATGTGCTTTTTGCATAAGTGTAAAGAGGACGTATGGAGATACCTTGCTTACAAGCAGAGAATTAAAATATCATAACATTAGGAGTAAAACAGAAAAATGCTTATTTATATACATATATACAAAACAGTAAAATAAATGTTCTTCAAAGAACGGCACAGTGTTGCAGGATTATGACAATAAGCCTCGTGATTTTTACATTTTTCAAAATTAACACTGGTAGATATCGCACAGTTGGGTGTCGTTACTTATCAAATTGTCATACCTCATTATATTTCATACATTATATTACCCTTTTAACGTTTACAAAAAAAAATATCATTTAAGTATTTTTTGATACTAAAATTGTTTTCTTTTAATATTGTTCCTAATTTTAAATAAAAAAAAATGGCCTCCAAAAAAAAAAGAAAAAAAAAAAAACCTTTAAATATGGTATAAAAAAAAAAGCAACAATAAATAATTGCTCCAACATTTAAGATAAACATTGGTATCAATGTTGAAGACAAGATAATACATACTTCTGCAGGAAAATCCTATCAAAATTAAACTTAAGTTTAGGATAACAAAAGTTCCTTGTTTTTTTAAAAAGATATAAAAAAAAAAAATGTCATAAATGCAATGACAAATTTGACGGATATATATTATGGTAAATTAAAAATGGGATATTTTTAAAAACAGTTTTAAAAAAGACAAAACGTTAGGTGTGCCAAAGATGTGCACTTTTTTTAAAGATGCGTATTTTTGGCATAGTTTTATGCATTCTAAAAAAAAAAAAAGAAAAAAAAAAAAAAAATCAAAATTGCAACTGCAACTGCAACTACAACTACAACTACAACTACAACTACAATTAAAATTACAGCTTTGCTGAAATTGTACATTTGAAAGTACCTAGAAGCATAAATGTACACTGGGGACATAAAAATTAATCGGATGGTTTAAAACGAAATGATATAGCATTTGTGTTAATTTTTGAATAAGTCTGGTTTGCGTTAAAAATGGAGATTATATAAGATAAAGAGATTGAATTTTTTCAATCGTTTTTCTCATGATACGATGAAGGGATGTTATTCCTAATAAGAAACCATCATCTTTTTCATTTCTATTAAAATTAGCATGGGCAAAATCGATTATATATATAGTTGCACTTTTCAAAATTTTGCTATTTAATTTTGATTGCATATAAATGTTTTTTTCTTCTAATGTTAGTGACTGTTCAAAAATATTCTGAATTTTCTCCTTAAAGTTAAAAATGTCTTCGTAATATTCATCTTTCCATTTGTTGAATTTTTCTTCTTTATTTTTCTTTTCTTTCATTGAATTTTGGTCCAAGTTATCATTATTTATTTCGGTTATGTCTCTTTCTTGGCCGTTTATAAATTTCTCAAAAGTATGTAGATGATCAGATGTCGCGGCTGACATCTCACAAGTTATATTACCCTTTACATCTATACTTCCCTCCAGATCGTTCTCATTTTTAGAGGGATCAGAATCAAAAACAAATAACAAGCTAGCTCCATAAAAAACAAAGAATTGCTGTGTTTCAAAAAAATTCTTCATGTGTTCTAATATCAGGAGTAATTTTTTTAACAAAAGTATGGAAATATGCACATTATCGCAAGCTAAAAAATACGACTTAAAAATATCTACAAAATCATCATCCTTTTTTACCGAATGTGCATCTTCCTTTGATGTGAAAAATGGTTCTTGTTTTTTTTTGTTCCATCCTATTATACTTGTTAAATGAAATCCATGTGACAAACACGACCTCATTTTTGCCTTTTGAATTTTTTTTTGTATGGATTCTTCATCACAATCATCACCATATAATCTGGCTCCCATTTTTATGTCCATAACACATGGATGCCTCATTCTGCATAACACATTCGCTAAACAAATGGCAGTTTTCTCTTCATCACCATTTAAATTTTTCCCTGAATGATTCATTTTTAAGCGTAATTTTCCATTCTCTTGATCCAATTCAATATTTTTGTCCTTTTTTAAAACTTCTTCATCCATTTTTATTATACTGATATTACTGTTCATAGGGTTACTACTTTTTGACTCTATCCTATTTTTCTCATTATCATTGTGTTCAGAAAAATCGTGGCTTTTGTTTTTGTCACATTCACTTGGATTCGTGTGTATTTCGTCCGAATTTACTATAACGACACCGTATTCATAATTCCCCAAAGTATGGACAATGCCCTTATTGCTATTGTTTATCTTGTGATTTTCATGATTTGTATTATTCTTTTCCCTGTCATAGTTTTCATCAGTCATGTCTATTACATCAGCTACGTTCATATTATTAGCCACATTTACATTATCATTGACGTCTACTTTATCAGCTACGTCTACTTCATCAGCTATATCTATTACATCTCCGTTCTTATCAATTTCCTTCTTCACCTCTTCTCTATCTGGTGTACAATCGTTTGGATATATGTTGGAATCCTCGATAAAACTCTTATTGTGATTAGCTACTACTTCATTCTCTTTTGTTTCATTTATTCCTTCTAGGAATTCGACATGATCACCTGCATTTGTCTCTTTAACTGGTTTAATTGTTTTAACTGCATTTATCATTTGCATTATTTGTACTTCATTTTCCAATTCACATTGGAGTTGATATGACTCCCCTTTTCGATAACCCAATTGGAACAATTGATTTCTCCTCAAGAAAGAATAATAACATGGAACAGTAAACTTTATAAATTCCTTAGCATGTTTTTTTTGTTCTTCGGAAAAAACTACATTCAAAGAGAGATTATTAACTCTTACTTTGTCTTCAAGTACTGCTGAATAATCAGACATGGTTTCTGAAATGCATATTTCTTTACCACAGCATAGATATAACCATGCATAGAAATATGCTTCTAACTCAGAACAAAGTTTTATTATTCTCATGATTTTCTTATGTATTGGTAATACCCACTGATTCCTATGTCCACTACAATAAAAAAATATGAATCCTTTTTTTCGCTTCGTATACATGGTAAACGAGTTTTGTAACTGATCTTTACAATATTTCAAGTTCGTAAGGTCACAATTCAGATGAGAATCATTTTCATCAGTCTCCTGTAAGATAATTGATAATTGTTCCATGTTAGGGGTATGATTCATACTTGTAGAGTGTTGCATATTGAGAGCATCCTCTTCCTCTACCCTTTGATCTCTTACACAATTATCAATTGTGTCATTTTCATTACTATTTTTATCACTGACTTCTTCTATGTTATTATTCTCTTTGGGGATTTCTGAGTGATTCCATATATCGATTTCCTTCATATTTTTATTCTTATCAGCTGATACATGAAAATTATTCTTCTGTTTTTTCCTTTTTTTTGTCATTTTAGAGATGGATGATGAGTATCCAGTAGGTGAGTTGTTCATCATATTAGATGATTTATTCAATTTCAATTTTAACTTATTCAGCATAATTACCTTTCGTCTATTGTTCATACTACTATCAGAGCTTTGGCTGTGTTGCTCTAGTTCATCATTAGATATGTATAAATCGCTATTTGACAAATTTGACATGGTTGTAGATGATTGTGGATATTGTTTCATATTTTCCTGGTGGTATTTATTATATTCTTTTTCATTTTCATTAACATAAAAGTTTAATAATGCACCACCAGAGTTTTCTTCCCCTTCGATAAGAGTGTCCTCATGATGGTAACAATTCTTTCCATATTGATCAACTACACAATTACCATCCTCATTATTAGAGTAGCTATCCCCTTGAGGACTATTATCATTTCTGTCATTTGATCTACTGTATATATTAATAGTACGATCACGACTTATTTTTTTATTTTCAAATCCTTTTTTTTTCATAAATGTGTTATAAGGTGGCAATTTAATATTTAAATGGAATGGGTCTCCTTTCAGTATACATAAAAAATATTTTATTACTTTATATGTTGAGTAGTGTAATTTTCCTGCTGTAATTAATTCTTTTTTTTTTGATGTTATGTTAGTTGTGTATGTTTTTCCACCAGAATGTTTAAACTGTTCATATGAATTTTTATTGTGCCAAGTATTGTTTTTAAATTTATAAAAATTAATATGATCACATTCTTTATTACTATTATTAATGAGATTCCCATGTTTTACTTGTCTCCAATCTTCCATCTTCTTAAATATAGAATCCTTCGAATTATCTGCAGCATTTTTATTTACTACTTCGTTTGATTTATTCGTATTATTACCATTTGAAATAATTTCTTTTTTTGATTGTGAGACATTGGATACCTTTTCTAAGGCACCTTCTGTAGTTGTTCTTTCATCCTTAGCTAACTGTGCAGTTGTGTCCGATTCATGTGCTATCTGATATTGCATTTTTCGATTTTTATTCTTTTTAATTAATGCTTTTATACATGCTAAAGTACATTTGGGAAGGTAATTTAAGTTGTATCCACCTTCTAAGACTAAGATTATTCTTCCTTTACAAAAAATGTTTGCGAAATGTTTTAACTGCAATGTCATCCATTGATAGAAATTGTGCGTGAGATTACACTCCCCTAAAGGATCATTAATGGATGCATCAAACCCACATGATATAAAAATAAATTCTGGTTGAAAATTTTCCAAAATGGGCAACAGTAAATACTTAAAAACATAATAAACATCACAATTGTTGTATCCTTTTTCTAGCGGTACATTGATGTTAAACTTGTACCCGTTTTTACTCCCCAGTTCACTTTTGGCTCCTGTTCTTGGGTAAAACAAATTTTCTTCATATGATCTAAGATTCCTCTTGTACTTCCTATTAGTTTTGGGCTTTTTCTTCCTCATTGTCTTCGTCTTTGCGTTCATCTTCGAGCTCGTGTTCGTGCTCATACTCGTGTTCATGTTCATATTCCTCTTTTGTGTTTTCTCTTTTTTCTTCTCCGAATTCAAAGATTTATTTATAATTCCGTTAGAAGAATCGCTTGAACTGGAACATGTCAATTCCCCATTAACTTCACTAGTTCCATCATCTGGAATTGTTCCTGATTTGGCATTCCCATTAGAACTCACCTTAAATCCTTTACTACCACTTTTGTTGTTCTCTCCTTTTCGATTCCTGATACTTTTTCCATTGTCATCTGAGCCATCTCGATTCTTCCCCTTTTCTCCATTAGATGTCTTTCCACCTAATGTGTTAAGACATCGTCTACTTTTCCTCTTTTGCCCTTTAGACTTTTTCTTATCAAATCTATGAATTGAAAAGCACAAAACATCTTTATCGTTATAAAAAATTTCCTGTGTTCCATTGTCATGATGTACATCCCAATCAAAAATGAAAATTTTCCTTATTCCATATTTTTTAAAAATATATTTGCATGCCACACTGATATTATTGAATATACAAAAACCTGATGGATTATTTCTACTACAGTGATGACCTGGAGGTCTTATTGCAGCAAAACCACAATTAATATCTGTAAAGGAATTGCTATTATTTGTGCATTCTTTAACGTTACACATGGTGGTTGAATAACTTCTATAAAGTTTATTAAAAACGGGAAATTCTTCTTTATTTGAAGGATTATTATCTGCGCATGTATTTTTGGATACATTATCATCTAATTCGACGTCGTCGGTTGGCTGATTTATTGAAGAAATTGCTTCATCTATCAAGCTCTTCTGTTTTTGAGGTGAACTCACTTCACATAGCCTGAGAACACTCTCTTCCTTATTATTTTTATGAGGGATAGAAATATTCTCATTTGGAGTGATCATATCATAAGCTTGGTTACTATTGTAGCAATAGTTAGATGTGCTGACTGTTTTATTGTTAATTTTTTTAAATGGGATATTGGATTGTTGCTTATATTTATCACATTTAATATTACTATTATTTCCTTTATAAGGAATATCAAAATCGAGGTGATGATTTGAATCGTTGTGCTGAAAGTGGTGCATTACATGCAGATTACTTTCAGATTTGGAGCGTTTCAAATGATTATAATGATTAATTTTGTTTCCCATGTATCTTCTTACACTACTTGGAGGAATGTTTTTAAAAAAGTTGTAATTATATCTAAATGATTTTTTAAAGTCAATGTATTTAAATTTTTCATTTTTATTTGATAATATAGCATCACATAAATTTAGGAGGCCTCCAACAGCTCGCTTCGAAACTGTCCCCGTGTAAGAAGTATAATATGTGTCATGTTTGTCAAAGGGATATATAACATCTTTTTTTTTATATTTTAATATTCTTTTTAATGAATAAAATATGTTATTAATATGACTTGTCGAATGACATTCTTTAATTTCTTCAAATAATGCTTCTCTACATTTTATTTGTACCATTTTATTTATTACATTTTTTTCTTTCAAAATTTTTATAATGCATTTTATTCTATCAGGACTTTCAACATGATTTTCATCAAAGTGTAAATTTTGGCACATGTATTCTTCATCACACACGAAACCTATGCAATCATATTCTACACTTTGGTTACAATTTTTTGGAGATGAAAAGATTTTTCCATTTTTTACTTCACTCAAATCGTGATTCTTCCTATGTTGTATAGGTTTATATTTATAAAAGTTGTCTATAGCTTCCCTCTCTTTATTCATCTTACTGGAACTTTTAGATATGCTATAGAAATCCTCTTCTGTAAGGTGTAAATTTTTGTTCGGCTTCACAGGATTATAAGGTACTATCGCTTCAGCATATGTATTAGGGCCACCATCCGGAGCATCATGAATTGAAGGTTCAACATCTGTATCTTCTTCCATATCTGAATCTATTTCTAAGATATCATCACATTCTATATAAAAACTGTTATTTATGTATTCATTTGTATTTCCTTTTCTTTTTAATGATAAAAATATTTTATCCAAAATACGTTTGTTTGCATTGAATTCATCATCATTATTACTGCTTGTGGATGAATGTTGACTTCTTTTCATTTGTCTATTTTTCCTAATTGAGAAATTATTAACCACTTTATTCTTACCTTTTGAAGTGTTCTTATTTATGATATTATTCCTTATCCCAAGACCTTGTTTCACATTTCTAATTTCCCTTTTTTCATTAGATTTTTTTTTTTTTTTTTTTCTTCTATCTCCTTGGCTAATATCACTTCTGCTCCTCCTTTTTTTATGTTCCTTTCCTCTTCCTGTATTATTTTTTTTTCTTGATGTATTTTTCGTCTCTAATTTCTTCTGACGTCTCCCTTCTGCGTTACTTTCTAATTTTTTCCTCTTACTGTTGCTACTTGTTTGATCGCTCCAGGACCGTTTGGTAAGAGATGGGCTACTGAACGATCTGTTAACTGTCACTTGGGGATAGCTATCAAGTGATCTCCTTACTCGATTATTACTGATGTGGTTACTACTGATGTGGTTACTGCTGATATGGTTACTGCTGATGCGGTTACTGATGACGTGGTTGTCACTGACGTGATTACTAGTTATACGATTCATGTCACTGTTTTTTTTATTCCCCACTATGCTACTTCTCATGCTGTTACTTCTCACGTTTCTACTTCTTACTCTATCCCTCCTGATGCTACTAGTAATAACGCTGTCACTTCTGACACTACCACTTCTCATTCTTCCACCTCTCATTCTTTTATCACCAATTCTGTTACTTCTCCCATTTGCACTTCTCAAATTTGGACTCCTCTCATGATCATCATTTGCAACTGTATTATAGCCACCAAGATACAAATCATCCTGCTCTTCTTCATTGGCATTTTCATCTATGTTATTTGTTCCTCTTAAATATAAGCTAATATCACTTATGCTATTAAATTTTTCTATTATAAAATTGTTAAAATATGCACGTTTATCTGGTAACTTTAAGCGTGCTATAGTATCTTGTTTTAATGAAGATTGCTTATTATCACTTATATTCTCGTTATATGTTGTCTCGTTTTTCATATTTGCCTGTCTGTTTTTTTTTTTTTTTTTTGTGACGTTTCTATTTGGGTATCAAGGGGCCAGTTGCGTGCGTGTCTATATATATATATATATATATATATATATATATATATATATATATATATATATATATGTGTTATATGTGTGCGTTATAGGTGTGTGTTACATGTGCGTATTATATGTGAGTGTATACGTATTTATGCTTCCATATACTTTTGTATACTTTCTCTATGCGTGCATGCAGCCCCACACACTTGCACACGTGGATTTTGGATCCTTATGGGAATACAGTATGTCTTTACACATACATTCATGGACAAATTGTCAAATGTATGTATATTCAAGTTAATCTCATTGGTACCCTTTTAATGTTATTCGACGTGAATATCTTTTAAATGTACGAATATGTGTAAGGTTAAAGGAGTAATTTTTCATATGATTGAAGAGCACATTATTGACATGAACAAAATGCAGTCTTTATGTTCTTTTTTTTTTTTTTTTTTTTTTAGATCTTTAAAATAGTAGTGAATTGTTTTTTGAAATTTTTAACCTTTCTTCTGGGGATTGTCTCCCTAACTTCTGTGATGATTTTATTTTCTCACCTATTTCACTCTTATTTTTGCAAATTTCCGCTAATATATGTTTGTAAAAATAAGTTTTTCTATTTTGTGGTTCGTTTTTTCTACACTATTGTTTTGACTATTTACTTAGGAATTACTTTGTACATTTGCTTAATTATTATTTTTGTATATTTGTTTAACTACTATTTTGTCCTTTCATTTAGCTCTTGCATTGGCTATTACACTGGCTGTTGCATTGGCTATTACACTGGCTGTTGCATTGGCTGTTACACTGGCTGTTGCATTGGCTATTACACTGGCTGTTGCATTGGCTATTACACTGGCTGTTGCATTGGCTAATACACTGGCTGCTGCATTGGCTGTTGTATTGGCTGTTACTTCTTGGTATGACATTTACTATTACTTTTTATTAATATTTTTATCCTATTTTTGTCCTATTTTTGTCCTATTTTTGTCCTATTTTTGTCCTATTTTTGTCCTTTTTTTACCCTATTTTTGTCCTATTTTTGTCCTATTTTTTCCCTATATTTTCTCTGTTTTCCCTATTGCTTGTACTTTAATGTTACTATTATAATTACTCTTTTTTTAATAATAGTTTTTTACTCTTTCTTTTTCACGTATTCTCTTTTCCTTTCTCTTGTTATTGTTTTTATATATTTATCTGATTTTTATTTATTCGATTTTTATTTATTCGATTTTTATTTATTCGTTTTTTATTTATTCGATTTTTACTTATTCGATTTTTATATATTTGATTGATTTATTTATTGTACTTTTTTTTTTTTTTTTTGTTTTCTGAACTTTTTTTTACTTTTTACTTCTGTTGTAACTTTTTTTTTTTTTTTTTTTTTAATTTACATTAAGTATTTACCTTTCCAAATTAATGTTTTGTTTACGTGAAAAGTTTATTTATGATATGTAATATTTTAGACAAAAAATGATGGAATTATTTTTTGGAAATTACTTTGAAAAAATAAGGTGAAAAAAAAAAAAAAAAAAAAAAAAAAAGAGAAGGAGGAAGAGGAAGGGGAGGGAGGGGGGTTATATTTCTGGGTACACGTTTGAAACATGTGATAAGTCATTAAAATTATTTGTATGAATATGTATCACTTGAATGTGTGTTCACGTGTATAAACACTGATTCGTTTCTGTCCTTGTGCATATATATGTAAGTAAAAAATATATTTATAAATGTGTATAGCTAATAATAAGCGTGCATGTTTATGGGAAATAAACACCCAAACGTAAACACACACCTTGTTGATCGCGCCAATGTACATGTGCATATAAATATTGTATATAAATATACACATATATTTACACCATATATATGTGTATATGTGTATTGTATATATATATATATATCTATTTTACATATATGCACATGTGTACATATTCAAATGTACATTTTATATTACATATAAATATACACATATACACATACACATATGCGATGTTTTAACCGCAAGTAGTTCCGTGAGTGTAATGTCGTGCACCCAACATTCCACATGTATGTACACTCAAAAGTGTGGGAAATGTATGAAACGCAGTGCAGTTTTTTAAAAAAAAAAAAGTGATGCAAAATTATTTAATACTAAAAAATGAAAAGTATAAAACAAAAAAGGGAAAACAAAAAAGGGAAAACAAAAAATAAAAACGAAAAAATAAAAATGAAAAAATAAATATGAAAAACAAAAGAAAAAAAAAAAAAAATATAAGGGAGAAAACTAAAAGGAGAAAATAAAAGGAAGAAAACAAAAAGGAGAAAACAAAAAACGAAAAACAATAAAACAAAAACAATGAAACAAAAATAATGAAACAAAAGCGATGAAACAAAAGCGATGAAACAAAAGCGATGAAACAAAAGTGATGAAACAAAAGCGATGAAACAAAAGCGATGAAACAAAAGCGATGAAACAAAAGCGATGAAACAAAAACAATAAAACCAAAACAATAAAACCAAAACAATAAAACCAAAACAATAAAACCAAAACAATAAAACCAAAACAATAAAAAAAAACAATAAAAAAAAACAATAAAAAAAAACTGCAAATTAAACATGTCACTATTTAATAATGAGTGCCACGAAAACTGGGCACAACAAAATGAATGATGGTCAAAGGAAGCAATGAATAAATGGAGAATAACATCTAATTCATCTATCCATACAAGATTCAAACAAATTTAAAAAAAAAAAAAAAAAGAACAATGCTATATAGAGGAGCGTATACATAGGAATACAATTTTTGTTGTTCTCTTTTACCAGCATAATGTTCTCATTGTGATTCTCATTCACATTTTTTTTTTTTTTTCGATTTCAAAATATTTAAGTTATATCATACGTTCATCTATTCAAAGGGTCGACTAATCACTTTGTCGGTTTGTCAAATATTTGAAATTAAAATATTTCATATTTACAGCTTGACAATTTTTCAAAATGAGTTCAAAAAATTAAATACAAATTGTTGCACTCCAAGTCTATAAATATTGTTCCATTATTTTCAAAAGAGAACAAAAAAAAAAAAAAAAAAAAAAAAAAAAAAAAAAAAAAAAACTATAATAGAAACAGAAAATTACTATTTACTAATTATTTATTTTATTTTATTTCTAACGGAAAATAGGAAAGAGCATAATCTTCTTGTTTCAAATGTTTCCTCAGGACATGTTCACATGCACACATATATTGCATCATATAATGATATGTTCATGAATGGATACTCTGGTTTGTACATTTTTCCCCATGTAGTCACACATTTACGTAAATATATGATGCAACAATAATGTTTTCTGCATTTGTCTTTAAAAAATGAGGTCTGGAAAAGGGGAAGCATAGAACTTATGCAAAGGACACTTAATTTGAACATCTTCTCCGTTCAATTATGAAAAAGAAGTTGTTAACAAATGTATAAGAAAACCAAACTCTTTTCATATGGGTTGTATATACATTTTTAAACATTTTCTTCAAATTGCCAATCGAACTTAGATTTAATAAGAAGTGTGCATGCATACATACATTCATGTGTTCAATATATTGACACCTCTTTTGTCTGTTCCATCTACACAAAATGTACATAAAATAAGAAAATTGAAAGTTAAAACTTTAATCATATATTCAAACTGGTAGAAGTAAACACAAAATGAAAATGCTCTAAAATTAAAGGAAAAATAACACACACATGTGTGTGTGCAGGTAAAAAAAAAAAAAAAAAAAAACATGTCTAATTGAATAACCTCCATTGTGATTGTATAAAACTATAAGGACATTTAGAAACGAAATTAAAAATATTCACAATTTTTCAGTATCACTCTCAAGTTCGTTGGCATATAAAAGTTTAATAAACGTAGGTTCATATGAAAGCGGTGAGTTATAGAATGGTGGAGACAAAAGAAAAACAACAAAAAAATTTGAGTACGTAAAAGAAAAGAACCAAAAGGGCAAACAAACATGAAAGGAAAAATTTACAGAATTAATAAATCCATGATTGAATGGCATTAATAGAGAAAATGTGCAAGCCCAAAGACATATCGACATTCCCAATTTATTGACTCCTAAAAAAGAAAAAAAAAAAAAAAAAAAACAAATCCGTTATTTCGATCCTCTCCACCATCAAATAAAGAAATAAAATATTGATGAAAGGAAAGTAAAAATAATATTAAGAAGAAAGAATAACACTAATGACAGCTTTTTGATAAACAAATTGTAACATCACGCATGCTTTTACATTTTCGAATATTACAAAACCTTAGGTATAGGGATAGATATAGGTACCACTTTTTTCAAAATGTCCATATGCACAAAGCTTACTAATGTAAAAACAGCAACATAATTGTGTTATACTTTGGTACTTACAGAACTCGTCCCTTATCTCTAAAGTGATAGAGTTGTGCCATGTTCTGAAGAGAACGACTAGTTCTTCATTGCAACGAAACACAAATGGCACTTTGCAAAAATGAAAAAATATATCAATTAAAATTAAGTTGTTTATGGATTAAAGTAGGATGGGAAAATGATCATATATGTATAAACATACATAGGTACATGAACATATATATATATATATATATATATATTACACCATTTTTTTATACTTGCGTACACTCCCCAAATAAACCCATCTACACCCACACACCTCTGATATTGTTTTTCGTACAACATGTTTTGATCAACCCGAATGGGATATTAAGTATATTTAAATACAGATAATCACATAATGGTTCATTTTCATCTTTTACATGATTCAACAATTTTTCCTAAAATCTTATCCCATCTATTTTTTTTTGTTATAAATGCAGATATACAGATTAATATTAAAAAAAAAAAAATTGCAATAAAGCTTAGAAGTTCTTGAAAATATATTCACATTTTTGTAAAAAAGGAGAACGAGAAACGATGAAAAGAAATGGGAAAAAGTAAACATTAATAGTTTTCCCAAATTAACAATATGTTTACACGCAGATATGATATGTATTTCTGTTGGAGAATGTATTCGACGAGGAAGATTCTCCATTTTAGTTGTTTTGCTTTACAAAATAGAGTACCTTTGGTACGTTTTTTTTTCTCATTTGTAAGCAGATACTGCGACTTTCATCTTCTATGTTCCATAGTGCTGTGAATTCTGTGCATGCTTTTAAAAAATGATACAAAATGCTTAGAAGTTAGGTGCTGAAATGTACATATACACGTGCACAAGTTGACAAATAAAAAACCATCGGGTTGTTCATAACCATTTTAAGGGTTGTCTCTAATAATATTAGGCATTAATCTACTAACGTAAGGAAGCAGATACAATGAGTCACATATGCTAATCGCTCACTTGTAATCTACTTGTGAAAACAATCATTCCACCATCGTCACAATTGCCACCCCCACGAACACACAACTTAAACAAACCTACGGAAAAATAATCATCTACGTTAAAATTTGTATGGATTGTTCCTAATTATTTTCATCATCGTGAGTACAATACAGGCGTAAGAGAGCCTTGAGGGGATCTTTCAAAATAACGTATTTTCCATCTGGCTTCTCTGAAATTATATCTACAATATATCTAATAATACCCCAAATGTTTTCATATTTCAATCCAATTTGTGTTGATAAGTCCTTTGTTTTATGTGACTGAATTGATAAAATGTGGTGATTTTCTGCATCGTTGGCATTTTTTCTTGATATGAATCCTAATTTTATATCTTCACATCCACTTATAAAAGCTTGACATATAAATTTTTGCAATTTCGATGTATTGTTACGAATTTCATTAGCGAGAAGTGCACCTTTTTGATTTTCAATTTGTGACCTCCAGTTTTTATGGCTCTTAATATCATATTCATTTAAAGCACATATATAAATATACGAATTAGCGATTCCTTGAAGTTTTGAATGAATTTCTCCTCTAGTTATAAGTGTGCATTTTTTTTTTGTTATCCCGTGTACTATTGGTGGGATATTAATTTTTCTATATCTATAAAGGGCATCAGAATTTAAGCAATTTTTAGCTGTAAAGGATGGAGTGTCAAATTTTTCCGCATGATCATCTTTTAAAATAATCTGTTTTCTAAATCGCTGGTTAATTTTGATAGCTTCAAATCCTAATGATTGTAAGCTATTAATTTTATTTTCATTATCTTGTGTAGGTGAATCTATAGAGTTTTCATTAACGGTTAACAAATCCACAATTGAATCTTCATCTTTATCAATAATTATTTTATTACCTTCTTTAGTTATTAATAAGTGCCATGAATATTTAGACTGAGCAGCTGACATAAGACACGATAACACTTGATCTGTTGAAACAACTAAAATGTTATTATTCATATTATCTCCTACTTTACATTTTTTATCTTCATCTGATAAAATTTCCATTAAAGATTGATCATCTTTTGTCTTACAAACCTGGTAATTAAAATCTTTGCTTACACTTACAAGACTTGGTGGATTTTTCACATTAATATTTTCAAATTTTTTATCATAATGTAATAGTCTTCCCCTGAAATAAATATCTTCCATTTGTAAATTTTCTAATTTTATTAATTTTTTTGGTAATTCATTAAACATCACCTCACATTCAACTGTCCATACCGGAGTGGGTTCTATACTCCATTCTGTGAATATTCTATGTCTAGCGTTCATTCTAGCTGTTTTCGCTTGTTGAAGTAATTTTTGTTTCTTTTGTTCAGCTGTTTTTATTCTACTACTATAGAGATTATTCTCTTCTTGTTGTTTTTGTGTAAATGCTTGTGTTGTTTGTTTATTGGTAATTTTCTTCTTATTGTAAGTATTTCCTTTTTGTTTTTGACCAGATCTTAAATCAACTGTTTGGAACTGTTGTTCCTCTTCAAAAGCATTTCCTTCATTTGCATTTTTATTAGCATCTTTTACATTCTTTTGATAAGTACTGCTAGTAAAATCGCATGTCTTTCCTATCTTTTCAAATTTCATAGATGGTTCGAATTGATATTTCTTTAATTCTCCCATGCATTGCTTTACAATTTCTTCATTCTTAGAATCAGGACCCCACGTCCTGTTGTTTGAAACTCCCATTAGTTTAAAGGCTGACATTTTAATTATTTTTTTTTTTTTTTCTCAGTGTAATTACTTCAAGGGAGAAACGTTGTCTACGTGTATATATAATACCGTATATGATTATTGTTTTATTCTTCTTTAGAATTGCTTAATTCGGTCAGAATAATAAATTGTTGATGTTTTCTCTTTTTGTTTTGAAAATGCCAATTGTTCCGTTTACAATGATGTGTGTTTATAAAAGTGGATCCACCAATGCAAGCCTGTACGTTTTCTTGCCTTCTATATGCTCATTTGTTGGTACGCAAACAAGTGCAATGTGTGTACATACATATGTGTACATATATATATATGTATATACGTTTGCCCACGCGATGGATAAGTTGACTTTTCTCCTTTTCTTTTTCGATAGTGCATTTCATGGGATTACCCACTTTACCGTTTAGTGGTATGGTTGGGGAGCTCAAGAGAATACACAAAAAGGTTGTAAATGGGACGGAATAAAATAAAATAAAAATAATATCATAAAAATCTTGTATGACTCAACAAAACAGCATATATGTATACATACTATACCTTGCACCATATATACTCGCAATTTCGTATTTGTCACTTTTTCCTAAAACGTGGAGAGAGATGAAAAAAAAAAAAAAAAAAAAAAAACCTGCTTTTTTTTGTATAATACAAAGGGTCTATTAGAGCACATATGTGATGCATTTACATATGGATTCCTGCGTTTCCAAGGGCTTGGAAGAAGAAATTATTGAATATAACAAAAAATAAAAAGTAAAAAATAAAAAAGTAAAATATAAAAAATAAGAATTACAAAACGAAGTTAAATAATGAATGTATGATATAATATTTTCTTATTAAAAATAAGGTGGTATGTAGGTGTTACTTATATAACTGTAATTTTAATTTTTTTCTTTTCTTTTTTAATTCCCTTTGAAGTTTGTTTTTTCTTAACCTTTGCGCATAGAAAAAAAAAAATATATATGCGTTTACGTGGATGTATATAACAAATTTATGACATCAATTATCTGTTCTGTTAAGATAACCCCGTGTTATTGCATTCAGGTAATGAAACAGTAGCATTTAATTAGCTCAATAATAAGTAATTCCTGTTGTGCATATACATTCTCCATGATTTTTTTTTTTTTTTTTTTTTCAAAATGAATTAATAAAGCTCCTTTTATTCTTGCTACGAAATTATGATCTAACTTAAGTAACTTTTTTCCATCCTGAAGTTTTACCTTAATGTATACGCTTGTATATATATATGTATATATAAATACCTTTTGGAGATTTTTTTTTTTTTTAGCCCAATTTCTTATATGACAATTCCCTTCTGAGGAATTAAACTGGTGTTGATATTTTATGCGAAAAAAAATCAGTGCACTTTTTTATGGTAGCAATACATATATATATGAGATAAGAAAATACGCGGAAGGAAAATTTCCAATCCAGTTCATTCATTATCAGTATATGATAAATATACAGACATTTATATCAGATTATGTGTGTACACAGTAGTCATGTAGTAAACTCCATATCCATGTAACTTTTTCTTTTCAATAGATTGGTATACTCTCATTCCTTTGAACTGCACTGCTATTTGTTGGAATATTTAATCCCTTATTCATTCTTAGGTTCGTGTACATACAATGGGTTTATTTCAAAGTACCTTTTCAACAAACCGATTTTACCTTCTCCATACATAAATGTGTATGTTTATTTATGGAGCTGTTAGGAAAAAAAAAAAAAAAAAAAAAGTCTAGTGCCCTTACATAGGTTAAAAAACTATCATAAAATTTTTCTTACACTTATATCTATTTTCCACATGTAAGAAATAAAATCTCTGTGTTTCACCATGAAAAATAACTCAAGTGGACCTTATTTTAAAAAAAAAAAAAAAAAAAAAAAAAAAAAAAAGTTTTGAAGGAAATATATTTCGTTTCATTTTCGGCATATTTTGTAAGAATTATGATAAAGGAAAAGGTTAAAATTTTTTTTACCTGTTGTGATCACGCACAATTTTTTTTTTTTTTTAAAAAATAATTCTCTGCCATTTCACCATTTTTGTGGAAACTAGGTTCACCATTTTTGGGGAATCTAGTTCACCACATTTGTCGAAAATAGTTCACTATTTTTTTGGAAAATAATTCTCGTCTACATGCAATATATGCAAATACATTTGTTTGTACTTGCGTCTTCCCTTGCACACGTACACCAGTATTTGTATATGTAGAGTGAACATTAAATACACTCATTGAAACAGTGCAGTTCTTTTGCCTTTTTTATTCAACATATACATCCACATGTGTTTTGTATACTCCCAGGGAAATGGCAACACTGTTTGTTAGATTATAAAATGATAACTAAAAAGAAAAAAAAAAAAAATCTATAAAATGAAATAAAATAAAATAGTAGTAGCCATGTAACATTCTAAAAAAAAGAACACTATAGAGAAGTAATTTTTCTTTTAATAAATTAATTTGAATTAAATAAAAAAAAAAAAAAAAAGTAAATGACAGCGAGTTTGCAAAATCCTCACGTTACGTGCAACCAAGAGTGTCTACTATAGACATGTGTATAAACAAGTGATTATGTGAGTTCAGAGCGAGGTGTAAACTAGTGAATGAGTGTTCATATTGAGCCATTCATGCGTCTTCTCGAGTCTCTAAAACTGCGTCACACTGAACCGATATAGATACATACACAGAGGTAGATACGCATTGATAAACACACCTAGATACATACACAGAGGTAGATACACATTGATAAATACATCTAGATACATACACGTAGAGTTAGATTGGCAGATGCAGATGCACAATGATGATGCACTGGAGACTCGCAGCGAGAAACGGTGGTGCAATAAAATGCGTGAGTATCATCAGAAATAAAGGGAACCCACACAAACTCGGATTGAAGAAATTTCCCTGGATAAGTAAGAGAAAATTGAATAGTGGAAAAACACCAGAAGCAGAATCATCCAAGGGCAATAATATTAGCAGCATTATTTGTGAAAATAAAAAAAATAAAAAGAAAATTTTCAAAAGCCTCCTTGGTGTAACATTTTTATTTTACATTTGTTATGAAAGTTTACACGCCATACAAAATAATGAACAAGCCAGGAAAAAAATTAAATTATATCCTTTACTGTATGACATTATAGAAGTAAAAATTATGCCACTCAAGATACACTTTGATGTAATGGTTGGAAAGCTTAAAGGATTCCTATTAGTTCTACTAAGAAATGGCCAACGTTACTCTCTTCAATTATGTAACTCATTAAAGGAATTTTTTTCTAAAAATAATGAAAATTTCAATATCTTTATCGGTGCAATAAAGAAGTTGGATATATCTGCACCGTTTTCTTTCTTTTTTGAGTGGAAAAAAGATGCACAAGGTGAAGATAATTTGAATGTATTCCAAAAATCGAACAAATTGGAAAATAAAATCGATTCTTTTATCAAGTGTAATGAAGTGCATATGGCTGACGACGCGCATGAAGAAGATACCTATTCAGAGGATGTATCAACATGGAAGAAGATTGAAGAAACTGGAAAGTTGAATCCAATTAGAGAGGATTATCCTAACAATATCCACGATGAGCATTCCACAAATGATGACATAAAAGATGTAATCAATTTGTTTAACAGTGTAAACACACTTGCAGGAAATGAAATGATAAGTGTTCTGGAATTTCATCCTGAGGATCAGCTAAACGGATGTCCCATCGATAGGAACAACAATGTGTTCAGTACAGAAATTTCGAATGGAGAAATTACTGAACAAATAATGGATGAAAAAGGTGCATCAGAAAACATAACCCTGCCATGCGAAGATGTTGAAAAAATAGAAAAAAAAAAAATAATTGATGAATCCAATTTGAAGGAAGATATTCATGAAATAAGTGATAATACGGGAAAATGCAATCATACCAATAAGACATTTATCAGTGTTATTGAATGTGATGAGGAATTAACTCCAGATGAAGAGATCATTAATATGAAGGAGCCATTTGACGAGATGGACAAAGAGAAAGACCGTGTTTACACATATGAACAACAAGTGCAAGTGAAAAGCTCAAAAAAAGAAGAAGAAACGAGAGAAAAATGGACAGAAATGGATGATAGGACAAAATGTGGTATTACCTCCGAAGAGAAACTAGGTATAATATACGATGTTGATGCAAAAATAATACCCGAAAAATTTTTTCACATGGTTGAGGAAAAAGATCTAGCGGAAGAAAACGAAAGAGCTCAAAATAAGAATGTGATAATGGAATATGGAGAACTGGAAAAGAGTAGTAAAAAAAAAAATAGCACACTAACTGTAGAGGAAAATGTGCCCGAGGATTTGAACAGACGAAAGAATGCACAGATAGATCCAAAAAATTTTAAAAACGTCAGAGCGGTAATAACAGACGGGAATTTTGAAATTCCATTGGATGATATTCTTCTAAAAAGAATTGTGGAAAATGAAGTAAAAAATTTCGAAACCCAATTAAAGAACTTAACTAAAGAAGAATTAAAAAATAAAATAGTAAACATGTTCATCAATGAATTATTAACAAAAAAATACAAAGATATATTAATGGAAGAAGAAAAAGAAACATTAAAAAAATTACTGACGATTAAGTATAATGATATATATTGGAGAAGAAAAAAAAAAATGGAAAAAAGCTTACAAAAATTTATGGAGAAGAAATTGAAGCAAGAACAAATATTATTAAAAAGGAATTATGAAAACGAAAAAGAAAATTTTGAATCTCTTATGATAAATCAAAAAAAGGAAGAAGTTAAGATGGAAAAAATTAAAATAGAAGAAGAATTAAATATGATAAGAGAAAATTATCTCAACAAAATAAATATGTACGCATGTGATGTTAATGTTATGAAAGATTATTACTTTAAAGAGAATGTTAAAAAAATCAAGCTAGAAACTATAATTGATATTCAAAATCAGTTGGTGCATTTACAAAATTGTATTATTCAAGACTTATCCATTGAATCCATCTTAACAGATTTGAAAAAAAAATTTAAAAAAGATACTTTTCTAGATACTGTATTCACTACCTTGCCAGACAACTTTTTTTCTCATACTTTCAAACCAACACCTAATAATATAGATAAAATTAAAAAAGAATTTTATGCTTTATACAAAGAAGGTGTAAAAGAAGCTTTCGTACAACACAGCGAAAATTATTTTTTTAAAAGCCTTATCAGTGTGGTCATATCCTTTTTTTATTTAAATTATGAAGCCAAACTAAACAGAATTCTGCAACGAACACTGAAAGAGAATTCTGTTTTAAAATCTAATTTGCTAAATTTGTCTTATGCCTTAAGTAGCGTACAACAAAACCAATTTATAGATGCTTTGCAATATATCGACGATCTCACAGGGAGCTGTAAAAATACATTTTCGCCATTCAATGAGCATGTAAAAAATGTGATCATGTTCAAATATTACTTGCGATTAGCTGTATCTAGATTGATGCTAGCAAGTAAGCTTTTGATCACGACTAATTAGGGTACGCAACAGATGAAGTAGTTGGTGAAAATGTCGACGAGAAATTCTGGGTGAGCACTCCCCTTCCATACACATACACATGCACAAGCTAGTACACATGAACATTTACATATACATACACATGATGAAGATTTTTTTTTTTTTTCTCCTTACAATTGTGATTCCCGTGAAAGACTATCATGTTATGCCTTATCGTTTTGTTGTTCTACTTTTTTATTGGCTTATTTTATTTTCTTTTTTTTCCATCAGCTCATGCATATAAGTGTATCTCATGCATCTATGTACTTCTCATGTTTGATTCACCCCATTTTCTTTCAAACTGTATGGCATGAGAAAATATCCAATTCGTTTTTGAAACAAAATTTTAAGGAACACAAACAAGTGCTGTCATACTCCCCATCATATTCCAATTTAAGATTATACTTGAGTTAGAATTTTGTTTGGTTTTTTTCATACACATTAGAGTTACACGAAAGTATAGTGTATTTTTGCATAAAGCTTTTTTTTTTTTATTTATTTATTTTTTTTTGTTTGCACTTTGTTTGAAAATAGGTTTGCATCTAATGCTAAGTGCAATAAAAAAAATAACTCTCTCGAATGAGTGAAGCGACATGTCGATTTGTTTTTTTCCCTGTTAAATACACTTTGCAATACGCAATGAGGTGTCCCTATTATTTTTGTTTTATTATTTTTTTTTTTTTTCCTCCAATGGAATGGGTTTCCATATGAAGGGAAACGAATACACAACATAGGTGGCTTATGTAAAAATGAATGATAGGCTTAGTAGCACTGAATGGATATATAGTTTCTGCTCACTTGAGTGGAAATAAATGTTAATCACTAGAAAAAAAAATTGAAAAAGTCAATAAGCCAAACGAACACAAAAATAGGACGAACAAATAGAGAAAACAAAACAAACAGAGCAAACTAAACAAGTTCATCACTTTTTACGTGATCATAAGTTTTCTTAATTCATAAGTATGTCGACACCATTTCGAAGCAAATAATTTCTATGTATTTAAACCCGTTCCGTTCGAAAATGCATTAGCCCCTTTTCATTTTAGTGAAAATAACTTTTTCATTGCTATCTACAACAGAGTGCGTTAAACCATACCATATATGAACAATTACATAAATAATTCATATTTTAATGGACGAAAACATAGGTATATATTTGGTTAATAGATGGGGAAAAAAAAAAAAAAAAAAATCTTCAAACGTATGCTTACATGTATCGACTTTGTAAGTGCACCATGATATGTTTACTATATGAATTCAATGACATGACGTTTTATTTATTTGATCATTCCCAGTTTTTCCTTTTTTTTTTTTTTTTTTTTTTTTTCAAGAACTAATCAACAGTGTGTCTCAAGGTGTATATAAATGTAGTGCATCCTTTTATTTTATTTATTTATTTTTTTTTTTTTTATGCTCAAGGAAAAGCATGTCATTGTTTTGTTGACACCAAAATTTCAGATAATGCCAATATGGAGTGCATCTAAAATTAAAGAGACGTGGTCGATTTTTCATACAATTTTGTGAACTGATTAAATTTTGATGAAAAAAAATGCATATATAGTTTTGATAAAGGAATGAAATATATATGTAAAAATAACATGAAAAAAGAAAAGGGTAACCCAAAAAAAAAAAATAAGTGCACCGCCATTGAATATATAGGTTCTTAACTACTCTGGATCGGGATGGTCATAAATTTCATCGAAAAAATTTATATATATACAAATCGACACGATACCACACTTATTTATAAAAGCGACACATTGTGTTACAAGAAAAAAAAAAAAAAAAAAAAAAAAAAAAAGCCGTATGTGTTGACTTGATTCCTCTTTACACATTAATTTATTCAGTGCCATCATGCAGCACTTATTTGATGCACCAAAAATTGCAGCTTTACAATACTACCTTAAGTGAGCCCTTATCCAAATGTTCCACAAAAATTGTTAGTGCCATGTTAAACTTCGTTAAAATGTTATTTGATGGGGTTACAAAAAATGAGGAAGAACTGAATAAGTGTGTTTATTTGATTATAATATGACAAGGAAATTATCATTTAATTATAAAAAAATGTTTCACAAGATAATTTCTTCCCATTTATATAATGTAATGAAAAGTGCACTAACGGTATGATGCCATTTTAGGAGGGACGATTAGTGGATAAACCCAAAGAAATGAAATTTCAGTTAATGGAATAATTGGCATAAAGGGGTGTTTAGACCTCAACAATGCTACAAAAATATATTATTAAAAAGGAAATAGTGCATTTATAAAAGATATATATATAATGTAATAAAATATGATGAATTCACAAGTTCTTATTTTAAGTTCATAATTTGTACGTTACTCCAATGAGGCAGAATTCGAAGCTAGGTGCATTGAAATAAAAGCAAAAAAAAAAAAAAAAAAAATGCCGGAACTCGTATATATATGAACTTGTGCCTCTTTTGTTATGAGTTTAAGGATATCACGAATTTATGTTTATACGTAAGTTGCACATTTCAAAATGAACAAGTTATGATTAAAATGGATAAACATAATGTATTGCATCCGCATATTATATTTACACCATTTTTATGTACAAGAAGTGGCTTTTTTTTTTTTTTTCGTAAAATTTTCACGTTAGTTTTTTCTTTTTTTTTCATTTTTGTTCCATCGTTTTCCACATACATGCATGCACTTTTTTTTTTTTTTTTTTTTTTTCAATCCCCCTATATTCGTTTATCATAGAAGTAAAATTTGAATGCACATTTCCTTCTTTGTGCAAAATGCTTCAATATAGGTGGATATAAAATTTTAAAAAAATAAAAATAAAATAATAATCATGGTGTAAAATTTTTAATACAAATTTGTACAAAAAAATGAGTCATTCTATTTAGAACTTCTTATTGCACTTTTTTCAATGTTTCATGGGACAATGTTTTACGGAAAAAAAAAAAAAAAAAAAAAAAAACGTAATAAAGTTTGTGTATCCAATTGATATGCGCTTTCTCATATGCCCTCTTCTATGCTTACGAAATTTGAGAACATTTATCATTTTAATGTGACTGTTATGTCGTTATGGCATAAGGTGATTACACTAGGTAATTTCATTTCGGTGTAAAGACCTGTTACGCAATAAGAAGAGGATATTACTTACAGAGATGTAACAGCTGTAGGGCCATCATTACATATGGCTCCTTCAATATGATTCATCTCATTTGAATATCCATTTGAAGGGCTTTACTTGAAACATTCTGTCATGCATATTGAAAGGCGTACAGTTTGCTGAAACGGAAATTACGAAAAATATATTGCCATCGTGCAGTTCTTTTCCACCCATTTTGTGTCAAATTTAATAGAAGAGGATATGCTTCAAAAGAGGCAGAAAAATGAAACACATTTTGGTTCGTATACAGTATAAAAGCAAAAATGTGTATACACAATGCAATCGTGCCATTCTGCTCCTCTCTGAAGAGTTCACATTACAACTGATTAAGCTAAGCTAAGATAGTTTTTGTGTGAAAAAAAAATATATATATGGCCAAAATGTCTTCGAAATTGTCGAAATAGTCGAAAAGGTCGCCAAAAGTGTCGTCTTTAACAGTGCATAATGTAGTGATGTGATAGAAGAACTATTACGTCGTTGCACTTATAAGGACATGCAATTCAAGCACTTTCATTTGTTTGAATAATGTAAATTTCACATAAATTTAGAAATATTGAACAAGTGCCTTCATTCGCAAAGCATATAGTCGTGTCAGTTTTGCTGTCAAGTTGTGGTGGTGCACTCTTTCTTTTAAACAAAGATGTGTGAGAATAAGAAAAAAAAGAAAAAAAATACAATTGAAATGGTACATGGAAAAGGAAGTATGCTTCTTTTGATATGTTCATTTAAATGTGTGAATAAAAATGCTTCAAATGGTTTAACATGGTTCCATGTGGTTTTTTCGTGTAATTTGAAGTGGAATAAAAAATGACACGGATTTATCGAACATTTAACACCTTTTTAAAGAAGTAAAAAAATTGTTCGAATACATGTACTCTAATTTTGAAAGCGTCCACTTTTCTTTTTTTTTTTTTTTTTTTTCCATGTTCATTAATTATTATGTAAAAGGAAGGTATATAGGCACCGGTGGATGATGAAAGGTGGAAAAAAAAAAAAAAAAAATAATTTGGCATTTTTGAAAAATAAAATAACAAATGTTTAATCCTTTTTCTTAATCCCTTTTTGGAATATTTGTTTTTTATAACTTTTTTTTTGAAAGAGTGATTAATAATATATACAAGTAAATATCTTTTTTTTTTTTTTTTTCTTTTTTTATACATAACTGTGTGTAATCTGTATTATAAGTCGTATTTTTTTTTTTTTTTTTTTTTCTTCAAACAAATTGGATTTTCAATTTCCGTTTGTTACCTCCTACATTTTGTTTTCTTGCTGCCCATGGGGCTCACCAATAATTGTTTTTCCCTTTATTGATTTTTTGATCTGTTTTTACTTTTTTTTTTTTTTTTTTTTTTAATTCTGAGAACGTAGCTTCCTGGGCAATTAATGAAATATGCATGGCTGCAAAACATCTCTGCATGTTATATGAAGACTCACAAGTATGTATATATATGTCCCTTTACCTGAGTGGCATGCGCATATGTGCCTTTTTGCATGTGACATAAAATATGAACAAAGTTGTTTAATCTTTGAGAGTCGTTTGAAATTTTGGTACAAATCGGTTTGCTTTCATAGTTTCATTTAGGGCACAAAAAATAAGAAATCGCGCAGCAGCAGAATTTTAAAAAATCAAAATAGTTCAATAACATCCATTTAACATGTATCATACGTACACATATAAATATGTATATATATATATCTGTACATATAAAAGCACATACCCATACATACACCGCAGAACATATGATCGTATGATCTCATTTTTCGTCCAAGCAAAATAACCGATCCATATTTACGTGAACTGTTTCTTCCAATTCCGTCCCCTGCATTTTCGCAAGATTTTTTTCTTTACAACGCATGTTGGGATATAAATGTCACATTTATGCAAACAATTATGCAAACAATTATGCAAACAATTATGCAAACAAATATGCAAACAAATATGTACACACACTTGTAACTTTAACGAAGTTGTAATCAGTTTTTTATACAAATTATGATCACTTACTCTCGTAGATATAAGTACATATATATGCACATATATATATATATAAAAATGTACACACATAAAATCTCGATAAGTGACCCACATTTCATGTGTTAATGATTCGTGAGTCATGTTCAATGAACAAATTACATATATTAAATTTTATATGTATACATATTGCAACGTTCTCCCTGCTGAATACATTATAAAAAATGTGATAAAGGGGGAGGGGAAAAAAAAATGCAGGTAAATAATTTATCACATGTAACATATATATACATATTACATTATACCTTCTTTTAATCGTAAAATCACGTACATATTTATATCTTGCCATTCGTGAAAATTTCACGCATGTAACAATTTGCATTTTACTAGATTGCCCATTTTCCCACTTGCACAATTTACGCGAACAAGTTTGACGTGTAATTATTTATTTACATATATATACATATATGTAACATATACGTTACCACCCATCGGTACACAAAGTACAATTCATAATTTTCCTAAATTACATCAATTTTTGAGTTACATAACTGTAACCCACTTTTTCCTTCCCCAAAAAACTTTACTAAAAATAAAAATTTATATACATGTGATGATTACGTGTACATATATACGTATACATACATATGCATTACATGTATATATATATATATATATATATACAACTATGCACGTGTGAACAAATATGAATGCACTTGAATAAAACGAATGATGCACGCACGCACATGTATAAACCAATACCATGTGGAATGCATAATATCATAATGTTGTATACACAAAATTTATAGCGTAATTCACCACATATTTATATAATATATAAATATATATGAAATATATTATACAAATATTTGCATGTGCCCATATAAAAAAACACATATATATGCATATACATATATATGGAAAAAGTAAAAAAACACAAGAATTCACACCATAATAGTTAATTTTAAAATTGCATTAAAAAAAAAAAAAAAAAAAGTTAAGGGAGCATTCTTACAAGCATTTAAAAAATGAAGTGAAATAATGGGAGATGTAAATATAACGGAAAAAATAAATAATTTCGTTTGTGCATTTCATTTTTGTTAATTCATATGTACACAAGTACAATACATATACTTGCATAATATATATGTATAAATATACATATAATATTTATTCATTTTAATACACCCATTTTAAGGAACCATTTTTTGTATTTCTCCCCACCCACCCCTCCCCCATATATTATTTTTTTTAATTATTTTCATTTTCTTTATATTTCCGCAAAATTTGCTTATGCACATAAACAAATACTATAACGTGTAGTAGCTTAAGAAAAAAAAAAATAAAAAGTGCTCAAAAAAAAAAAATGATGTATATATATATACCAAATAATTAGAAATGAAACGAGAAGATCGGATAAAAAAAAGGAAAAATAATAATATAAAAAAGCTAGAGGCTTTAAACAAGGTAAAGATTAAGATTTAATGTAATGTATAAGATACGACATAATAGGAGGAAGATCACAACGAAATAAAAAAAGAAAAAAAGAAGGGAAAAAAATAAGAAGAAAAAAAAAAAAAAAAAAGAAATTAAACTAAAATAAAAGATTAAAAATTAGGCACAATATTTACCTTATATAAAAGATTGAAAAAAAAAAAAAAAAAAAAAAAAAAAATGAAGCCATATCGATCGCGGATATAAAAAAACATAAATATCACATATTCATTACCCTTAGTTTTACATTTTTAATTTTTGTATTTTTTTTTTTTTTTTTTTTTCCCATTTTTCCACTTTTCCTTTTTTTCCATTTTCCTCAATTTCCATTTTTTTTTTTTTTTTTTTTTTTTGAGTTATATATGAGATACTTATAAATTCATATGCGCATATTACCCCTGAAGAGGCGTAATAATTCGCGTATGTACATGTATATATATATATAATTCAAGAGTTTACATATATGCATATATGTATAATTATTTATATATGTTTATATGATTTATGCATAAGTGCACGTACACACAGTTCCGTAAGGCATGGACATCTTTGCATGTTTTTTGCATGAACGTAACAAGTCGGGGAATAACTACACGCAAGGAGAAACGTGATTTGACATAAACAGCAAACAACATAACTACAGTTAGAGACCTGCAATCAATTCGAGTTGTTCATTTCCCTTGCGATTATATAGCATACACATTTATGCACCCCCGTATATACGTGTGTATTTAGGCATCTGTAAGTGTATACACATATATTACATATGTATATACGTACATATCAAGAATACTGTTATATGCATGCATTGATACCATGTGCACGCAAGGAGAACGGCACAAAGTAATATATGAAAATATAGAAGAACACACGCACACAAAATAAGGAATTCTGAAGAAAATTTGCATTGCAGTTTTAAAAAAAAAAAAAAAAAAAAAAAAAACGAACAAAGTACGTGAAGTAAATAAAAAAAAGTATCTTTCACTTCCATTCAGTTAAGGAAATCTTAACTAGAACAGGAGGTTTCAGATCATTAAAATTTAGTGTTCTAGACAAATACAGGACTACAAATTTAATATACATATATTTTTGAGGCTGTTTACAGAATACACTTTAGCACATGTCTGCTTGCAAAATTTATCATTTCTATGTTTTCGAAAAATGTTCTAATACCCCCCTTTTTTTAAGGAATAGTGAATGTTTAAGTGTGCATGCATATCTGTATATATTTTTTGTGGAAATGCTTTATTAGCATATATATATGAACCTAGACTAAGGATTCGTTGCGTATATATATATATATAAATGTGTATGCATGTATGTATACATGTGTATTGTGTATGAATACACATTTAAACATTTATTTGTATATACTTGGTCATTCTTTTATTTTTTTATTTATTTTTTTTTTTTTAGCGTGTATTTCGTTGCATTTGAATACGTGTGAATATATATATATATATATAAAACGAATATTTGTGATCGTAAATGTTCTAAGTTGAATTCATATAAAAGTACATACAAAAATATACACACACCATATATATCAGTGTAAGCACTGCTAGCTTTTGCATATACATATATGCGTGCACTACAAAACAAGAGATTTTCAGTATGGAAGGATTAGAGACGGAGACAGGTATTGCCATTAAGAATGAAGAAAGAAGTGAAAAAGGAAATGAATTATTAATTGGGCTGAAGAATTTAAATGAACATGATGGGGTGGTAGTAGGAGGAGTTGTAAATTATGAAAAGAAAGAAGATGCAGATATAGCTATGCATATGAATGATCAAGATAAACTGGATGTGCCATCATTGGTTGAAATATGCAAACAACAATTGATTGTAATTTTGAAAGATATGTGTGCAGATTTAAATGGTTCAGATGAAAAAGCTTCATTTTTTTATCATCTTAATAGGTTAAGGAATGCAGTAACTGTTGTTGATTTACATAATTATATTGCAGTCTTTGGTCCTTGTCTAAGTTATAACAAATTACCATCCACGTGGAATATATCGGTATGTGATTATTTGAAACAACAGTTAAATATACTCAGAGCAGCTGACTCACAACAAAGTCCAAATGGTTATGTTAGCTATTTAGATTTACATAACGATTTGGAAGATATTATAAATGAAAAAAAAGGGGGAAACAGTACAACCACAGGTAGCATTTCCATGCAAGGAAATATAAATTCTAATAATTTAAATTCGAAATTTTCCATGAAAGGGAGTAGTATACACATGAATTCAGCCAATAGTACTAGTAACTTGAGTGGAAATGTAAGTGGTCGTATGAATATGAGCAATGAAAATACAAACTTAATTGGATGTTACACATTAGGTGATAATGAAGATAATACAATTGTGGAAGATTATTATGATTGTCTGATGAGAACCAAGTTATCAGATGAAACTTCCAATTGTTTGAAATATATGATGAACTCAAAAAATGATTCTTTGAGCAATACAGAAGTAGAGAATGTAATATCATATTTGAAAAAATATGAAGTAAAATCGAATAAAAATTATTGTAATTTTGAGGATGAATTAATATATAGTAAAGACTCAGATTATGAATATCATGAGGATTATTTAAAAGATAAAACATTATACGATTCAGATATAGATGACAATAATATATTTGGTACCAATCTAATAGATAGTAGTAGAAATATTAACGACAGCAATAGTACAGTGTTAAATATGAGTATGCCAAATAGTGTTTCAGCCAACAACAACAGTAATAACAATAATAATAATAATAATAATAATATTAATCATAATAACAACAGTAATAACAACAACAGTAACAGCAATTTGAATAATAAAAATTACAACATGAAGTATGATGTAATGAAAAAGAATAATAATGATACTGTGAATACGTGGACAAGAGCATGCACAGAAGGACATCCTGAATATTTGCCTCGGATCCCAGGAGTTCGATTTAATCCAAAGAAGCAGCAATGGCTAGCTGCTTGGAATGATAACACGAGAGAAATTAGAAGATATTTTTCTGTAAAACAGTACGGTTTTGAACAAGCTAGAATTTTAGCTGTTAAAGCTAGACAAGAAGCAGAAAAGGCAGGTGCTAGGTGTAAACCTATGTTTCATGTACATGGTAGGAAAGCAGCAGACAGTGCATCTAACGATGTTATGAAGAATAACAATGGCATGATGATGGAAGATGGTAGTAGTGCTAGGATGACTAATAACAACATCGCAGGAAATAATAATATTGGTAATATTAGTAGTAGTGACGCTTGTGGAAATATGGGCATTATGAATAACAATGTAAAAACTGCATTTACAAATAATAGTACAACAATGAATAGTGGAGGAATAATTGTTGGGGTAGGAAAAACACAGGATCCTATGAACAAGAAAAATTTATTGAAGAATGAAAATAACAAAGGAATTAAGAGAGGGAGGGGAAGACCACCTAAGAGGAAGATAAGCGAAGATTCTCAATTATCACTAGATGACATGGAACAAAATTTATGCAAGAATGGAGATAATGCAGAATTGATGGAAGCCATAGATTCATTTGATAAAAATTGTACTAGACCAATGAAAGGGGTATCTTATAATGATCGGAAGGGGTCCTGGTTAGCTTATTGGTCTATAGGGAAAAATTTTCAAATGAAAAGATTTCCAATTAAAAAGTTAGGCTTTGAGAAAGCAAAAGAATTAGCTATACAATGTAGGTTAGAGGCAGAACAAGCTGGAGCAACAACTACAGAAAATAGAACGAAAAGAATTAGAAATTTGATAACATTAAATTCTGAAAATACATTAGATGTAATGATGGATATTAATTCTATAGATCAGGAAGAAAATTTAAATGATACAAGTAAAGGCATGAATGGGCATGTACTGATGTCCCAGATGCATCATTTTAACGCACATGGGATGAACCCTCACAGCAGTAATAATAGAAGCAACAACAACAGCAACAACGGAATGGGCTGCAATAATAGTAATAATAATATTCACCAAACCAAAATGTCACACAGCGATTGTCAGGAAAGTGAAAATGATTATTCTCCTACAAAAAGGACACGAGCACCCAGAGGAAGAAGAATGGAAAGCTTAACTGCGCGTGCTAGTGCATTAACACCTGTAGAAGGGGTTCGATTCGATCCATTTTCATATTCCTGGTACGCAAAATATTTAGAAAATGAGAATTCAAAAGAACCAAAAATATCCAAATATTTACTGAAAAAATGGGGATTCAATAAAGCACATAGTTTAGCTGTACATACTGTAAAATGTGCATATAAAGGTGTTCCCTTTACAGAACAGGAACTTACAAACATATTTAATGTAAATTCTAAAAAATTGATGAATAATCAGAGAAATTTCATCAACATGACATATAAAGGTGGTTCCTATGGAAATAACGAAGACTCTAATGATAATGTGTATAATTCTAACAACTATGGCACCATGGGAATTCCAAATTCTCCTAATGGAGTGATTATAGGAAATATGGGATATGTTAATAATACCATGAATGATGGAACTACAGGCATGATAGATCACATGGTTAATGAAATCGATGCAGTTAGCGCTATGAACACTATGGGTGATATTGACGTGATGGGAGGAGGGGCAACAGCCGGTTTAGTAGGAGCAGCAGCGGGTTTAGGAGGTGGAGTAGATTCTCTGGGCAGTATGAACAACTTGAACAATATTGGCAACTTGAACATGGGCGAGATTGGAAACTTTAATAACAACATGAAAGCGTACAGAGGAAATATGAACGAGCATGGTATTATGAACAACATAAGTACTAATGACCTTGAGAAAAATGGAGATATGAATAACATGCATGATGAGGAAACCCTTTTAGTAAATGGAAGCAGTAACGATGCAAATATCGGATTGAATAACAGTATGGACATTACAAACAATATGCTTAACAGTATGGATAGCGTGAACACCTTGGATCCAGGTACTACCCAAAATGGTATCTTGAGTAATTGTGGCTATAGCTATAATAATGGGAGCAATGTGGTATGTGGTAATGAGCCAGCTAGCCAAAATAATTATCACCCTGGTGCTCTACTACCGAATGGTGGAATCCTTATTGGTAGTGGAGGAATATGTGATAATAACATTCATAATGATGACAACATTGATGAAAACAATGACGATAACAATGATGAAAACAATGACGGTAACAATGATGAAAACAATGACGATAATAATGACGATAATAATAACAGCTATAGCAACGGTAGTATCAGTTGTAATAACGGTAGTAATAATGATAACAACGCTGCATCTATTAAGGCCAATTGTGTGGGGAATGTAATCAATAATGCGTACATGAATGATCAAATTGGGATAAATACTAACGCAGATGGAAACAAATTTCCATCAGAGGAATTAGCAGGAATGGCAGAATCGTCTGGAATTTTGGATGATGAAAATGCAAAATTGTTGAACAAATCATTTCTAATAGTTGAAAAGAATTTAGGGAATAATATTAGTGGAAACATTTTAAGAAACAATAGCACAGAGAATTATAATATGCTTAATGAATGTATGCTGAAGAGTAGGAGTAGAGAGATGAATGTGTCTCATTCTAGAAATAACGTGATAACAGCAGGGATAGAAGTAGGAGAAGTAGGAGTCCCAACTACCACATTTGATCATCATCTTATGGATTACACATCAGCAATGGGATCTGTAGAACCGAACGAACTGAATATGAATGCACCAAATGATCTATACACGAACCATCCAGATGCTACATATGGCATTACTTCTGCAGGTTCTAATATAAATGTTAATTCTGAACCTGTTATTAATAACAGTATAATGAACAAATCCAGTAGCAGTTCTAATATTTCTATCATAAATATGGGATCAAGTATGAATTATAATAACAACGTTGTAGAAGCGCATGATATTATGGATGATAAAGGGGTAATAGAAGAACACCTAGCGAATCAAAAAAATTATATGAGTGAGATGAATAAAGTAGGTAATATTGATAACCCTGCTAGTAACGATAATAATAGTGATAATAGTTATGTTAACAACCCATATAGCCAGAAAAATATAAGCTCCAATTTTAATGCCTATGGTAGTGAAAATGCAACAGCAGGAAACATGATTGGTTCAAATGCGAACGAATTGAATAACTCTTCCATGTATTACTTGAGCGCAAAGTCAGAGATAAAGACGGAGCACTGAGCATGGGAGGAGAGAAGATCCGAAGTGGGAAGAAGCAGAAACGTAAGAAGTAGAAGCGTAAGAAGTAGAAGCGTAAGAAGTAGAAGCATAAGAAGTAGAAGCATAAGAAGTAGAAGCATAAGAAGTAGAAGTGTGAAAAGGAATGAAACGAATAAAATTTTTGTTGATAAGGTGTGGGACTCAGCAGTTGTACCAAGGGAAAGACACAAAATTGAAATGTGATCTTCTCTATATGATGAATACGACTTGACATGTAATAATCATTACATAGAAGCATGTGTATCCCACCACCGGCTGATGGAAAACCTAGAACGAATTTTTTTTTTTTTTTTTTTTTTTTATCATTTCATTATACCATTTTATTGACCATTTATTGTTATTTTTTTTTTTTTTTTACCGTGTTAGTATAGTTGCACATTGTTATTCTTATATAACAGTGTTTGAAGTTCTTTTGATATGCATATATATATATACATACTATATACATATATGTGTGTATGTTTGTATATATATATATTTTTTTTTACCCCACTAATCGTATCTCATAATTTGTGTTGTTTCCAATAAATTCTTATCGTTTCTTTTCATTCGTCTCTTAAATTTCGTTTCCTTCCCATTCGTTAACACAATCTCTTTCTATTTCATATTATAGATTTTTAAATAATTTAATAAAGCATGAATTTATATGTTTTTATTAAAAATTCTCCCCTTTCATTCCTTTTTATTTTTTTCCTTATAAATAAATTCGTAAAAATGCTCGTTTTTTTTTTTTTTTTGCATACATGAGTATGTGTATATGTATATGCAAATCCATGAGTATTCACATGTATATCTCCCTTTTTTTTTTTTTTTTTTTTGCGTCTTATATTTTATTAATTACAAAAAATACCGTATTTAATGTTTTTTTTTTTTTTAAATGTAAACTTAACAATTGTGCATGTAGATATGTACATGTGCATATGTACCAATATATATTGCATATACACATGTACGACATTTTGCATGCATACATGTATATATATATATATATATGTACACAAGTATAGTCTAGATACATGAGCATATGTATACGTACCTACATATGCGAATATTATTAAATGAATTCGCACCGAATGTGCTATTATGTTATTAAAACATGTTTCACATGAACCAAAACAAAAATAATTTTTTTTTATATATTATATTAAATAATGTAAGGATAATACGAATTATACGTTTATTTTGTTTTACTTAATATTTATTTTGTTTTACTTATCATTTATTTTGTTTTACTTATCATTTATTTTGTTTTACTTATCATTTATTTTGTTTTACTTAATATTTATTTTGTTTTACTTATCATTTATTTTGTTTTACTTATCATTTATTTTGTTTTACTTATCATTTATTTTGTTTTACTTATCATTTATTTTGTTTTACTTATCATTTATTTTGTTTTACTTATCATTTATTTTGTTTTACTTAATATTTATTTTGTTTTACTTATCATTTATTTTATTTTACTTATCATTTATTTTATTTTACTTCGTATTTATTATTTATTTTTATTTCTTTTTTATTGAGGGGGGTCCGGGGAGAGGGTTCTCCGAAATCGTTGCCCATTTGTTCATCTATAAATATATATTTCCAGAAGATAAAAAAAAGCCTTCTTACAATTAGACACGTATTGTATGACATATTCCTTTTGGATAATAAATTAAAATATGATGATTCTTATTAGTTCAACATGATGTGGAAACACATTAGTAACTTGAAAATATGTTGTTAAAAAAGGTTGTTTATTTCTAATGTATGTAAACTTTTGATGTACCTCGAATTTGTATTTCTACCTTTAGGTTTGACGTACATTACATATGTTTTGTGTGTTCATATGTTGTGAGTACATATATACATGTGTGTATATATTTTTGTCCAAAAAGGGTAATGAAACACTTATACCTCTTGGATTATCACACATGCGACACATTTACGCATGTTCAGTTTGACATGGTGTTTGGATATGCAACATAGAATTGTGCAAGTTCCTAATGAATTGTATTTTATTTTGAATACTTTATTTCGTGAGCCCCCCCCCACCCCTACCCCGTCTCATCTTCCCTTTTTCACAAAATTTGCAATGTTAGTAATTTTTTCTCTTAATTTTGGAGTAATTTCTGGTTTGGCCCTTTGATGAATTTCTAAATGCTTGAGAATTTGACCAGCCCGATACCAGTTAATATCGGTATTCTGTCTTAAACTCATGAAAAGATTTTTTTTTCCATCTAAGAGCATACCTCGTGTTTCTTTTAATTTTCTATTTGCTTCAAGTGACAACCTTTCTTGTTTCTTAGCATCTTTATAATTTTGACTTTGTTTAACCCCATATGGTAATTTATCCTTTATTTTTTTTAGGAAATGCATACGACATAGTGTGATCATTTTTTTTTTTTTTTTTTTATCTACTCTTTCCCTGATATGTCTAATATGTTTATTTCTTCTATATATATATATATATTCCCGTATGGGTAATTATAAGAATATTTGTACGTAAACACATTGAATATACTCTCTCTTTTTCTCATGCTGCACTTTCCTTGTTTCACATTATTTAATCGCAAGTTAGTGCTAGATGTACTTATATTTAAAACACTGCCGTAGAGCTACAATGGATATATGTAACTATTGTTGTTGTGTTTTTTCTTCTTGATGGTGATTAAAAAATATTTCAAAATTTTTTTTTTACACAAAAAAAATTTTTATTTTATGTATTTCTTCAAGTGTGGTAATGTCGCAAAATGGCCAAAAAAGATTTGTAAACTTTAGGATATCATACTTGACATGGTAGCGAGACTAATTTACGAGAATCTTATTTAGTCTTTTTAATGTGTCGTATATATGTAAATAAATATATACATACACACATATGTGCAGACTAAATCATGCCGGGGGGTATGCTGAAAGCTACCGATGCTACGACAAAATCAACGTGTCGAATTTTTTGTTGTCCTTTTTCTCTTGTCTCTTGATCATTTTTAAGATCCTTCTTTGTGACTAATTCATCTTCAGATTTTAAAATGTTGTGAAAAAAGTCCTTATCTTTAATGAAAATATCGTTATTATTATCATAACATGGTAAATCACTTTCGTTGTAAAATTCGTTTATGTCATTGACATTTTGTAATTTGTCATTCTTTTCCTTTTCTTGTAATTTATCGGAATTCCTTTTGTTCATATATTTTGTGGAATCTCTTCTTTTTTTTTTTTTATCCTTCAAAACCATTTTTCCTGACCCACGAAAAATGTTTTGCAATGATTATGAAAAGTTTCGATTTTTTTTTTTTTTTTTCTCTTCATCAAAAATAAAGAAAAAAAAAAAAAAATGTTTAAGGATAATGCAGAAGTTATATTAATTTTTGTTATCACCCTCTGCTTTGGAATATTTTAATCCTCATTGGAGTATTCCTGAAGGTGCTTAAAAAGTGTGTGAACGAGGTGAAAAAAAAAAAAAAAATATATATACATACCTACATACATATGAATATCCATATATATATTATTTTTTTATAATTTGATACAGCAGGTGGAGGCAAAACACGTTTCCCTTCACCTATAGGTTTATGATAATGAGGAAATTAAAATTTGCATACAGGTGTCCTTTGCACTTGTATAGTCACCATGCGAAGTGTACCCAAATGGACGACCACTTATACCTATGTATGTATGTATGTATGTATGTGAAGAGAAACTTATCTTAAAAGTGATGTAAAATAGTTGTGCCGCACCATGACCGTTCTTCTTCAGTAGCAATTCTTATTACATTCGTGTGTGAAAATATTAAAAAATAGAAAAAAAATTTCTTATACTTTTTTTCAAGTCCCTTTTTTTTTTTTTTTTTTTTTTTTTATGCATCTCAAATGAGGGATAAATTATAATGTTAAGTTGTGGTGTATTGTGCGGGTCTTTTTTCTATCCGAATTATTTATACTTTATGGATAAAGTTCATGTTGTGTTTTATGCGCTATGAAAGCGTGGAATATTTATTATGCATAATAACGGGGTAATAAATTAAAAGTTTACACAAAAAAAATAAAATAAAATAATGTGCTGTTAAGCAAATTTGAGAATCAAATCAATAGGGTGTGGCCACGACTATTAGTTAATTTGCGTGCCAAAACGTTTAATTAAAAGAAAAAAAAAAAAAAAAAAAAAAAAAAAAAAAAAAAAAAAAAAAAAAAAAAAAAAAAAAAAAAAAAAAAAAAAAAAAAAAAAAAAAAAAAAAAAAAAAAAAAAAAAAAAAAAAAAAAAAAAAAAAACAAACAAAAAAAAAAAAAAAAAAAAAAAAAAAAAAAAAAAAAAAAAAAAAAAAAATCAAAAAAAAAATTTAAAAAAAAAAAAAAAAAAAAAAAAAAAAAAAAAAAAACATGTAAAATGATCAAAAAAATTATGAAAAAAAAAAAAAAAAAAAAAAAAAAGACGCAGAGTGATAAAACAAGAAAAGTGTATCATAACACAGTTACTCTCTTCTCCACTATGTAGCAAAATAAAAAAAATAAAAAAATAATGAAAACAAAGAAACTACAGAAAAATGTTCATAAACGATACACATTATTTACTACCCATCAGAATAATCCGAATAACCAATCAATAATGAATTGTTTTCTTCTTGTGGAGTATGTTTTTTTATATCCACATGATTCTCTGGACAAGCGATGGAAGTTTTTTTCTTGGTTTTTATTATAGCCTTGACATTAGATTTTACTTCATTTTTTTTTTTATTTTTAATAATATTTTTTTTAATCTCTTTGAGATTTACATTTGTTTCCTCCCTGAATAAATCAGAGTTGTTTTTTTTTTCATTTAATTCTTTTTTTTTAACAAAACTTTTTATAGCTTCTTTAAACTCTAATTCAACTTCATATTCTCTTTGTCTAATTTTTTCAGCACTATAATTATCATTTTTTGCATAACTTTCATAATATTCAGCATATTCTTCAGTTAAATTTGGCATAGCATAAATATTCATATGTCCCTCTCCATCATTATCATCTTTTCCATATACTACATTATTGGTACTGTTATTTTTGTTTAATTCCAATTGTTCTGAAAGGCTTAAGAATTGATTATTTCTCTTAAATTCTGGTAATTCTTTCAGTATTTTATTTTGATCTATTTCTTTTGTACTCCTAGCATCCTTTTCAAGTTCTTTTATCCCTTCATTTGTATACTCTTGTTTGTAAATGTGCGTTTTCACAAAGTTCATTTTGTAAAAGTGTAACGTTCTATTGGGGTCTGCTTGAAAACACTAATCTGGTTAGTTACACGAGTTTGTATGAGTAGAGGCTAAACAAGCAATTGTGTATATGGGGTTTGTTCTTATTAAAAAAGGAAGGAAAAAAAAAAAAAAAAAAAAAGCTATAGGATGAGCATCATTGTGGCATTACTCTCTTTACGCATATCACAAATTTTTTATGTGCTTATTTATATGTTTTTCATTTATTAAGATTCCTCCATTTGGATTTTCCCCCTAAGGAGAAGCAGCTAACGGGTGAGTTTAGATATGTTTTAAATCCGTTCCCCTTGTTACTCATTTAGGAATAAATCCAGAAGTTATAAATCGTTTTGACATGCTGTGTTTCTCTTAATTTTTTTTTTTTTTTTTCTTTTTAAATTGGTAAAAAATACCCCATTTTGGTAATATTTTGTTTTGTTTTGTTTTAAATTTTTGAAAACTTCCCTCATTTGATTAACGCCTTTTTTTTTTTTTTTTTTCCACAATATATATACACGTACATGTTTGAACAAAAAAAAAAAAAAATTAAACAGTGCACATTTTTATCACATTTGAAGAAAAAGAAAAAAAAAAAGAGAGCTAAAAGTGTTTTCACTTTATTTATTTTTATTTTTTATTTTTTTTTTTTTTTTGAGTGAAAGAAAAGGAGATGAAGGATACGTATGTAAATTTAACCATTTGATGAGTAAATAATAATTAGCTTAAAATTTTTTGTGGGGTTGAAAATGTTCCATTTTCTGTGGTCCTGTTTTTTTTTTTTTTTATTTGCCATTTTTGTCATTTTTGCCATTTTTGTCATTTTTGCCATTTTTGTCATTTTTGCCATTTTTGTCATTTTTTCCATTTTTTCCATTTTTTCCATTTTTGCCATTTTTTCCATTTTTGCCATTTTTTCCATTTTTGCCATTTTTTCCATTTTTTCCATTTTTGCCATTTTTTCCATTTTTGCCATTTTTTCCATTTTTTCCATTTTTATAGGAACATAACAGTTATGGGTAGAACGAACAATTTCATATGTGGCATGACTTCACCTTTATTTTATTTATTTTATATATATATGTATGCATTACGGTTGTGAATATTTGGGATGATCAAGATTGAATGTGGAGAAAAGTCACGCCACAACGCACACACCACACCCCATAGATTTAGATATATAACCCCATGGGGGTATCGTATGCATTTATAAATGGATGGAAAATTTTGTTAAGAGGTTATACTGATGGATAGGTGTGAGGTCTCATGTGTTATCGTTTGTTCATCTGTTCTAATTTGCCCAAATTTGATTTAACCAGGCTTAACAGGAGTAACCAGATTTAATCTGGTATAATGTGATTTTATTTATGTCATTTCTGTTTCATTTTGGATTTAATTGTTTCTACGTCTTTTACCACTTGGGGATAGAAGTTTGGATGAGCGGGGGACGACAAGAAACACATGGCTCTATATATAAACGATCCACAGGTATAGGTATTCATTTTGTCAGAAAGAGGGCGATGTGAAAAAAGAAAGAAAAAGGGAAAGAAAAAATAAAATTTAATATAATCAATGTGTAAGTACAAATGTTCTTGTGAAAAAAAAAAAAAAGAAAAAAAAAAAAAAGGGAAAGTTTTGACGGTCTTCATTTACTCATTTAATATCTCATCATTTGTTATCAACCCAAAGTCTTCAAGGAGTGTGAGACACTGTCCATTTTTGTTAGAATTGCTAAAGGGAAATCTGGCGTCGACAGCAAGGGCAAGTTAAGTTAAATCTGAACCAATTCTTTACACATTTCCAATGGTAGGTGTGGAAACAATTCAACTTGATACACTTTTCATAATCGTGAAAGTATTCGAAACAGACAGCACACTGTTCATTTACTAAGTTATTATTAGTAGTATTTACAGTAGTGTTTTTTTCAACATGATTATGAATCTGAGATTGTTGTGCATCTATATTTTGCAACATATTACCATTATTACTGTTGTTCTGTTTGTGATTGTTATATATATATTTATATTTAGCCAATTGGTTCAATATAAGTTCTTCATTTTTTGAATTTTCTTGTAAATTTGTATTAGTTGATGGGAATAACCTTAACAAAGAATCTGCATCTAATTGTTGCAGAATGTTTAAAACAGCATATGGCTTGTATTCTAAGGGTAAACACTGAATATAATTGATGGATTCTTTTGAAATAACATCAAAAAAAGTAGGTTTAATTGACCCTGTAGTGTATATAAATGTGTTACAGCTAATTCTTCCCCTACCATTTTTTATATTTATTGGATCGATTCCCATAATTTTGAATTGTACACCTTTGTAAAAAAACGTATCGTGAATCGAAAACAAATTTATATAATGTCTTTCAATGTAAGGTTTAATGTAATCTGTAAATATGTCATAATTATATGTCGTTGGCAATGTGTCATACAGAGGTACAATATGTACATTTCTGAAAGGGTCATACGAATCCACGCTTAAGCATATCTCCTGCGATTATGAGGGGTGGAAATGAAGGCAGAAAAAATGAAGACAAAAAAAATGAGGTGGGGATGTACGAACCAGGTGAAGCAACAATGAAAGATGAAAAATAAAACAATACAGAATCAGACAAAACTAAAAAAAAAAAAAAAAATATACACCAGAAGACGCACGTATCCATTTTATTCTTAACCGTAGAGCTATCCACGAAACCTACATTAACATCTGAATCTATCTTAACAACAAGGAATGAAAAATTGTTTATAATAAATAACTTTCCAGAGTAAAATAGATTAGTCCTATTTTTCTTGAAGTAGGGATGCAAATAGGTCGACAAAATTTTTTCAAGCACCAGGTTTCTTCCTTTCATAGCAGTATCAGTTGTAGTGATAACCATTTCATTTTTATTCCCCAATTTGGAGTGGTAATTCACCCTTTCTATATTATACTTACTTGAAAAACTGTCAAAGGGGAATGAAATAAGAGAAATAGCTTCATTAAAAAATTCATTGCCCTTTTTAAATATATATTTTTTTAAAGAAAAATTTTTTCTTTTTAATTTTTTCTCATATTTTTTATAGTGTTTATCTCGTATTATTATTAATTGAATTTTTCTTAAATTGTCCACACATTTCCCATCAGTGTAAATTAAAGTATCACGATTAATAATTCCTTTTGTAGGTATACAATTTACAACAACGTAATAACAAACGCTTTCATTATAATGAGATTTTTCTTCTGTCAATTGATTGTTCTTGTATTCGTCATATAAGGACATATGATTATTGTTATATGTGTTTTTATTGTTCTCTTCTCTTAAAGACAATGTATCAGTCTCGAAGCTGTTCAATTTCTTTTCATGTGAGACCTCCCATGGGTCATCCTTGAGGGTAGATCCATTTTTAGTGCTATGTAGGTTTTCTTTTTCGAATTGATTTGTGCATACAGATTTGTTTCTATCCTTAGTAGTTATATCTTCTTTCTTTCTCGTTTCATGAAAATTTTCATTTATTACTCCCTTCACAACATCTCTTGCATTTTTCCTTTCCTCATCTGCTTCAATTATGAACCCTTCATGCAGAACACATTTTTCATTTATTAATAAATTCAGTTTTCTATAGAGTGCATCTGCATTTGACGTTTTTTTTTTTATGGGCAATATGTGCACTTTTTCCAGTATTCGTTTTTTTTCTACGATATTTAATTTTTTCTTCGAATTAACATTACTAAGAAAATGCATATGTTTACTTTCATCTCTTTTGTAACTTTCCATTTTTATTTTTCATGTCTTTTTATGAATGTTCAGCACTTATTTTCTTTCACTCCTAAGTGCGTATTACTATCCTTTTTCTAGCTATTCTTCTGAAGTTTCTCTCTTCTCTGCCTTGGGAATTAGGATATTTTTGCTATATCTCGAAAGGTGATGAATATGATAATCTCCAAGGAGTGTGTTATAAGCGCATGCACACGTAAGTATATACATAAAACATGTATATGCAAGTGTGTACTAGACAGGTGTCTTTTTGGACTACGCTTATGTGAGCAAATTTTGTTTTTTATATTTGTACCACCATTTCGAAAAATAGTTAAAAAAAAAAAAAAATTCAGTTTCTCTAAAATGGGTAACGAATAGCTTTTTTCTAATTATTTTTTTCACGCTCTATTTAACTTTATATTATATTATCTTTTTTATGTGAGCAAAAATTAGGTATCCCTCCTAGATAAACAGTTAATGTTTACAAGTGTAGATACATCTGCGCGTACAATTACAACTGCATATTCTTGAAAATTGTTCTAGTATCTACATTGGTAAATGTTCCGTCTGAGCGGTAAGGGAAATCAAAATAAGGAAAAACAAAAACGTGGGCATTACGAAGAAACTACTTCTGGTGCAAATAAAGTATTGTAAAAATTCAGTTATTTTATTTTATTTTTTTACTTTTTTTGTTTCCTACATTCGGATACTTATTCGTAAATTTGCATGAGCAACTTTTTACTTACTTGTTCAATATATTTTCCCTTTTACTTTCTGGTAGTATAATTTTTTGTTTTACTTCCACACATATCAATATAGACAACTCTAATATGCGAATTTAAAAAAAACACTGATATTATTAAACACATTAATATAGTGTGGAAAAAAAAAAAAAATAAAAAAATAAATAATGAACAACATGAAAATGATTAAAAAGGTAAAGTGAAAAAAGAAAAAAAAAAAAAAAAAAAAGAGTGAAAGAAGAAAAATGAATGTAGAAATTTATATCTTATTTTAAAAACTACAAATGAACAGCGGGGAGGTGGTTGTAAAGGGATATATGATATTTGCTTTATTTCCCTCTATTTTTCCTCATTTTTTGCATTGCTTTCCCTATTTAAATGGTCACAAAGTCTAAATCAGTATCAGTGAATAAAACTAAAAAAACTTTACCTAATAATGCTAAGAATATGCACATTAAATGTGTTCATATTCATTTTAAAAAAATAAATATACATGTATATGTTATAACGAAAAAGAAAAAAAAAAAAAAATAATTCAAGTTAGACAGAAAAGAAAACAACGTTTTAGAAAAAATTTCTGTGGAGTCTACCGACAGTTCAAAATATTTGTGTGTAAAATTTCGCCATCATTTTTTTCCCAATTTTTTTTGCTAATTTTTTTGCTAATTTTTCTGCATAACGTTTTTCATTTTTCATTTTGTGTGTTTTTTTTTTTTTTTTTTTTGTTTTTTTCTTTTGCATTCCTTAGAATTTTCGTTTCTATGCGTATTTTAAAATATTTTTAAAAAATTCTTTTTTTTTTTAAGTGAGATAACAAAGTGATGAGTGAAAAAATAATAAAAAAATCAAAAAGTGAAATGTGTAGTTCTGTTATAAAATCACGCCGTTATATAAATACGCACCAGTTGCCTATAACATTTATGGCGCGAAAAAAAAAAAAAAAAAAAAAAGCGAAAAATGCATATTACCTAAATAAAATAAAAAAATTAGGAAATAAATTTTATAAATTCAGTAATTAATTTTATTTTATGTATGAGACTTTTTTTTTTTTTTTTTTTTTTAATTTTTCATTTTAGACGACTATAACAGTACATGACGCATTTGAAACAGAACGAAAATGACGCTGTGTAAATTTCCATTTTTGATATATTTTCCCCATAAATACTTAAAAATATATACAAATGAAGTATAAAAGAGAATAGAGTAATATAACACAAGAAGTAACATTCCAGGTGTGAACACTTAAAAAAAGAAAAAAAAAAATTTAGATGGTTTAAAAGATTTTGTTCTAAACCATTTGAATGCATGTACTACTTTTGATGTCACTTCCAATTTGTTTATTTTTCACTGTTGTTCCGTTGTTTATTCAGTACTACAACTGTGTACATTTTTTCTTCATCAGACATAATGTGCGCACGTATGAACAGTGATACAGTGAAGTGATAAAGCCTGCCCACGTATGCCAATATTTACGTATACGTATATATATATATATATATAATATATATATATATGTGTGCCATTCGTGCGTACTTGCACACACATACATATATACATATTGTTAAGTGACTATGTCGTACTTTTTTTTTGTTTTTATTTCCAAATATTGTTTGAAAATATGCGTTCTTTTCAAACTTTGGAGAAGTATTTTCTACCTATATTTAGACTATAACAACGTTTCATAGTAAAAATAATTCATGAGCATTTTGCACCCAAATGTGAACATGTGTAACATATGTGTATTACGGTACATAACTTTCGTACCCATTTTAATACTTTTGCCTGAACAATTCATAAAAATCGCCATACATATTTGCATCGTCTAAAGCAAAGCAAAAGGGAAAAAAAAAAAAAAAAAAAAAACATTTTCTTGTATAACCCGTTTCACATAAATATGTATGAATTAAAAAAAAAAAAAAAAAATGAGCATAACGTCAGTTTAGTAGAAAAGTTGTTTATTAGGTGTTTTTTTTTTTTTTTTTTTTTTTTTTCCTTAGAATAAATACTTTATTTATTACAATTTAAAAAGAAAAAAAAAAATTCTCTTTTTTTTTTTTCATTCTGCGTGTGTAGCTTGTGCAGGTTTTTTTTTTTTTTTTTTTTTTTTTTTTTTTTTAAATTTTGCAGGTTTTTTTTTTTTTTTTTTTTTTTTTTTGATATTATAACGGAAATAAACGTGGGTTCTCATTTCTCATACTTAAAAGAATGTCTATGCATATATATAAATAGATATGACAAATATTCTGGCATGTATCAACGTGTAAAAAGTACACTGATTTTGCAAAACAAAAGCTTGAGGGGATACAAAATAGGCAATAAAATATACATGCTTGTGCAAGATGGAAAATACACTTTATTTCTTTTACTTTCGTTGTTGTCCCTTTTCTTATTTTCTCTTCCTTGGAACCGCATAACATTGCCAATGTTTGAAATTTTTCATTAGGTACAATTGAACGTGTAATAAATAAACTTGATTTTGTATCTCACGTAAATGTGGTAAATACTCTCAAATTGTCGTTTTTAATATGTGAAAAAATAAAATAAAATAAAATAAAATAAATAAATAAATAAATAAATAAATAAAAATAAAGTATCAAAAGGATGAAATAATGAACGAACGAATGATTAATCCGCAAAAAGGAGATATAGACATAAACTTGGATTTACAAAAGCACAATTTGATTGGAATATTGTTATAAGATTGCGTTGAACTTTTTAAGGAGAAGAACATAACATGATTAGTCAAGTAGAGCATAAAACGATGAGAAAAAAAATAAAATGAAAATAAAAAAAAACATGCTTAAGTTTACTCGTTGAAGTTTTCATTAATTTATCCAATCTTCACCTCTTCGTTTTTATCTCACTTCACCAAAAAAAAAAAAATAAAATAAAATAATAAAAGCATGCACACATCACATGATTGTATATATATATATGAGAAAGGGAAGATTCATGTACACACTTTTCAAGCTCTTCATTAACGAATGAAGGAAAGTACAAGAAATCATTAAGTTGTAATGAACCTTTTAGCACACACCTCTCTGCTAAAAAAAAAAAAAAATAATAAAATAAAATAGCACATTTAATTCTTGTTCATATTTATGATATACAAAAAGTTACAAAAAAAAACAAATTGAAATTATGCAAATGTGTTTTTTTTTTTTTTTTTTTTTTTTTTTTTTTTTTTTTTTTTTTTTTTTTTTTTTTAATCCTTTTTTTTTTTTTTTTTTAATTTTTTTTTTTTTTTTTTTTTTTTTTTTTTCAATAAAAAAAAAAAAAAAAAATTTTAAAAATTTTTTTTTTTTTTTTTTTTTTTTTTTTTTTTTGTTTGTTTTCTTTTGTGTGTATATGAACCCTGTAATTGTTTATCTCAAAATTAATCGATTTTTTTTTTTTTTTATTCGTCCAATTAATGGTATTAATGCTTTTTATTTTGAAAATTACGCAAGGAGGAGATAAAATTGAATATAATTACAACAATATATAAAACTGCTGCAGAACAGTACCAAACACCAACTTCGTCACATCCATCGCAATAAAGAAGAATTCTCATTTTGGCAGGAGAACAAATATAAAAAAAAAAAAAAAAAAAGATATACCATCGCATCAGTTAAGTATTTTAAAATGAAATTTGTTAAATTTGGTTGGAAGAATTACAAGTGTTACATAAATAGCATCCTTTATGAGTATAACAAGAAGGTGTCTTAGTTTTATGCGCTTGTTTATTCATTTATTTTGTGTGTATGTGTGTGCTTTTTTTTTTTTTTTTTTTTTTCTGCCCAGTTTGTCCCATTTTTTTGTCCACGTCACGCTTTAAATTTAAATTGCATCAGTTGACTGTTGAAAAATGCTAGATTCCGATACTGAAGTTCCTCAAGAAATTCTTGCGGAATACGAAAAATTGTTGAAAAAGTCTTACACGGAAAATTTTGATGAGTAAGTATATACATTTGATACATTTTTTTATAAATCAGTATGATAAATTTTTTTTTTTTTTTTTTTTTACATGAATATGTTATAACATGTGCATAATACTTTCACATAATACATGAAGATGTAACTCATGTGTTCTTATACCAGTGTGTATATTTTTTTTTGTTCTTTCATACATATATGCAAAAAAACACCTTTTTTTAATAGACTTCATAAGACAGATTTACTGAAGATAATTGGAAAAGATGGATTCGGTTCACATATCGTTTTGTTGATCCCCTGTTTTATAGTTTCCTCTGATGCAGGTCCTGAAAAAACACTGTAAGTGAATAATTATATTTTAAAGTGTGCATTTCGTGATATTTACCTTTATGTGTATATTTTTGTATAAGACACATGAATTTGAGTATTTGAAAAGACGTGCACTGTCTTCATCTTGTGATAACTTTGGAAACAATAATAAGACACATAATAGTAATGATATATACATATATATATGGACATTTCCCCTCTCATTTTTCGTTGCTATTCCACCTTGGTTCTCTCTACACACAGGAGATATTCCATTATGACATTAGACCCCATTGTGAAGGAAAATTACGTGTTGATTCTTTGCGAAACTCACACAAACTGGTTGACAGATGCAGTTTATGCCTACGCTAAGCAGTGTAAGCGGGAAAACGAGAAAAAGGAGAAAAAGGAGAAAGGCCATAGAAAACTACAGCTGAGTTGCGACAAAAATGCAGTCAACATGTGACAAACTTTTGACAAACTTGTGACAAATATGACGACCTGTATATGCTATGCCGTTTCTCCTAATAATTTTTTTTTTTTTATATTAGTAAAATCTCCAGCTAATGCAATGGTCGTTCAACATTTCATTCCTCTTCGCCTCATCGCTCCTTTTAGGGTATGATACGCTTCCGAGGAAATACAAAAAGAATTTAAAAAAGCTGTATCTTTTGCACAGCGGATTTATGTCTAAAACATTGTTAACAATTGTAACTCCATTTGTGTCAGCTAAATTTTGGAAAAAAGTAGAATACATAGAAAAATTAGAAGATTTATTTTTAAAGTTAAATGTAAATCCAACATATTATTTGAGATATTTTCCATACATAGTTCAAAGAAATGAAGAAATTTTATTAGGAGGAGAAACTATTTCAATTTTTGGTGCCGATTTAGAGATTTTATGTCAAAGATTTGGAAAAAAATATATGGAATTTAAACATATCCCATCTATTCTTGTCGATTTTTTGAGTCATTTATTGAAACCAGAAATTGTTAGTACTAAAGATTTATTCTATTTACAAGCAGATGCAAATACTTTATATGGAACAATAGGAGATATACAATATGGTGAACCAACAACTGATTTTAATAACATTCCATCTTTAGTCTGCTCATTTAAGCTTTTTTTAGACACACAAAAACATGGATTATTGGGAAAAGATGCTTTCATAAAATTGTATCATTTAAAAACTGTTTCAGCATCAGATAAAGCTATTAGAAATGTTTTATTTAAATTATATGACAAACTTGAACCAGGTGTTAAGGAATGTTTACTCTGTCTTTTAAAATTTTTTAAAACCGTTTCTACTTATTCAAATGAAAATAATATGACAACAGAGACTTTGGCAAAAATATTTGCACCCACATTTTTTAGACCCAAAATTCCAAATGCAGTTTTTTCGCAGTGTATTCCTTTAGCAAATAAATGTATTCAAATGATAATAGATTCTCCCGATGTTTTAACCGTAAGCTTTTTGTCAATCAGATTTACAAATTATGCAAGATGTATACAGGAGAGTTATATATGACTATATATAGATGCTATTATTCTGGGACTACCGATGGCTATTTGTTGTGTTCACGCGTCAGTGATGTTTATGCTCATGTGCTGATTTTTTTCAATTTTTGGACTCTTCGAATTTTGAGCTTTCAAAATTTTCAATGCCTTTGTTTTTTTATTATTTTTTATTATTTTATTTTTTTATTTTATTATATTTTTTTTCTTTTTTCTTTTTTCTTTTTTCGTAGAACCCGCAAAAATACAGCACAGATAGTGATAGCTCAGATGAAACCGAGTCAGAGGAAACAAATGAGAAGGATTCCAAATCGGTGAGTTCAAGTCAGGAATCAAGCAGTCAGTCAGATGAAAATAAGGATAATAATCATGAGTCTAGCGATTCTATCGAACTTGTGAAAAAAGGTGCATCTAATTCGTCAGAAAAGCAAAATGCAAATAAAAAAAACACTACGGAAGAGAGAGAATCGATTAAGGAAAATTCTGGCAAAGCATCGAATGGAGAATCGAATGGAGAATCGAATGAAGAATCAGAAGAGGAATCAGAAGAGGAATCAGAGGAAACATCAGAGGAACCATCAGAGGACGCGTCGGAGGAGGAGAAAGCGTCCAGTTCAGTAGAAGTAAAAAAAAAAGTCAATTTCAAGAGGGAAGATGAGAAGCAGGAGTGAATGGGTGAAAGAGTGTTGACAGTTTTTTAAAAGTGGAATAGAAGTAGAGACATAAACTGCAGCAGAAGCTGTAGCAGAAATTGAAGCAAAAACTGATGCAAAAACTGATGCAAAAACTGATGCAAAAACTGATGCAAAAACTGATGCAAAAACTGATGCAAAAACTGATGCAAGAACAGATGCAAAAACTGATGCAAAAACTGATGCAAAAACTGATGCAAAAACTGTAGTAGGGGGTGAAATTATTTACAACCGGCTGAGATGATTAGACAAATTCGGGAATTCGACCCCAGACAGCATGTATTATGATTATGAAATCTAAGATGGAGACCTCATAGTAAAATTAGTTCAGTTATTATAACATGCTTAGATAATGAAATAACTTTTGTGTAAATAGAGATGTATATTTAATTAATAATATAAAAAAAATTCGAATTAAAACCTCTACGGACGAGAGAGTAAAATAATCAAAGGAACAATTACATACATTAACTTTAACCTATGTGTAAATAAAAAAAAAAAAAAATGATTAACAAAAAATGTGTAGTAAGATGTTTTAGAACATAATGGAGTATCATATTGAGGGAAAGAGGCATAGTTGACATATTATATTTTATAAGAAAAAAAATAATAATAATAATAATCTAAAATACTAGGAAAAGGAAGAATAAAATTATCAATAAAACTAAGTAATTTTTTTAATTTTAGAGAAATTTACACGTAAATTTATTCATATATAGCACGTCTTTGGATAGAACCACACCAAATAAATTGTGAACTATGACGTGCTAATAATATATACACTCCTTCTTAATTATAAAATAAATTTTTATCAAAAAAATTTCATTTTAATATGAGAAAGAATATTATACATGTGCATTTAATTAGTATTTCCATATTTATTTTATACATAAGGATTTGCATATATACCTTTTTGTGTGTGTATTTTTTTTTTTTTTTTTTTTTTTTTTTTTTTTTTATTATTAAAAATTGTCTACGAGCACTTATTTGGGGGAACATGATTAGTTTCTTCCATACATACTTTTCATTTATTCAGCTATTTATTTATTCAGCTATTCATTTATTCAGTTATTTATTTATTCAGCTATTTATTTATTCAGCTATTTATTTATTCAGCTATTCATTTATTCAGTTATTTATTTATTCAGCTATTTATTTATTCAGCTATTTATTTATTCAGCTATTCATTTATTCAGCTATTCATTTATTCAGCTATTCATTTATTCAGTTATGTATTTATTCAGTTATGTATTTATTCAGTTATGCATTTATTCAGTTATGTATTTATTGAGTTTTTTTTTTTTGGCAAAATTTGATCCAAAGGTTATCAATGATGAAACGTGTGTACTTTTTTATAAGCATTACTTACGTGTGGCTAATAAGAGTATTTACAAATATGTGCATGCACATGATTATGTAGATTCACAGATGTATCTATGATCATTTAAATATTTTTATTTCTATTTAATTTTCTTTCCTCCCCCTATGTTTTAAATAATTCCCTATTTATGTATTCCCTTGACAATAGTGTATATTTGTTGCAGTTAATTTTTTTTTTTTTTTTTTAAATATTTAATTCGTATATTCGATATTCACATCACTGGTGTGTATTTCCAATATGGTACATTGTCCATCTTTTCAAGTTTAAATTTGTGTCAATTTTTATTCTGTATAATTATTATATCGACATATATCGACATATATAGACATATATATATGCATATGTGTAAATATATATAATTACCCCCTTTTTAATTATCTGTACATGACAAATGTTAAAGAAAAATCAAAATGGCAGGTTCATCTAGTGAAATAAGTGAATCGCTAAATGCATGGATGAATGGAAACTCTTCAATAGCTTCTTATGTTCTTATCAATTCAGATGGTAAGTGTGGAAAAATATAAAAAATAGAAAAGAGAAAAAAGAAAAAAACATTGCGAACAAGGGGCAAATTGGTATGAGAGGTGTATCTTTTGCCTTCGCGCAGACATATAGACATGTGAAAATTGAGAGTTTAAAAAGTAGATCATATTGTGAGCCATGCTATGATGAAGTAGTATTTTACCTTTGATATAAATAGAATATGGGGAAAAAAGAAAAAAAAGTAGTAAATCAAAGTAAAGAAAGTGCAAACATAACACATTAGACATTAGGAAGCAAAAAAGAAAAAAATTCCAATGGTCAAATGGTAGAGGAATAAAGTAGATAGAATATTAATACATCCCCACACACACACACACACCTCAAAAAAAAAAAAAAAAAAAAAAAAAATTGGTATTTAAATCATCACTTCTTGATGTGTGCGATTGTTGCATGTGCAAAATTGTTCATCCAAAACTAGAGTGAGTGAGTTGAAACAAATGAAATATAGAAGAAATGATATAGAATGGCCTCTATTCTATAGTCAGAAAAAAAAAAAAAAATGAATGCAATTTGTTCACCTTCTACTACACCACATTTAAAGGTATCCCACTTAAATACAATGAAGATGTGACCTACAAACAAGCAGTCAAACAAGCCTCCCTATTCTCGTAATTTTTTCTATTTTTTTTAAGATAAAATATAAATATATTACATTGGATATTTGATAAAATTGTTCATGTTATGTTTTTTTTTTTTTCTACTTTTACGTTGTGTTTTTTTTTTTTCAAATTAATTACAGAGATTTGCTAACAAAAACAAAAAGGTGCGTTAAGGAGTTGCTTCCTCAAGAGGTCAAAAAAAAAAAAAATAAAATAAAATAAAATAAAACAAGTAAAAGTAAAAAACGAAATGATAATAAAATAACTCTAAATAAATATAAAACTAAATTTAATGAGTGTCGTGAACAGAATAAATGATACATGGACTTTCATATAGAGTGGGGTGGGAGGGGAAAAAAAAAAAAAAAATTCCTACACACTTTTAACATTCGTGAAACACACGATCTATATTCATTTGTAATTTTGTTTTTATGTACTTTGTTATTTTTCTGCTTTTATATCCCTTGTGTTATGATTCCCACATTCTCTCTCTCTCTATCTCTCCTTTTCTCTCCATTTCTAACAACTTCCTTCTAATTTTCCTCAGAATGATTTGAACAGCAGTTTACGAATTAGAACAAAAAAAGACACTGAATATATTTTATGCAGCTATGGTGATTATTCCCTAATTACTCAGCAAATTTGCAAAGAGATGCATAGCAGTAAAAATAAATGAACATGGGTGTGCATGTATGTGGGGTTGGAAGAGTAGTTCTTTTTTCTTATCCCTGGAATTTGTGGATGGGCTATGTCAACACACAGTACATGGAGAGGGGTACGTATGTACATGCATATGAATATACATGCGTCTGGATATATATATATATATATATATATGTATATACCACATTATCATTCTTCCTAACATGTATTCGAATAGGTCTGTGGTTCACTGAGAAGTACACACCTTGACAATCTACACAGTATACACAATCTATGCAACTTTTGTGGTAGAGATGCTCATGTGGAATGATAGTAGAAGCGTTATGATACGTACTTGAGTTACATCCTAAATGATTCCAGTCATTTGTGAAAAAAAAAAAAAAAACTACTTTTTTTTTTTTTTTTTTTTTTTTTTTTGATTTTTATTTATTTCATTTTCATCGGCATTATCATTATCATCACTATTTTCATAGTTACTCATGTGCGATTCTTTGTACGACTCAGCATTATTTCTGGATTTATAATTAAAAATGCATTTTGTAACAAACGATAAGAAAATGGTAAATGCTAATAACACAATCAGATGAATTATAATTCTTTTATTAAAGGATTCCTCCTGTATAAGTATGATTCTTGGGGATGAGAAAGTGCAAGAATGGTTGTGTTGAATGGTTGTGTTGAATGGTTGTGTGCGCCGTTTGTGTATTTTATATAGATGTACATATGTTTACTTCGTATGTATACATAGGTGCATTTCTTCATCTGTTGTTTTTTGCATTACTTATTCGCAAGGGGCAAAAAAAAGGTAAAATAAGCTAAAAGAATGTTCACCACGTTAATTTTTTTTCTTTCCTGGGTATTTCTTAGCCACATGAAAAGCAAGAACGTTTTTGAAAGGTTCGAAAACTGTAGTAAGGAGAAAAAAAAAAAAAAAAAAAAAAAAAAAAAAAAAGAAAAAAGTAGTGAACTCATGAAAAACATAAAAGATGCAGGAAAAGAAAACACTACTAGTTGGAATACTTCAGCTACATGTGAAATTTTGACAAATGTTGTGATGCACAGACACACATATGCGATTAGAATATACTGACTGAAATTTATTAACCATAAACGTGTTCGCTGATATAGAACGGTAGATGTGCTTTAACGAAAAATCCATTGATCTTCCACCTGCACAAAAAAAAAAAAAAGAAATGTCATAATAAAAATGTGGCAAAAAAAAAAAAAATTGGACAATAAGAATAGAAGAAAAAAATCCAAATCCATAGTAAACCAAAATTAAGTGGATTAAAAAGGTACACCAAAAAAAAAAAAAAAAAAAAAAAAAAAAAAAGAACAACACACAAGAACGAGCAGCGTAAAAGCGACGACTCATATTACCAATAAAAAATGGGAAAAAATTTGTGGCTATAGATTCGTAGAATCCCCAACTGAGTCCTACAGATAGTATTCTCTCTTTCAAGTTTATTGTGTTTATGTGTCTGCAAGAGGTAATATAACAGGGGGTTGTGTGTATATTTTTGATGTATAAACCAGATGTACATGCAAAAACAGAGACAAATACAAAGAGCTAATGTACAACAAGTGAACCTAACTTGCACATGTTCTTTCTATTTAATTTATTAAATTTTTTTTTTATTTCTTCCGTACTTGTGTGACAAAATGTAATACAGTCCCGCGAGATCAGCGAAATTTGTACATTCTTGAAAAATTATCTGAAATTGTGTTCGCAGGTGATAATGTACCAATGGCAGTGATATATGAACTTATGCATGTACATGATGTGGTGTACATAGTTAGAAGCATATAATTTGGTGTACATATTCACAAGCACATGATATGGTGTACATAGTTAGAAGCACATGCTGTGGTGTATGCATGTACAAGTAGGCTCAAGCAACTAAGCTATGAGTTGCCTATGGCTCAAGAGCATACATTAAAAAGGTTCATATTCTGTAAAAGTCCAATTGAGAAAAACGCCAAGATGAACAGCTGCACAAATGTACAAAAGGATTTTACATATAGATGGTGTTTATGTGATTACTCCATTACATGCATGTAATCGTGTATATACTCTCATGTAGACACGTTAATCATTTCCTTTTATTTTATTTTATTTTATTTTTATAAAAGATTCAGGGATTCTACTCCCCCCAAATCTGTCAAATCTGTCAAATCTGTCAAATCTCCGAATGCAAATATTCACACCCCTTATCTCTCTCATTTTATTCTGTGTAACCTTCAAAAATTGCGATATGATATAGTAAAAGCACACGAGAACAAACAATTGTGTCGATCCAACATTTTTTGATCTATTAAAAAAAAAAAAAAAATCAATAATGAGGAATTAAAAATAAATATAAAAATGTTTGTACTTTATTTGTTCATGTTTGATATACAACTTAGTCTTTCTACACAGATAAAAGTAAAAAAAATATGTATCAGAATGATACACAAATTTGAATATAGGCGGTTTAAAAAGTTGCTAATTAAGTTTTGTTGTATATCTCTTTTTAAAAAGGAGAGGATTTTTTTTTTTTTTTTTATTTATAAGCAATTCATGTCTATTTAATAATATTACAACTTAAATCCATCATATATAATATAGTAGGGGGCAAAGGCCGTTAACGAACAATTGACAAAGTGGAAAAGTGTCATTTTCTTATATTCAAATATTTTTGTAAAATACTATGGTAAAAAAAAGTACACAATAATAGCAGTATATATATTCCCTCTTATACAACTGTTTATCAAAAGTTATGTGGGCACCATAAGTGTACTAGTTATAGTGTATATAGCATGGTGGAAAATACAAAAAAAAAAAAAAAATGAAAAAAAAAAAAAAAAAAAAACACAAGTATGACATGAAGAAAAATAAATACTCCCCTCCCAACCCCCATTTCGTGATGCTCTAACTAAATGGGAAAACTCCGTAACAAAAACTTTATTTGGTTGAGACTAACTGGTTAAGAAAAACATCAAAAATAAAAGCAGCAAAAAAAAAAAAAAAAAAAAAAAAAAAAAATTCTTAGAACAATTTTTATAATATTATGCAATGCATATATATTACATACATGTTGGGGAATTACTTTTTGCATGAGTAGTATAATGTAACAGAGGGAAAAATTGCTCTATTGTAATTGCTCCTTTAGTTTCTTTCCTTTTTTTTTTTTTTTTTTTTTGTTAGTTTACATATAATTTTATGTCATTCATCCATCACTTGGACAATTTTTAAAGAGTTATTTTAACCTTTATTTTATATTTCATTTTTGTTCCCTTTTCACTTTACAAAGTTGATCAAAAAGTAGTGTTATTCAGATGAACTGTTGATATATACACCCACAAGCTGCTTTCCCCCAATTTGTTGCTTTTATTTTTGGTGCTTTTTATCTGTCCTTTTCATTTTTCCCTACTTACCAGATGAAAGAACTTAAGAACAATAAAATACCTCGCTGCATTTTTTAGTTTTCCACTGTGTGGTGCTCATTTCATTATTGCTTTTATCTTTATTTTATTATATTATGTTATATTTTATATTATATTGTTTTTTTTTTTTTTTTTTTTAGTCATTCTTTTTGTTTTATATCCTCTGTTATATTAAGCCAAAAAAAAAAAAAAAAAAAAAGACTATAAATGTTTTTATCATATGAGAAGAATATGGGTTGTGTTGTTTTATACATATGTTCATTACATAGATCCTACTCATATAAAAGACTGTTGTTCTAGTATATATTAAGAGCATAAATGTATGCAATATATGTGTGTGCATACGTGCATATATAAATACACTTGGTATTTCCCCGTAAGTGGAAAAACAAAGAATAGTGAAGAAAGAAATAAGAATGCGTAAATTTTTACACGCTACTAATGTAATGCATATATATATATATATATATATATGTGTATACAAATCCCATGGGGAGAAAAAGAAACACAAAAAAACATATTCATACATGTTTACCCTGTAAAAATGATACACACACAACATAAAAATTCGTTTAAAAAAGCAACATTTAAAAAAGAAAAAAAAAAAAAAAAGGACATTGCTATGTAGCACATCATTTTTATATATGATATTTTATGTACACTTTTCTATATCTATGAATCCTTAAATCATCAGCATAAGAAAAAAAAAAAAAAAAAAACTATTAAAACAAATAAAAATGCGTAAAAAAAAAAAAAAAAAAAAAAAAAAAAAAAAAAAAAAAAATGAGCGGAAAAAGGGGCAAAAAAAAAAAAAAAAAAAAAAACGATAATACATAGTTTAACCTTTTTTTTTTTTTTTTTTTTTTCTCTTTTTATGATTTATTAAATTTAAAAATGTTACGATTTCATAATAACTTTACATCTGCAATAAACGATTTAAAATGAGGAGAGAGAGATTTGCACTGAATGTAACTATGGTTGTATCAATGGGTGTGTGACTATTTTCTGATTATTTTTTGAAGGGAATGGGTGTGGAAAAACGTAAAAAAAAAAAAAATGGAAAGATGGAAAAAAAAAGAAATTTTATAAAAATTCTTTTACCCTTGATAATCACCACCATTTTCGTTGTATTTTTTCTTTATAAAATTTATGACAGTTGGTATTCCTGCAGCTTTGTTCAATTCCTAATTTGAAGACAAGTGAGAAGGGCCGGCATAAGCGCAGTCATACGCATATGAATAATATGTATGAATATGCCGTGTACATGTTTATTCTTGTGAATATGCAAATATGCATATATATATATATATGTATGTATGAATGTATGAATGTGTGAAGTGTAAATGGGTTGACTCAAGGGCTGTAAGCTATCGCTTACGAAGGATATAAAATTCAGTGGTTTGCAAAAAAAAAAAAAAAAAAATACTCGTTAAGGAGGGAAATATGTATAAAAGAATTCTCAGGGGTTCTCAAATTTTCTTACCTTCAATTTGGACGCAGCAACATTTATGTTTGACTTCACCCATGTAACTTTTTTTTGTAAACTCATGACCCATTCGGGTATACTGCCAACATCTGAAAAAATACAAAAGACATATCGACTTGAAGTAAATGTGGACACACGACATGGAAAAAAAAGGAAAGGAAGGAAAAACAATATCACATACGGGATACATATTTTTATTGTACATAAAGCTTGTATAATATTATCCAAATAATGTTTCATGTTGTTCTAACCTAATAAATTGCAGAAATAGTCTGCATAGTTAAGACAATTCCTACAAATGGAGAATGGTATTTTGGACGTGTATTATGTATGTGTGTGTGTTCACGAGCATATATCTTTCATGTGAAAAAAAGGGATATTATTTGACGTTCCCATTTTCATTTGCTGCATTTCACAATCTTTAATTGCTTTTTTTTTTTTTTTTTTTTTTTTTTTTTTCGTCCATATACTCATGTTATCATACCGTGACAATATATCATATGTATCTCCAATCCAAAAAAAAAAAAAAGAAAAAAAAAAAAAAAAAAAAAAAAAAAAAAAAAAAAAAAAAAAATTAATAAAAAAAAAAAAAAAAAAAAAAAAAAAAAAAAAAAAAACTCTACGAATATCTAATGTATGAGTTTTGAAATGTTCTTTACCCCTACAAAAAAAAAAAAATAAAATAAAATAAAATAATAAGAATAGTAATAAATAAAATGAAGTAATAGACGAATAAAAAAAAATACAGCAGTAAAGCAATAAAGTAGTCTAATAATACAGCAGTAAAACAATACTGCAGTAAAATATAAAATACCATAGGAATGCTCTCACGATATACGTGGTAGGGGTGGTAGCGGGCACTCGTTTTGGTTACTCCCGTTTCTCCGTCTATCAAATGGCAGCAAAAAGGGTGAAAAATAAAGCAAAAAATTAAGCCAAAAATGAAGCCAAAAATGACGTCAAAATTGAAGCCAAAAACGAACGTGCATAATTTTTTCAAATAATTTACAATTTGAATAAGTGTGTTTTTACGTTTCAAAACCGTTTAAACATATAAGGGTTCGTAAGTGTAGAACATTTAATGTAACTATGGAGAAATTATTTTCATTCATTACCTACTATATAACCGAATGAATACTCATACCCGTACACTTCAACACCTGCGTGAAAAGCACCTGTAAAGGAAGAGGTATTGGGAAAAGGAATGATGGGCCAGGAGAACATTTACAAAATAATAATAAACAAGAATATATACATAAATATGAGCGGGGGATATATGCAAAAAAGAAACTAAAAATGTGTACATATATACACATGTATATGCCTGAATGTGCATATACATTTAAGATGAACAAAAATGCTTACCCGCTCCCATGGATCTGGCCACTGTGTTAACAACCTTTGAAACAGCATCTAAGTCATATATGTTTAAGTAGACCATACTGGAATTAAAATCGGGTTCAGGGATTTCAACAGAATCTTTCTTTTCATAATGTCCACGTAAGGTGTTTTTGTCTTCTTTCTTTGCACATTCTCTTGCCTTCGAACGATTTTTTTTCTTCATTGATAAGAGCAGAAAATTTGTTAATTTTTTACTCCCTCACTGTTCTGACAACGTTGTGACAGCGTCGTGAGTTTCCTTTTCTTTTTAATAGCACAAATAAATGTATGTCTACATATATATACACATAAATACATATATATATGTGTGTTCGTGCGTTGGGTTATCGTTACTCTGCAATATTCTCACTCTGAGATGTGTCGATTATACGCATAATTGTGAGTGATCCTTTGGGAATGACAATTGTGAAAGGGGTGTTAAAAGCTGATTTATCTCTGTGTGTATGTATGGGCAGGTACACAAGGGAAAGACATGTACAGCTGTTTATATACGTTTAGTATGCTTCAAAAAAAAAAAAAAAAAAAAAAAAAAAAGTTGTTCCCATATATGTCAAAGTGTGACAATATTACATTTTGCCATGGCTATCCTTTTATTTTTAAATAAAAAAATAAATCATAGCAAAACAAAGAAAATCATAGTAAATTATAACAAATCATAGCAAAGCATGGCAAATCATAGTAAATTATAACAAATCATAGCATAGCATAGCAAATCATAGCATAGCATAGCAAATCATAGCATAGCATAGCAAATCATAGCAAATTATAACAAATCATAGCAAAATAATAGCAAAGCAAAACAATGTCTTCAAAGAATTTCAAAGTTTCGAAAGAATTAGGGCAGTAAAATATCTTTTATTTTGCTTTATTCTGATATTATACATGTGCTAAATTTGTTCATTTTGTTGCTTTGCCCTTTTGTCACCTGGTTACTTGGCAACTTTATTAAGCTGTGTTGTGTTATTTTCTTTATTTTTTTTTTGTTTTGTCATTATGTCATTTTGTCACTTCGTCATTTTGCTATTTTGTCATTTCGCTATTTTGTCATTTTGTCACTTTGCTATTTTGTCATTTAGCTATTTTGTCACTTTGCTATTTTGTCAATTTGTTATTCTGTTATTTTGTTATTCTGTTCGCTTTTTCGTGCAGTTTTTTGTGCAATTTTTTTGTACAGCTTTTGGTGCATTTTTTTGTTAAGTTCATGGTGCACTTTTTTGTACAGTTTTTTTCACTCCTTTTTTCACTCCTTTTTTCCCTGCTATTTTCCCTGCTTTTTTCATTTTTTTTCCTTTTTTTTGCTCATATTTTTTTTTCGCTTTTTAGTTTTTTCGTAAAATTTGCTATGGCGCACACGGAAATGAAGAGGTGGAAAATGGGACTAAAAAGGGCAAACTAAAAAAAAAAAATAATAATAAAAAGCAAAGAAAAATCCGAAAAAAGAACAAAAAAAAGGACAGAAGAGTGTCAGAAAAAAATCAGAAAAAAAAAAAAAAGAAGCAAAATGCTTCAAATGGGACAAATAAGAAAAGTGAAAAAAAACATTATAAACTATAAGCATCATTAAAAGCGTAATATGCCAACCAAAGCGCTTTTTCATTTTAGAGAGGGTTATGAAATTCCAAGAGGAAAAATAAAAAAATAAAAAAAATAAAAAAAATAAAAAAAATAAAAAAAATAAAAAAAATAAAAAAAAAAATTCAGGCTTTTTATACGCATAAGTGCATACATTGGTTTTTTTTTTTTTTTTTTTTTTTTTTATTAGTCCAACTCTCAGTTATCTCTTCCCTTTAACTACAATTGTTTAAGTGAATATTGTGTGCATGTGCATGTCCAAAATTCAAGGATACAACGTGTGTGGGTGTATTCTCTCCTCCCTCTATCTTATATATCTCATCACAATAACGTGAGAAAATTTATATATGCACATATATACATGCGATTTCTTTTCATTCAGTGTGATAATTCGTGTGCGACTCCCATCATCTCCCTTTGATGGAGAAACATGTGGCTATTTTCAAAAGCATTCATAAATAACCTTATTTGATACACACGTCCCGTTTAAAGTGGCAAAATTGGAACTATAAATCTAGAATGGTAGCACAAAGTTTCATTTTATTAGGAGTAGGTAGGATGTTAAGAGCATTTTTCTAATTGTAGAAAAGTGTATCATCATCTACGTTTCAATTCCAAATGTCAAAATTTATACACCCAACGGGAAATGATGACGAAAGATTAATTTCACTTATTTGATTAATTTACAAAAAAAAGTAACTCAATGGAAAATGTATCAGTGTTTGTGTGTATGGTGGTGGTGCTTCATATGAGGGTCGATATTATTCCTCAAGCCACTTTTTTTTTTTTTTTTTATTGAAAGGGGTATAATAGGGGATTAAAAAATTATGCTTTAAATAATTTAAATAAATAAAAAAAACAAAAAAAAACAAAAAAACAAAAAAACATATGACTTCACACAACATAGTGATGTACTTATATATCAGTAACGAAATGAAGAAGTGTGTGGTAAACGTTTTTGTGTTTCTCCCCCTGCTGTCAATGCTGTTAATTTTTCTATACTTGAAAAGTAAACCCTTGTTAATAAAAAAACTATGCATTTTTAAACACACTGGATAGTTGCCTCTTGACGTAATTGCGAACAAATGGGAGATAAAGATTGGAGCACAAATAAAACAAAATAAAACAAAATTTTACTGAGGAAAAAATGTCTAACTCCCCAGTTAATTATCCCAACACAGGTTAACAATATATGTCACTTTTTTTCAAATGATAGAATATTTGAAAAAGTCTACATTTTAGAATATGTCATAAATCAAAATGGGAAGAAGAGAAAAAATAAAAAAAAAAAAAAAAAAAAGGGTTTTATAAAAATAATGCATAACTAACATTTTTTAAAAGAACAAAAAAAATAAATAAAAATTATTCTTTTCTTTTATCCCTTTCTCTCCCACATGCTTAGTTTTTAAATAGAAAATCAAATAATAATGTTAAAATGTAGAAGAAAACATTGTATAATATCCTAATTTCACATTAAAAAAAAATAATAATAATAATAATAATAATACGGTTAAATACGATAAAGATTAAACCAAATTCCAATTACAATATTAATGTACCTACTTAACGAAAAATTATTTTGGTATATATAATTCTAAAAGGACTTCGTTTTATACTAAAAAAAAAATTAATATAAATTTGCTCAAACTATTCCTGTACATTAGCTAAAAAAATTGTAATACAAATAATGATATAATTTTTTTTTAATAAAATTTAAAAACAATATGTTTTGTTATTCCTACAAAAGTTTAACAAAGTAAAATTAAACATTTAAAAATAAAAATACTCAATATTATGTGTTATCGTTTTATTTATTTAATGCAAACGGGTCTTATAAATTTTAAAAAAATTTTATTGGCCATTGTGTTTAAAATTACAAATAGCTATATGCCAAATGGACACGTGTTTCTCTTGCAGGTGCACGATCTAATAGTACCTTCTGTAGTTTTTCATTCATGTGTTTTCGTTTCTTCCTTTTTTTCTTAGTAAAAAGCATCCCCAATGGTGTGAACTACAAAGAAAAGAAGTTTGTAAAAAATACAGATTGGTTATTATAAATAATTGAAAATAAGGGACTAATACTAATAATGCAACAAGTTTTAGTTTACCTTTACAAGAAGTGTCATTAACAAAATAATTGCCAAGGGAACTACAATCATAATCATATAATTTTTATAAGGTATTCCTTCTTCTCCATCCGATACATCTAGTCTAATACCATCTCCTGTGGTACCAGTATGCTCTATAGCATTATGTTCGCTCACATCTTTTATTCTTTCTACTGCATTATTTCCAGAAGAATCACTTGTAGTATGTGTACTAGAAGACATTGAAAGGTTACACGAATTTTGCAATCCACTTAACGACCCTTCTTGTGTTGTAGTACGAGAAACGCCTCCGTGATGACAGCTGTTTACTGCATGTTGATCACGAGAATCTTCATTACCAGTAGCTCCGACGACAGAACCTTCTGCGTAACCATTACTTCTACCGTCACTTTTATTATTGATATCTTTTTCATCATCTACTTCACTAGAAGGATTTTTTAAAGCAACATCTTCACCCTGAGTTTCTACAGACTGAACGGATTCACTACGATGATGTTCATCTTGAGCATTTTCATTATCTGAAGATATATGCCTAGTATGAATATCACTAGAAGTTCGATGATCCGAAACTGTTATACCAGCACGGGTTGTGTCCTCATAAGAACTAGTCGTATGTGCACTACCAATGTTCGTTCCACGAGAATCCACTTTATTTGCGTCCCCTTGATGAGTGCTACTTCGCGCAGAAGAAGCTTCAACAGTGAGTGTCCTTACGGAATTTTCTCTTGGTTGAACAGTTTCACAATTACTGTTTCCTGTAACAACTGTAGGGGGAGAATGATTATTAATTTTATTAACACACCCAGTATCACATCCTGAGTTAGGTAAATTACTCAAATGAAGGCTTCTATATGAAGGATTTTCAGTTGGTTCATCACCTGAATCATATGTCTGATTAGACATTCTTCCTGTAGAACAACCCATATCATCTAATTCTCCTTTTATCGGATTGCCTGGGAAACATAAAGAGTGTACTGTTGTTTCCTCTTGTGCAGGTTCATTAGGCTGACTATCTTCTAGTGATTCAGGTACCTTACCATCATTTTCAGTAGAATGAGTAGGTTTTACAATATGTTGGGACGATGAAACACGGTTTTGCTGATGTCCTGTTTCTCCTAAAGACATACTTGAAATTTTTTCTTGCGTTTTTCCTGTTTCTAATCCCACTGTTTCATATGTTTCATGACCCGATTCTGAATGCGTTATAGCATCTTCTCTTTTCGATTCTATTTGATCTTTGATTTCTGTACTGAGTTCTTCTGTTTCTGATATTAATTCATAAGCTTTTTCAACATGAGATATGGCGCTGCCGCTATGTTTTGATTTTCCAACACAGCTTTGTTCACATTTTATTATTTTGTCTTGGTATGTACTAATTAATATTCTTTTCTCATTATTGCAGTCCTTTAAATAATCTTTTATATTATTTATGTACATATCGAGGTCATCACATTTTTCGCATAACTCTGTATTATCATTTTCA